TTTGTTTCACTAAACAAGGGCACAATGTTTTTATGAATATACAATATGCAAGCTTAAATAGGCCATCATTTATTCATATGCTCACCTGGAAACTAGGTTGAGAGGTGAGGTAAAAATTTATATTAAACAATATTGTTTGTTTTCTATGAATCAGTGTCTGCGTTAACAAGAAGGAAGTTTTGCCTTAACAATAACATACCAGCCTGCTGTTAATTAGACACCATATTTCAACATAGTTGTTACTTCTCATAGAATCATAGGGTTGGGAGAGATCCTGGAGGTCATGCAGCTCAACCTGCTACTCAGTGCAGGATCCAAAATGCAGGATGTAACTACAGCAGCCTTGACAGATGGTTGTCTAATCTAGCTTCTGTTTAAATATCACTGGCAAAGTAAGTCCACCACCCTTGAGGATGTCTGATCCATTGTTGAACTCCCCTTACCAAAGAAAGTTTCCCCTAATATTTAGCTGAAATACGCTTCTGTGCAGTTTGGACTCTTGGTTCTAGCCCTACCCTTGTAAACAACAGAGAACAAATCTCTTCCATCTTCTTTAGCAAACCTATCGCCTCCCAAGTTGCAGGGGTTAGTGTTTTCCATTGTGACAGTGCTGGGAAGCAAAGTGACATGAAGATATCCATGTCAAAATCTGTCACCTCAGTTATAAGAACTATTGTTGAAGAATGGGAGACTGGGAGATTCATCTAAAAAGCAGTGCTGAAAGGGTAAAATATTATTTGCTTCTTTCTGGAAAGTTAATGGGGAAATGGCCTGGATGTTTTAGTTTATAGAATACAGTGGTACCTCAGGTTACAGATGCTTCAGGTTACAGACTCCACTAACCCAGAAATAGTACCTTGGGTTAAGAACTTTGCTTCAGGATGAGAACAGAAATTGCATGGCGGCAGCGAGAGGCCCCATTAACTAAAGTGGTACCTTAGGTTAAGAACAGTTTCAGGTTAAGAACGGACCTCCAGAACAAATTAAGTTCTTAACCCAAGGTACCACTGTACTAGAGTAGTAAACTTCAACCTTTTCAAAGTCAGGACCCACCTAGTGTTTTGAGACCCATTTATTACAATTTTTTTTACTATATGTTTGTATGGTGATAGTACTGCTGTTATGACCCACCTTGGATATAGGTTAGGGATAAGACCCAAACCCATGACAAGATAGTGGGTCCCAACCAGTGCTAGAGTAATGTTTTCATAGTTAACCTTGATCAATCCTTTCTTTTATGAATGAGTTACGGTACATTTCCATTTTAAAATAAATGTACCCAGCAGCTATTACATAATACATATTGTGTGGTTTGTGGTGTTTCCCTCAGTTCCTGATTTACTGATTGGAGGACCAGCTTCCAGTTGTGGTTACTTGCTAAATTACTTAATTCTGTTTTGTTTTTGGAATAAGTCTTCTGTTCTAGTGAAATTATAGCATTAGTCCATAATCTAGAGTGTCCTGATGCAATCTTTCCTATTTATTTTATAGGGCAAATATCTGTGCACACAACTGGACATGATTGTTGGAATGGGATACTTCTATTCTTGTAGGAAAGGGAAGTAGAGATTCATTGGCTAGTGAGGTTCTCCATCATTTCATTAAAATATAACCTAGGTAAAAAGGTAAAGGATCCCTGGACAGTTGAGTCCAGTCAAAGGTGACTATGGGGTGCGTTGCTCATCTTGCTTCATGCCAAGGGAGTCAGCTTTTGTCCACAGACAGTTTTCCGGGTCATGCTGGTATGCTTTTGAACTGCTAGGTTGGAAGAAGCTGGGACAGAACAACAGGAGCTCACCCTTTCGCACAGATTTGAACCTCTGACCTTCTGATTGGCAAGCCCAAGAGGCTCAGTGGCTTAGGCCACAGCACCACCCGTGTCCCAGAATATAACCTGCTATTATATGATTCACAGTTGACAGGAGTCTCCTTATTAAGCAAACTCACTATGTTTCTCCTTACCAATGTAATTCTCAGGACTAATTCTCATTTTCCCTTTTATATTTGCATAAGTGAATCTGGGAACAACCCTCAAAATAGCCTTTGGGTGTTTTGAAAAATTATATTTCCAAAAACACTTGGAAAGCACACCATGGCAGGGGCCATTAGTACCTGCTATGGTGCCCATGAAATGTCAATATCCCCTCAAAATCCTTTAATTTTTTGGCCTTCCTGCTCAGTTCCTGTTTGCACTGGCTCAGCTTCTCCCACATTAAACACCCCCCTCTGAAATATGCTCGTTGATGGAGTGCCTGATGGGGTGGCATGCCAACATCATTTTGTGTTCTTGTCTCTTTTTCTGCCCTTTTAAATATGGCAGCCATTACTCCTGTTCTCACAGCAGTCATTTTGTGTTATCCCACTGTAGCCTTTTAAAAAAATTTTTTTTTGCAATGACATATCCCCACAGAAGCCATTTTGTGACTGGCACTCATGGCACTTTTTCAAATTTCCAGGTGTGTCCCTAGGTCCAGAAAGGCTGGCAATCCCTGCACTAGGGCATAACCCATTGCTGTGTAAACACAGGATTACAATTGACAGCTGCTTTAACTGGAGATGGTCTTATAATCTTGTGATGTTTCAAGGACCAGAAAGCTTTTATCTTGTCGGGCAGATGCGTCTTCATATGGTGAACGCTGCTTAGGGCTTTTAAACTGCTGAGCATGTTTTAATATCTGTTGAGCTGGTTTTTATATTGCTTGGTTTTATATGGTTGTTTTATTAGGGAAGTGGTAGTTTCATTGTTGTAAGATGCTCTGAATAATGCAAATACACGAGAAAGGAGAGATATAAATCAAGAAAGAAAGAAAGAAAGAAAGAAAGAAAGAAAGAAAGAAAGAAAGACTGTATATGCTTCAGTTGCATAAGCTGCAGGGCGGTATCTGGGAGAGCTTTGTCAATACTTGCAACTAATAACACTATGCATTAGAGCCTGGACTGCTAAGTAGCCAAGGCATCTGCTTGGAACTCAGTATGCAGTCTGTTTGGAGCACAGTGTTATACACATGCTGATGACACACAGCTCTGTTTTTCTCTAACATCTGAACCAGGAGGTGTTGAGCAAGTCCTGAACCACTGCCTGAACTCAGTAATGGGCTGGATAAAAGCCAATAAACTGAAGCTGAAGTTTAGCAGAATGGAGGCCCTGTGGGTGAGTGACTGCCAGGTCTGGGAAAATGGTCTGTTGCCTGCTTTGGATGGGGTTTCACTCCCTCTGAAAAAACAGGTGCATAGCTTAGGGGAACTCCTTGGGCGGGGGGTACTACTCAGGTGTCTTCAATGTCTTTGAATGACTATTGCCAGCTTTGGCTGGTGTGCCAGCTACAATTGCTCCTGGACAGGGATTGATTGGATACTGTGGTGCATGCATTAGAAACTAATTAATAGACTTGATTATTGTAATACACTTTATTTGGGGTTGCCCTTGAATTTGGTCGGGAAGCTGCAGCTTGTAGGAGCATAGGAGGGGCAGGGGCCTTGGGTGCAAAATTATTGGGGTACAAAATTTCAAAAGAAAAGGAAAGAAAGTAGTCATAATAAATCATTATAATAATTAGTAATTATATCTTTTAGGAGACATCTGTAGGCAGCACTGTATAGGGAAGCTTTTAAGGTTTAATGTTTTACTATGTTTTTATATATGCTCAAAGCCATCCAGAGTGGCTGGGGCAACCCAGTCAGATGGGTGGGGTATAAATAATTTATCATCATCATCAATTAATTAATTAAATACAAATTAGTGTGCCTTCCCCCTTGCACAGAAAATCTCCCAATGTTTGCATGGGCAGACTGAGGAGTGGATTTGGGCAACAGCTGGTTGCTAGGGTGCCCTCTACATGGGCTTTAGAAATATACCTGCTCTCTGCCGCGCTCGGTGCTCACTGGGCACTATGCCTGCCACTCATGTACGTTGCCAAGCTATTGCCCGTTTGTTCCATCTACTGCCAGGTGGTGGAGAGCATACTTGCCTTGCCCGGGCACTGGCAACCCATGCTACACCACTTGCAGCTTGTGCAGAAAACTGCTGTGTGATTGTTCTCCAGGGCAACCTACTAGCAACATGCAACACGTGTGTTGAAAATATTGTATCGGCTGCCAATTTGCTAATGGGCTAGACTCAAGGTATTCAAGATTTCTGTTTCAATCCAAGGCTGCAGCTATGGGAGAAACAAGACCCTTTTGGGGTGTCTATGCTGTGAACTCCTCCATTGTAGGCTCAGGTTGTATACCTGTGTTAATAAACCATATACAGTGGTACCTCTGGTTACAAACTTAATTCGTTCTGGAGGTTTGCTCTTAACCTGAAACCGTTCTTAACCTGAGGTACCACTTTAGCTAATGAGGTGTCCTGCTGCCGCCACACTGCTGACGTGCGATTTTTGTTGTCATCCTGGGGAAAAGTTCTTAATCCGAGGTACTACTTCCGGGTTAGCAGAGTCTGTAACCGGAGGTGTTTGTAACCCGAGGTACCACTGTATCATAAAGACATAACAGTCTCTGCTGTACCTCATTCCAAAAAGCAGCACAAAGCCTGGGTAAGCACCTGGTGCCCCTGGAATCTTGCACCGCTTGGAGATTGGTGTGGTTGCTACAATATATTCCAGGATCAGAGACAGGCATTTTTGTGCTGGAAGTACAAAACAGCTTCTACAGACTAAACCAGCTCAAAATGAAGTCCTCCTGATTTCCAGGGGAATCAGAGATGTCCTTTCTGACCACCTGACCAGTAGCACATGAATGCCCATTTGTGTTGTTGCACACATCTCCTTCCAAAGCGTTTGGATATTAACAAAGACTCATTTGAAATGAATAGATTTAATTTAGGAATATAGACATTTACAATGAATAAAATACCACCCTCCTCCGAATAACACACCCACCGTCAACATTCATACTAGCAAAAGCTGGCGTGTCCTCATGAGGCGCAAAGCGGTTGTGAGATGCAGCTGTCAGGAAAGCCTACGGCAGCTGGGCTACCATATTTATTCGCACACACCAGGTCCACAATCGCCATTGCTTTTCCATAGGCACAAGGGCCGTGGCTAGGGGTATTGTTATGTTGGGAGGACGGTGAAGTTATTGTACTTTTTCGGGTACGGTGCAAGTCCCTCAGCGAGGGAGGAGCAGGAGGCTAAGCCTGACGTGCGCTGCCTGCGTGGCTTGAATAATAGGAACATTGTTTGAGGGAGAGGGATAATGAAGGCGCTCCTGGCAGGCGGGAGAGGGAGAAACTGGAGAAAGGAGGCAATCTGGTCGGGCCGGAGACAACAGGAGGGGGGAGGGAAGGACTGTGCAAACGGCTCCGGCAGCACCCCCCCCCGCTCCGTCGCCTCCCCACACCCAGGGCTGGCGTCGGAGAGGAGGAGTCGCCGTCTGCGCCGGGGCGCAGTGTGTGTATGTGTTGTGAGGGGGGGGGGAGAAGAGAGTCCTGGAGGCGGGGCAAGAGCTGAGCAGCCGGAACGCAGCTGCCGCCTCCTCCTCGTCGTTGTCGTCGCCGCCGCAGCGGCTTGTAAACAGATCCGGGGCCTCCACGTGACCGCCTCAAGTACCTGTGTGAGGGGACTGTATTGACTTGCCTCTCGTATTGTCTCCGGCAGGCAAGCAGCAGCAGCAGCAAGAGGAGCCGCTGCCGCCGCCGCCGCCGCCGCCGGGCTCATGACAACAAAGCCGAGCGGGAGAGCGCGAGGGGAGCGCGCGCCGCGGCGGCAGCAGCAGCAGCTGCAGTCGCTGACGACTCTCTGGCGCCTTCTTAGCCTATCCCCCTCGTCGTCCCTTCCCCTCGCATCCCACCCGGCCCCGCCAGTAGCGCATCCTTCCCTTCACGTTCCCTCCCTCCCTGCCCGCCGCCGCCGCTAAAATGGCTGAGGCTGCTGGGCAGTGACTTGAGCGCCCTCCCGCCCTGGTCCCGGTTCGGTGGTCGTGAGGAAGCAAGGGAGCCGAGCGGTGGCGGCGGCGGGCAGCGGCTGCCCTCCCGGCCAGCATGAGCACCTTCGCCTTGGAGGAGACCCTGGAGGCGGACTGGGTGGCCGTGAGGCCTCACGCCTTCCACGAACGGGAGAAGCACAAGTTCGTCTTCATCGTGGCCTGGAATGAGATCGAGGGCAAGTTCGCCATCACCTGCCACAACCGGACGGCGCAGAGGCAGCGCAGCGGCTCCAGGGAGATCCGCCGCGGGGGGAGCCCCGGCCTCGAGCACCAGCGAGCCGCCGCCTGCTCCTCTTCCTCCAAGGTGCCCGGGAGCCCCACCGTCCGCAGGAGCAGCCCGGCCTGGAGCAGCGCCGAGCCGGGCCAAGCCAGGAGCTCGCCGGTTTCTCCCGCCCGGGCCGAGCCGTTGCCTAGGAGCCCCGGCAGCCGAGTGGCGGAGGCGCCGCCGCCGCAGAGGAGCCCGGCCCGGGCGCGGAGCAGCCCTGCCCGGAGGCCTCAGCCTGCTGCGAAGGCGCCGCTCAGCCCCGCGGCCTGCGCGGCCGAGGACATCGAGGTGCTGGAGCTGGGGAAAGACGAGCCTGCGGGAGGCGCCGCTTTCCTGCTGCCGTCCCCGCTCGCCGGGCCTGCGGTCGCCCCGCAGCCGCCTTCGGCGGCCGTCTCGGAGACCGAGGCGCCGTCGGGCGAGGAGTGCAGCTGGGCCGGCCTCTTCTCTTTCCAGGACCTGCGGGCCGTGCACCAGCAGCTGTGCTCGGTGAGCTCCGAGCTGGAGCCCTGCTTGCCGGTCCTTCCCGAGGAGCCGTCGGGCATGTGGACGGTCCTCTTCGGAGCTCCGGAGATGTCGGAGGAGGAGATGGACGCTTTGTGCTGCCGGCTGCAGGTCTACCTGGGCCACTGCTTGGACACCTGCGGGTGGAAGATCCTCTCCCAGGTGCTCTTCACCGAAACGGACGACCCGGAGGAGTATTACGAGAGCCTGAGCGAGCTGCGGCAAAAGGGTTACGAGGAAGTGCTGCAGCGGGCCCGCAAGCGCATCCAGGAGGTGAGGAAGGTCCCCAGTGCTGATAAAATAGAAACCCCTTCAGCCCGATCCTGAACGTGCTTAGTTCCCCTGAGTCCCATGCAACTTACTCTCAGTATAAGCTTTCCTTGGATTTCTGCCTCCAACTCTGCTGCTGACCTGACTATATTTTCATGTAAAGTCTTTATTGGGGGAAATAAGACTTCGGAGAAGGGCAGAAAGATGCTAAAGGCGGAATCCAGTGCATTATATATCTATCTATCTATATCTATATCTATAGCCAGTCACATGTGCTTCCAAGTAAACTTCCAGAGGATCTGGCTTTCTGTATCTAAGGCCCTTTTTGTATCTTTCCAAAACTGGTGTATTCTTATACAGTACTTACTGGTATCTTGACTTTTTAAGGAGGAGCCATATGTTTTTCTTTTAACTGGCTGGGTCAGTGGGGTGGGTGGGTCCTGGACTTGACCATGTTTACTCTGGTACTTGGATATGTTTGCCAGTTATTCTGCTAGCTAGACACTATTCCTAATACAAGGAAATGGATTGTAATAAAATCAGTCAGAACTAAATTGTCCTGTCAGATTTACATCTAAGATCAGCATCAGTGTGAGTCAATATCTTCTATTCACCTTGTGCATTTTTTATTTATAGTTCGTGGTGGATACATCAAACAATACTTCGTATTTTTTTTAATTGGGCAAAAATTACATGCATCATTTTGCAACAGATACTGAATTTTTTATATATTTCCATTTAGGATGAAATCATATTATTAGTGAACTTAATGAGGAAGATAATTAGTGAATGATGTTTCCAACATTGTCAGTTTTGAAGCAGAGGACCAATATTTTGCCCACAGTATTTCGACTCTGAGTTTGATCTTTGTTATCCTATTGTGTGAATACCTCACGAGTCTGTCTAGTTGTGGTTTTCATGAAGATATATATTTACAGTATTTGGAATAAGAGGTTGGGTAAGGACCAAAAATAGTCTCACTCATTTCCCAAGTAACTAATTACTCTTGTTTGCCCAACATGCTTGTCAAGTGAAACTTTGCAGCATGATGTGAAGGCCATGCTTGGCTTGAATTAAGTGTGATTCTAGAGCCCATTGGCTTGGCTTGGCTGCTTCAGAGTTCTGATGATTATATGCCTTTTATTGTATGGTGGCATTTGTAGGAAATGCTGGTTGTGGTTATTTTTAGAAAAGTGTGATTTGATTCATTTAATTTTTTTTAAATAATCTGCATGGATTGAAGGCTGCTAACTTTAGTGAAAATCTGTTGTATTTGTAATTTAGTGTTAATTGGTGTTCATTTTACATTTACCTAGTTGACCTGGGAATGCTGTTGCCAGGGTAATGAATAGTTACTAGTTTATGTTAAAATTCAATGCCTTCTGTGTTTCCTCTTTCTTTTTTGGTTTTTAGGGCCATGTACAACTGTTCAGCTTCTCAAAACAGAGTTGCCACAGGTATATTCTTTTGGCATGAATATATGCAAAACTTCACTTCTGACATTTTTTTAAAAAAAGGATGGTGGAAGACACCTGGTTGCCTAAGTGCCTAAAAACTTTGATACTGAAAGCTAGGAAAGAGTAATTGTTACCACCCGTAGTAACAAGCAAGCGACTTCAGTAAAATTTCAGTTCCTCTACTGTAGTTCTGTGGGACAAATGCATTATGGAGACAGAGAAAATGTGAGGCAGATACATGAATAGGTGAGATGCTAAGAACCAAAGGCAAATGTGTGGAACTTTCCAAAATAATGTGAAGTAACCTGTAGTGTAAAAAAAGGTAAAGGACCCCTGGACAGTTAAGTCCAGTCACATGTGACTATGGGGTTGCGGCGCTCATCTCGCTTTCAGGCCAAGAGAGCCAATGTTTGTCCACGGACAGCTTTCCAGGTCATGTGGTCAGCATGACTAAACCACTTCTGGTGGAACAGAACACCGTGATGGGAACCAGAGTGCATGGAAACGCTGTTTACCTTCCCGCTGCATCAGTACCTGTTTATCTACTTGCATGGGTGTGCTTTCGAACTGATAGGTTGGCAGGAGCTGGGACAGAGCAGTGCGGGGATTCAAACCGCCGACCTTCTTATCGGCGAGCCCAAGAGGCTCAGTGGTTTAGGCCACAGTGCCACCCACCACAACCTGTAGTGTAGATATGATCCAACTGGGTAGGATATTGTGTTTAATTGCAAGGCAGCTCTCTTGGTGACTCAATTAATTTAATCCAGTGAATATTAATCCATATCTGGTGTCAGTATCTCTGTTAGTGTATGTATGCGGTGTAAATTGACCCATCTTTAATTAAAATGTGCTTCATATTTAAGAAAGAAGATCATTTAGGTAGCTCTCTGTCCTTTGGCTCTCAGGTTTCTACTGTCTGTTACACGCTTGATAGTGGCTTTCTTTGAAACAAGAAGCTCATATCTCATTTGGCTAAGTTATTCCATGATAATGGAACAATAGATGACAGCCATTTAATATTAATGTGTAATTCTGATGCAGTGCTTTTCCATACTTCAGGATGAGACTCTGTTCTCTTCCTGAAATATGAACCTAACCAAGCTCACATATATTTTCTTCCACGTTACTTTTGCCACCTGCACTTTGAAAGTAGCTTTCAAAAGACTAGAGATGCAGATAGAGATACTGGATTCTGGCATTTGTGTGATTAAAAAGCTAGGAGAACTTTCAGGAAAATGTGGTCTTGGTTTCAAAGGGAAACTATAAAAGTTGACATTGTTCATAAAATGATATATTGTGAACTGCCCTGTGATCTTTTGATGAAGGGCATTGTACAAATTTAATAAATAATAATGAAGATAATATTTTATTAGCATAAAACAAATGAAGAACATTACAGAAAACAAAGATATTCAAAAATGTGTGATGTTATTAGACTTATGCTAAAACTCTTTCTAACCGACAGATTCTACTGTATGTATGACTCAACTTGTTTGAACAAAATTCTTATTGTTTTAGAGTGCTAACACTGCCAGTCTTTTGTTCAGTTGGTTAATATATCATTTAGTTTAACTCTGCAACATTTAAAACTTGTTCTGATCAGTACTGTACTAGATTTATTTGCTAAATTCTAAATCTTTCTAAATTAAATCTTTTTAATGAGGCAGTGCATTAGAATCCAGGTTGGAAAGCTCAAAATTATAAACAAATAAAATATGAGAACTTCACCGTAAATGTTCTTCAAGGCATGAAAATAAAAGAATGGCTATGATTTGTGCTAAAAGGAAGTGTAGTAATTTTAAAAAAGGCCAATCACACAAAGGGAGCGGAATTCTGGTCTATCTTCCCACACAGGAGATTTCTGTTTAAAAAGAAAACATAATTTGCTTAAATTCTTCACTATGAAGTCAAACCACTGGAAAATCACAGTGCCCTCTGTGGCTGCAGAGACTGGTAACTCATAACTGCTGCCTCCCACATGGTTTTCGCTGTGTTCACAAGCACCGAAGTGACCTCTTTGGGGCACAAGCCTGGGCAGTGTGTATGGAGAGGTCTTTGGCTGCCCAGATGACAAGTCCTCCCTCTTGGCCTTGCTGATGTGGTCCAAAGGAAAGCACAGCAATACATTTGCCACCAGCTTTACTGCTGGAGTTGCTGGAAGGAGGCATACAAGGCGCCATCCAACTGTATTCTACTCCAGATTTGTGTAGGGTTTATTCCTTAGTCTTTCTTTTTCTCCCAAAAAATGTCGCACAAGGATCAGTTACAGATTTTTCATTGGGGTTTACTCCCAAAGCCTTTGTCATGAATGCGCAAGGCAGCAGAGGTTTAGGATCAGAGTTTTCCTTCCCCTACCTTCCCAGGTTGACGAGCTCCATCTTCTCCTGCTTTACATGCCCAAGGGATCAAGATGGACAGCTCAGTAGCCAAGTGATTTCCTCTACCTGTGATTTTTACAGTGCAAGCCTATACATGTATACTCAGCAGGAAGTCCCATTGTTCTCAATAGGTATAAATTTGTATACAATTGTAGATCAAGGTGCTTTTAAAAAAAACCTAGTAAATGTAACTCCAGGCTTTTCATCCTTATCTGTCCTTCTGCAGCTTTAATCACAATGTAATAAGTAAGTGAGGAGCAGTCATTTTATTTTATATAACAACTGTAATGCTTTATCTTTATTAAAATACTTTATTAGAGGATCAATAATTTGAATGGGCATTAATGACTGCATTTGCACTTTAGAAAAGATAAAACTTCTGCTCAATTAAGCTCAGAGTAATCTAGAATCCAAATTGGTAAAGACTGTGGCATGTGTTGTGTGTGGGCGGTAGCCTTAAAATGCTTTGCTTACTTCTTATCTCCATCTGAAATGTTTTAAACTGAGCTTAGGTTGTAATAGTCTACTACTCCAATGTATCTGTCATAAATTCTCAGTTCTGTGTAAGTTAAAAGAGTAGTTTTTTCAGAAGCAATGAAGCTTCCATGTGCATCATGTGGGGTGCTACCGTCATGTGATTCTCCATGCCCTCATATCATGTTACTAGTGGCTTTTGGTACAGATGTGGAGACTCTCAGTGCTATGATGTCATTCCACATATTGAGTACTTCCAAATGTTATCCAGAGCTCACTAATGGGGTTGGCATTTTTGGTGGCATCTCCATAGTTGTCATAACGTATGCACTATGGCTTAGATATCTTTCAAAATTAATGAAGGTTACCTCTTACCAGTTGTTTTGACATCTATATGGAATCACAGTATTCAAAAGGAGCAAACTGCTAATTACCACATAGAGAAAAATAATAGGGGATGGTTATTCTTATTGTACTTTGCATGTGAGCTTCCCAGACACATTAGAAGAGCTTCTGTTGGAAGATGTGTTAGGCTATGGGTGCCTAGATCTGATACAGCAAGCCTGTTCTCACAAAACATCTGTGTTGGGTTTAGAACGGTATACTTCTAAGAAGATGAAGAGATTTATTAATAGCTGATGTAATAATAATAATAATAATTAATAATAATTTATTATTTATACCCCACCCATCTGGCTGGGTTTCTATAGTTCTTGTACTTCGTCTCCTTTTAATCTAAATAATTCTCTTCCTATAAAGTGTTACTGCTTGAACGCTTTCCTGGGCCAAACCTATATTCTCTTTTAATAGTATTCCATAATTTTTCATTCCAATGATCATTGAGTTTTTCCAAGATGTCGTCTGCCGCTGCTGACACATGAGCCTAGATTTAGGCTCTGGCTTGTTACAACTGCTCCCATGACATGGAGAATCATCCTTCATGTGTGTGCGTGTCAGTGGTTATGGGCCTAGTGGCAGGTCCGTGCAGAGGAGCAGGGCAGCTGGATACACTTGCCTTGGGCCTCAGATGCCTAAGCTGGTCAGGGAACACCGCCAGTGACTGGCTGCTTTTTTGTTTGAGTTTATATCTTTATTCTAACTAGACTCCCGTCCTGGGCCTCAGACAAGTTCTGCACAGGCCTGCCTAGTGGTGGTAGTGAGGGTAGTGACTTTGGCCAGGAAATAGTATTGTAGGCTAGGGACTAATGTTGCTCACCCATTTTTACTCTAAAATTTCTTTAGTACAGTATGTATGGCCTTCCATTTCTAACAGCTACGTGTCTTCTTATAGATAAGTGACTTTATTTCTTTAAAGAAATAATGAACTGTCATTCAAACAAAGCAAAATGCCCCAATATTATGTACAATTTCAGCCTTGGGCATCCTGACCCTATTAGCTGCTTTTTTTCCTTTTATTGTTGACAATGTTGGCCATGTTTTTAAAAATACTAAGGTTTCTGGCTGCAGCTTTTTCTTAATTGAGCATCCATAACACTAACTCTGAAAGTAAACTCCTCACAGAGGAGTTGCATTTTTAAAAATACAATAAAAGAGTAATTCTTCGAGCTAGTAAACTTTTTTCGGATTTTCTTTTGCAAGCAGGGCTGTTGAAATCTATTTGTAAGTTTGGAATTGTAAACTGTAAGTGTTTGGATATGTGTTTTCGTGGAAAGATGTTTAAGAATGCCACCTAATATTTGCTACAAGATAAAAATGTGTGCGTAGTCAATGCCTTTTTATCCAGGATGAAATGTACTCTGAAAAGACGCATGTGTATCAGTCACCCTTGCAAGTTTTCTGTGCCTTGGACAGTGGCTGAACAGACAACAGCATATTAGGTTCAGTGTCACTCATGGCACCAGCACCATCTCTATGCTTAGAATCATAGAATCGTACCGTTGGAAGGGACCATGAGGGTCATCTAATCCAACCCCATGCAATCTTTTGCAACGTGGAGCTTGAATCCATGACCCTGAGGTTAAGCATGCTACTAGGCTCTACCACCTGAGCTATCTCAGGAACGCCATTGGTAGGAACAACTTTGCCTGTTGGGCTCATTGAGCTTGCTAAGATATAGGAGGAATAACTGGAGGAGGAATAACTGGAACATCCTGGTCACTGTTGTTGGTCATGGTGTAGATCTTGTTTGGGACCTGCATAGAACAGGGTGTAAAATTCATCCTGTAGCTGTGGGGGAGATTGTGAAGAACAAAGGGAGAGACAGGGAGAATGAGCAATAGACCTCAGCCGGAGCTCATCATTCCTGAATCTAGATACTCAGTGGCTGAACGTGGGTGGGAGCAGAGGGCGTGGTGCCACCTGTATGTTTAGACAGCACTTATGCCTCAGGCTCCCCTCTCTCATGTGGGAAGGAGAGGAATGCAGTGACTGTGTGTGTGTGTGTGTGTGTGTGTGTGTTTATCTACATATCTCTGGATCTACCGTGTATCCATCCCTTGGGGGTTGCAGTGGAATCCAGAACATGCATGCAGTTGTTCCTTTAAAGCCAAACTGCTGATGAGTATTTGGCCAGCAGTGGTGACGGCTGGGGACAGAGTGCCTGGCCTTTGCCAACTGGGAGCTTAACTGTATGGGAATAAGTGCCTCTCCTCTGCTTGAAAGACCCTGCTTCCTGCTGTTGATAATAGGGAACAGCATTAGAGCAGTACATTTCAGACAAGATTTGATATTCATATACAGTGTTACCTCAGGTTACAGACGCTTCAGGTTACAGACTCCCAGAAACAGTACCTCATGTTAAGAACTTTGCTTCAGGATGAGAACAGAAATCGTGCGGCAGCTGTAGGAGGCCCCATTAGCTAAAGTGGTGCTTCAGGTTAAGAACAGTTTCAGGTTAAGAACGGACCTCCAGAATGAATTAAGTTCTTAACCCAAGGTACCACTGTATGGCAAAAGGGGTAGGTAGAAGACAAGGGAGAGGATTCTGAAGTTATATTTCTGCTTAGCCTAGCAGTCCTAGTTGTGGAGTGGGGTGTTGGCTGTTTGTGTCGAGAGAGTCCTGAGGCAGGAGTACTTCTCAAGGTTCTAGGTAGAGAAGTGTTAATAATGTCCCAGAATATTCTGAGGACAGTTTTGTGCAAAGTTCTCCTTTGCAGCTCTAAATATTGTAACACAGGGACAGAGAGTTGTACTCCGTGTCATATGTCTTATTTGAATTACAGTGGTGCCTCGCAAGATGAAATTAATTCGTTCTGCGAGTTTTTTCGTCTTGCGGCTTTTTTTCGTCTTGCGAAGCACGGTGTCGGAAAAGCTTTGGAAAAGCTTCAAAAATCACCAAAGTCCTCAAAAACCTCAAAAAAGGCTACCACACCGCGTGCTATGAGTTGCTCCTCGAAGTCAAGTCGCAACTGTATTAACGGTTTTAAGAAAAAGGAAACAAACTTGCAAGACTTTTCCATCTTGCGAAGCAAGCCCATAGGGAAAATCGTCTTGCGAAGCAACTCAAAAAACCAAAAACCCTTTCGTTTTGCGAGTTTTCCGTCTTGCGAGGCATTCGTCTTGCGAGGTACCACTGTATGGTCTTCCTGTTGGAGGTTTGGTGTGCTGTGATTTGGTGCTAACATTATATCCCATGTTTGGTGGTCCTCAATATAGTGGGGGTTTTTAATACCCCCCTCATTGGAAATCAAAGAGAGGAAAATTTCTTGCATCATATCCAGCTGTGCTGTCAGAAGTGGGATAGCTCTGATCTGGAGGGTTACGGGGTATGGTTTAAGTGTGTACATCCCTTGCTTTATTTTGTGATGCAAGTTTGTGACCTCACAGTTTTAGTTACCATATACAGTAGTACCTTGGTTTACGAACTTAATCTTTTCCGGAAGTCTGTTCTTAAACCAAAGCGTTCTTAAACCAAAGTTTGCTTGCCCATGGCAGCAGGGGACTCAATTTACAAATGGAACACACTCAACAGCAAGCAGAACATGTTTTGCTTCCAAGGCAAAGTTCACAAACCAAAACACCTACTTCCAGGTTTGCAGTGTTCTTAATCTAAGTTGTTCATAAACTAAGCTGTTCTTCAACCAAGGTACCACTGTATGTCTACTTTTTGCTACTGGTGAAAAATAATTGATATTTACAAATAGTAATATAATAGAGTATTTGAGAGCATAGTATAATCTACATTCTGTCTACCTAGGCAAGGTAGTCAAATCAAGTAGTGAATATTTTAACAGTGGGTAATAAGTAGGGTTGGAACGTATATCCAGGTTAAAATAGTGTGGCCTCAGATATGTCTCTGTTCCTCTGCCTTGATTTTTGTGAGGGTAGAAAGCCACTCTTAAGTTCCATGGAGGGATGGATGATATAAAAAGTAATGAATAATGTCTCAGGAGTGTTGCTGCCATATGGGTCAGACAGATGTCATATTAAACAAAATGTGTGCTGGTCTGACAAATTTGCCTTGCATATTTTAGAGAAGTTCTTTATGCCTCGTCTTTCGTTTTAAAACTTGGTACTGCAGCATATAATAGCCTAAGGCCATAACTTGCTGGTGTAACAATTTACTTTATTCAGTGGGTACAACTGTGGAGGGTTTGTGTACACAGCACACTTTTGCCTAATTCCCACTCCCTTGTCCCAATTCCCCTCTACCTTTACACCACATTGCAAGCTGTTTATAAACTCTACTTAATTTCACAAGTAGTATGTCATAAGATGCTGAGTACTTCTGCTTCGGGGAGGAGCCAAAAGACAAAAGCCCTGCTGTGTGAGCAGAGCTAGCCAGGCAGTTCTGTCAGTCGAAGCTTTAGTTTTATTGAGATTTCTTTGAAGAATATAAAAGAAATATTGTGCAAATAATAAATGCAAGTATCTTCTTGCATCTTTTATCTTGGAATATATATTCTAATTCCATCAGATGCTTATCTTGGCATCATTTAGCTTAATGACTGTCCAGAAAAGATTTCCACTGTAAGCATTTATGAAAGTTCTTTAAGTTCTGTATATTGATTACATATTGTAAAACCATTAAAAAGCAGCCAGGGGCATGGACATTGTTTCCCCCTTATACCTACACTTTCCACTTTACTTTTAAATAAGTAACATCAAGGCATAGCCTTATAGAGTTTTTATACTTCAATTGGTAGATAAAACAGCATGAGAAGTTGTATTCCAGTTTTGTCTTGATATGAACTATGCATTTCTTAGTATGGGCAGTTAAACTCTCTGATCAGCTGTTTCCTGTTCAGGGTTTTAGAATATGGTTTGCGCTATTCATTGTTGTTTGAGTCACTTGATTAAAAGATAAGAACAAGGATATGGAGGAACAAAAATAAAGAGCTCTTGTCCTTTGACTGAGCAGGATTTTGGGCATACTTTGCATTCAAGGACCTAACACTTCAGGTTTTGGTACCATGAGATGGGGGTAAGCGGTACAGTATATACTTGCTTACATAGTGTTGGAGAATATCTGCTGTAGTACATCTCCTGATTGAGAGGCCAGGATGCAGAATCTACTGAGCTGGGTAGACCTGGCCTCTGAAAAACTGGGGCTGCATACATTTAAAGCCTTCTGCCCCCACAAAAAGAAATCCTGGTAGCTGTAATATACCACTAACAGTTCACAGAACTACAGTTCCTGGGATTCTTGGGAAGTTGGGAAATGTGCTTTCAATGTGCTTTCAATTTTCTTCCTGATTCTAATCTAAAAGTATGATCCACCTCTTCATGAGCACAGCTGCAGGTGCACAAAAGGTCAGCATGGGACTCAGTGGAGCCCAGTTCCCTGCTTCTTCCCCTCCCCCACATTGCAATCTGCCAAGCCATTACTGGGAATGGGAGGCTTCTGTGCGCCTCCCACAGCTCCTTGCCTGGTACAAATTACTCATGTTTAGTGTACTTCATGTGGCAAATCTGTCCGCACCCACAAGGTGATGGGAGTGCGAACAGCACACTGTTAAGATTTGTGGCAGTCCCTCTGTGCATGGGCAGCTGTACTTTCTTGGAAGTAGATCGTGCTATGTATTTTTATATTTTACTACTTGTTTAACAGTGAGATATTTCAATGTCTTAAATATTTACAGACAAACTATAAATCTTCAAGCTCTGGACAGTTTAGAAAAACAAATTGGCTTTCTTAGTTTCTACTTGTTAAATTTTCTCATATCAAACTAGGTTTCCTACTTTAGGAAGATTTCATCATAAAATTGTAGAGTACATAGAAATGATGCAGAACAGATATTATATACTTCTACATAAAATTAGTTTTCAGAGGTTTCTAAAGCAGGATGGATGATGATGATGATGATGATGATGACAACAGCAGAAAGAACAAAAAACTTAGTGCAGTGTAGAAATGGTATAAATGGTATAAAAGGTAAAGCGACTCCTGACCATTAGGTCCAGTCGCAAATGACTCTGGGGTTGCGGAGCTTATTTCGCTTTACTGGCGTAGAGCTTCTGGGTCATGTGGCCAGCATGACTAAGCTGCTTCTGGCGAACCAGAGCAGTGTACGGAAACGCCGTTTACCTTCCCGCCGGAGTGGTACCTATTTATCTACTTGCACTTTGACGTGCTTTCGAACTGCTAGGTTGGTAGGAGCAGGGACCGAGCAACCCATGTCCCTAATGGTATGTCTTTTGCTAAATGACAAAAAAAAAAAAACCTTAGATAGAATTGTAAGTAATATATGGGCATAACAGTCCAAAGGAAGCCAGTGTAATTTACACTGGGGTAAATTATGCTGGTGTAACTTACCCCTATTTCAGAAACCATTTAGGAGTGAAGCTACTGCTGGCTGAGCCAGCCCAAGCCTGGCAGAGGGGAACAAAGCCTTCAAAGTAGAATATGACTTACTCTACCCTTTTTGCCATTGTAACTTCCACTGGGTTGCTAGGTCACAACTGAGTGGAAAGCGTTTGGAATAGAAGTAAGTCTCCCCTTGTGCCACCAGACCCCTTTTAGGGGGCTTATGCCAGCTTATTTTTTGACTTGGACAGGATGAGGGACTTCAGGCGCTGTAGCCCAGACTGAGCCCAGCCAAAGATTTCCTTGTTTCAGACTCCTCTCATTTTGTCAGACCATGATTTTGATTGCCTCCTGTAATGAGTATGGGTTGCTCGTGCGTAAGTTGCCGCCTCTCCTGGCTATGTTGTCTTGTTAAACCTTTCTGTCTGGACAGCCCTTCACTTCGTGGCTGCCTCAGTCGCTAGCAGAATCCGTCAGTGGGCGTTTCTTAAACCTTTTCCAACATAAAAGTTGTTTGACGCCAAGTCTCCTCCTACTCTCCCTGCGCGGAAGCCTTCTGCGCAGGGAGGGCGTGGGTAGCGGAGGACCCGTGCTCTCCCCGCTGGTGTCCGGTGAAGATTCCTGGAGCCCTCTCGCCGATTCCCACATCTGCCCCCCTTTATCCCTGGTGTTGCGCTGATTTGCTTCCCCATCTGCTGAGCTGCCTCTCTCCCTGCTGGGCCCTTCTCCAGCATCATTTGAGAGCCTTCCCTCCGCCTCTAGCTCCGATGTCAGTTCCCTGACACCTCCCTAACACTGTGTACTTCCTACATGCTTGACATAAAATTGGAGATCAAATATTTTAGGTTGCAATCCTAACCACACTTATCTAGCCTCATTGAATTCAGTCTGGCTTACTTTTAAGTTGGATTGCCCTGTTAACCCTTTTTTAGTTTTATAACTTTATGCAAAAGAGAGAGAGTAGGATTAAGTGATACTGGTGCTATTCACCGAGGTTATCAGAATACAAAACTTGAAAATGTTAGTCGTCATATCTGGTTGCATTTTGATAGCAGGAAAATATTTTTATGCTTTGATGTATTATTATTTCTCTTTACTTAGCTCCTAGAGAAACACAAGAATACCGAAAGCATGGTAGAGCTGCTTGAACTATATCAAATGGAAGATGAAGCATATAGCATTCTTGCTGAGGCAACTACAGAACTTTATCAGTACTTACTGCAGCCATTCCGAGATATGAGGGAGCTTGCAATGCTCAGAAGACAGCAGATAAAGGTACACATTAACATAAATCTTATAATTTAAATTTATTTATTTTGAAAAATAACAAAGAAGATAAAATGAATATAAATCTTAAAAGGTGTTACATGTGTTTATACATAATCTGTTTTTGTCTTTTAGAAATTTTGGTCATTTTCAAATCACCTTGTGATGGTTCTGTTTAAAATTCTTGAAAGTTTGAGTTCCGTATTTACTTGTATGTTCTGCCTGTCTTATCTATCTGATCTATAATTAGGGCATGGATTTGGAGAGTTTGGAATTTTTATTTGGAATTCCATATTTTTATTGCTTTTATTGATTGATCTAAATTCTGTGCTGCTTTCCTGTTAAAATATCCAGAGTGACTTAGAATAAAAATGGGCCCAGTTAAAACAATAAAAACAGTACAGGTAGCAGCAGCCATATGCAGCAGAATAGAGATCTCGTAAAAGTCACGTGAACATCTGAAAATGGCAGAACCACAGGCCAGTGACTAGAAGTCTTGAAAAACAAAAAGCCACTGACCTGCTGTGTATAAAAATAGTTGTGTTTGGGTGCCAAATCAGAATGGGTCCAGATAGTTAATGGTGCTCATAAAAGCTAAAATTGATCCTCTACCACAGAGCTTTCCAAACTTTTCATGTCGATGACACACTTTTTAGACATGCATCATTTCATGACACATTAATTCAGTTTTACTAGCAAACCAGAGGTTAAAGTAACCCCTTTCCAGTCCCGGGAGGAGTGCGGGAAGTGTTCACGTGACACACCTACATACTGCAGCCGACACACTAATGTGTTCCAACACAGTTTGGAAAGCTCTGCTCTACCACCTGTAGAATCCCCAAATATCCCCCAAAGGGAAAACTTGTGACTGGCTAATAGTTGTTGATATTTATAGTTGTTACAATGTTGTTGTTGTTTAGTTGTTTAGTCGTGTCCGACTCTTCGTGACCCCATGGACCAGAGCACGCCAGGACCAGAGCACGCCATTTTTGTTACAATAATCTCCATCAAAGGAGGGCTTCTAATGTTAATAGAGTTGATCTGATGACTGCCTCCTACAAGGTGGCTGGGACCACTCTTCTTATAATGAAGCATTAACCACCTGAGGTGTTACTGAAGTGCTTTGTCCTACTGTTATTCTGAGTGTACCCGAACCCCTTGACACAAGAAGCTTCATGCTGTAGGTGACTGTTTAGAGCAAAGACTTATGCAAGGCAGGGCAAGGGACTGAACAGTGAAGTACCCCCTCCCCCTTTCTCATTTGAGGTATGTTTACCCTCATTGCCTCAGATAAGAGAACTCTTGATATATGCAAATGTTTCACTCTGTACCTGTCTGCATTTGCATACAGCCACTACAGGCAATCGCCTCTAAGGACATAAGAACAGGATGAGGCCATTGGCTCATCTCATACAGCATCCTGTTCTCACAGTGGTCAACTAGATGCCTATGGAAAGCCCACAAGCAGGGTCTGAGTGTTGATTCCACTTCAGCAGAGCCTGTTCTTTGTCCTTCAATATGCTTGGTTATTTTATCTTTCAAAAAGTTTGTCTGCGACAGATGAAACACACCTCTAGCTCTACCTTTTCAACTATGGGTTTTGAGTCTTTAGCACAGGGATAGCCAATATAGTGCTATCCAAATGTTGGACTCAACTCCCATCATTCCTAATTGCTGGTCACGCTGACTGTGGCTAATGGGGGTAATAGTCCAACAATAGTCTGGAGGGAGGAAGGGAAAGGAGAAAGGAGAATGTTAGCTGCTTTGAGACGCCTTCGGGTAGTGATAAAGCGGGATATCAAATCCAAACTCCTCCTCTTCTTCTTCTTTAGTAGCTAGTCACCTACATCAGAGGTTTTCAACCTTTTTGAGTCTACGGCTCCCTTGACCAGCTACATTCTTTCTGCGGCACCCCTGTGGGACTCAGGAACCCAGTTATGTCACCCCTTGCTTGCAGAACTGGCAGCCTCTCACCCTTTTTTGAACACCCTCCCATGTGGAGTGTTCCCTCAGCCTCCTCTCCTCTCCCCTCTCCTTGGGCATCCTCTGAGCCACTGCAGCTGCCACCCTGGTCTTTGAGCCTCCCCCCCCCCGCCCCAAAGAGAGGTGCCTCCTCACATTGCCCCACAGGGGCCTGGGTAGCACCCCCTGGCCAGCCCCAGAGGCATCATTTCCCTAGGGAGCTTGTAGCCAGGGCTGCTGCAATAAACAGTTGTGCAAGCCTTTGGGAGGCAGAGACGCAGGAGGGCATCAGAAGAGGGAGAGAAGGAAAGAGGGTCAGAGGCTGGTGCTGCCCATGGCACCCCTGACTATCATTCAGGGCACTGGCCTACATGTTTCAAAGGCTTCCCGCAGAAGCCTCTTTCTTTGAACAAAGGCTGGAATCATGTAGGAGACACCAGAGTCCATTTTAGAAGTTTGATTTAAATTTTAATAGTCATGCAAGCACATTTCATATAGAAAATCCTGAAACAATACTAATATCTTTAAAAGACAGTTCTGTGGATGTACTTTGTGAACCAGCCAATCAAATTTTCCATAGCGCGAATTCATAGAATCATAGAGTTGGAAGAGACCACAAGGGCCATCGAGTCCAATCCCCTGCCAAGCAGGAAACACCATCAGAGCACTCCTGACATATGGTTGTCAAGCCTCTGCTTAAAGACCTCCAAAGAAGGAGACTCCACCACACTCCTTGGCAGCAAATTCCACTGTTGAACAGCTCTTACTGTCAGGAAGTTATTACCTACCAGTGTAATAAAATCTTTGTTAAAGCAAAGATAAGTTGATGTTTCATTTTGCTCTTGTCCTTTGTACAAGGAATAGTTAAAAATTTAGGCACTCTAACATTTTTATAGTGTTCTAAGGATAGGGAACACAGGGTATAATTGTGTTTAATGAGTAAGATTGCTTTCCTAATACGCCTTTTTATAAATCTCTTCAAACCAAATCAGTTAGATCATTTAAGGGGTAGAGATTGGGAGATATGCCAAAATATGCTTTTAATATATGAATGGCATGTTATCCATAGTAACATGCTAATCATTTTCATTTGTGAGGAAAAACAGCCCAAGTTAAGCATGCTCTCCCCACAGAAAAGTGATATATTACAGTTGCAGACCCCTGCAAAAGCTTTTCATTAGAAGTAGAGTGGGATTTGTGCGCAACTGCTCATGTGATACTTGATTTGCAGAGTGCCTCTCAGTACAAATTATGTCTTGGAAATTTCTCCTTCCAGACAGTAGCATTCTGTGGGAGCTTTGATTGCTTGTGAATTCTCAGCAAGAAGCTGTATTGTTCACCTTTCCAAACCTTTATCTAAAGGATGGCTCTCATCCTTTTACCTGAGTCCTTCCATTGGTAGACAACAGATGTCCGAATAAATGCGTGTGCTGTGACTGAGCTTGTCACTTCAAAAAGTCCCTTTCTCATGCTTGGATCCGATGCAAATTTATGAAGATTTACCCATGCTGTAATGCTTACTCAGATTAGTAGCTAAGAGCAAATAATTTAGGAAACATTTGCTCGTGAGATTTATCTCCCTAAGTTATTTCTAAGCAGTTCCTGAAAGCACATGATCATTCATCTGTCCTTCCCAGTTAAATTATTTCATCTATATCATAATTGTTAAACAGTTTAACTTTTTGAAGTTTTCTGTGTAGCTTTTAAGCTTTGATGGTGGATATAATGTACTGATCTATTTTCAGATATCCATAGAGAATGATTACCTGGGACCTAGAAGAATTGAGAGTCTACAAAAAGAAGATGCAGACTGGCAGCGGAAGGCCCACATGGCTGTGCTTTCTATTCAAGACCTCACTGTTAAATATTTTGAAATAACAGCAAAAGCACAGAAAGGTAATGGAGTTTTACTACTTCATGTTTTCCAATAAAGGCCTTTTAAGAACTAGGAAGTCTTATTTACATGATCCAAGGTCTTATAGCTGCACCTTCTTACTTTGTCTCAAATCACTGTCATTGCTTTTTTATGAATTGCTAGTAGAGATGGACAAATAAGACTTCATCTGGTTTGTGTCACTTTTCATGTGTATTCATCTGTAGATTAAACCTGCCCTTCCATGTGGATTATAAAAATCAGTACAGGTTTAGCACGTTCTTTTCATTAAGTACTTACAATTTGAAGTCTAACATTACATTATTATTATTATTATTATTATTATTATTATTATTATCCCACATACTAGCTGTCTGGGATGGCCAGAAAAAAATGCATTAAAATGGGTCCAGTGTTGCCCATGCTAGCAATGGAACATGATTTTGTTTAAGGAAAGAAGGAGAGAGAGTGAGAGAGATGGTATTGTACCCAGGGAGGCAGCCATATTTTTTCCTTGCATTGTAACGGAGAATCTCCCAGAACATTGTATGGAAAAAGATGGCGGGCTGCCTCCATGGAGACAGTCATGCTGCTTTTGTACAAAGTCCATTGTACAATATGGACAATGTGGATTGATGCAATGGTTCTTGGCTCTTGAAACTTAATTATTTTGGAAAAGTGAGAATCTTACACAGTTTCCTTCCTTCCTCGAAGTCTTTAAAAACATTTACATGATGGTTCATAGCAGTAGGGAAAGGGGCTGGCATAGGCTTTAATTGAGTCATTTCCTTCCTCCTCACCTCTTCTTTCTCCCCCTCCCTCCTAGGATAGTATTTCTATGCCTTATAGTGTAATGGCCACTTCTCAGATTGGAAGGCCCTGATATTCATTTACACATCCTTCTGTCCAATTCTTTCTTGCTTTCATAGCCTCCCAATTACTCAACTCTTTCTCAGTCTTGAGGTATTGAGATTTCACACTAAATTTGGAGAGATCCCTTATATTTTTAAAAAACATTCTTGGTTTGTGATTCGATTTGTAAACTGAGTACTTGTATGTTCGGACTGAAAATGATATTGATGTTGAAAGATCTTGACATTACTGCTGCTATAGGCTGCTAACAAAGTGAAAAGGGATTTTGTAAACTTCTAACATATACATTAGCCTGTTCCTGCTAATTAATGTTCCTGTGAATTAATTAATTAATTGTTCTTGTGAATTAATTAAATTGTAGAATGATGCAGTATAAGAAGCAATGTAATATCTCATTCACAAGTAAAACCTTTGTGAAATGTATCCTTGTTCTCAGGATCTGTCACTAAACAGCAAAATAGGTTATCTGAAAATACTTATTCAAATTTTGCTAGACACGTAAAACATTGTGACATTTCAGTCCTCCATTTTGATTCAAAATGGCATCCAAATGGTGACAAAGTTTGCTGCCCTCAGGAACCCTCGTGCTGTGTTTGGCGATGTTATGTTGAGATGCGTCTGAAACTATACCAAAAAAGTTCAACCAAGTTCATGTTTTGGTCCACCATCTTGATTCAGCATGGCGTCTGGCATCCAAACATTGACAAAGAGTGCCACCCTCACCTCGGAAACTCTTGTGCCAAGGTGTCCGAATGTATAGAGAACAAATGGACAGACAGACAAACCATTTCCCAAAATACATAGTAGCTTTTGGATATACCATACCTTTTCTTTAGGGGGCAGTAAATTAATTTATGTCCACACCTGCCCAACCTTAGTCCCTGTAAGAGTTCTCTGTCTGATCCTGTGTAGGATTATGCCCTTGGCTAAGCAATAAAGATTTTATTTTATTTCTTTACACAAACATATGCTTAAGTCCAAGCTTTGTAATGAAATATGAAACATTTCCATATATGACAAATCTGTTTTTTAAAAAATCATTTTTTACAGCTGTATATGATCGAATGCGAGCAGACCAGAAAAAGTTTGGTAAGGCAGCTTGGGCAGCAGCAGTGGAACGAATGGAAAAGCTTCAGTATGCAGTGTCTAAGGAGACTTTGCAGCTTATGAGAACAAAAGAAATCTGTTTGGAACAGAAGAAACATGCGTTAAAAGAAGAGGTAATTTTTTAGAGTAATTAGATTTTTAAAATACAAAAATAAATTGGTTTGTTACCTCAAACTGCTTTGAAAACAATATAAAATCCGCTACTACGTTGACTTATTGGAGAGACTGGATTTTTTTTTTACATAAATGTATTTCTCTTTCAAGAATGCAGGAGCTAATTGTGATTTACTTTCTATGAAAATTTGAATGGCAAGATAGTATGAATATTTCCCCCCGCTTGGAAGTTATCCTTGTATAGAAAAAAATCACTTCAAAATATGGAGTGCCCCATTTGTGATTAGATTATTGTGACACTCACCACATTTTCTTTCTTCCTTTTCTTCCCACTGTCTCCATGTTGTCAAAATGCAGTTTATAAGCTCTTGAGTCAGGAGCAATCTTTTTGATTATAGAACTCTGTGAAGTGGCCATACACATTGATGGCATCATTTAAAACTGTCGTCTCCATTTGCAGCCAGTATAGAAAAATATTGAGCATTTTCTGTTTTTCCCCAGAGCTCCATTTTAAAAGGAATAACATGAACTGATTTGTACAACTGACTCACTGCAAAATCTGACTTACATCTTTCTCACTTAATTGATTCTGATTCTCTTGAGCATTTTGAGGGACATTTATCAAAGAAAGTGCTTATTCATGTTGAAATTTATTACCAGACATGCATTACTGCAAAAACTAGCCCTGCAAGTAAATTCATTGGAAGTTTGAAGCACACAAGTTGTTTCAACATGCTTGTCGTGAATTAGTGCATTAGTTATTTTAAATAAATGTGCATGCTATTATATACATAGATTCTCTGGGTGACAAGCTAGAGGCCTTCAGTATAACCATGGATTAAGGCTGCTGTTAATAGACAGGTCAGATGATAGAAACGTAAAAACTGCTGTTTCAGCTCTATCCCCAGTTCATTTCCCTGTCTACTTTCCTTCTTACTTTTCCAATCCTTGTTGCCTTTCCACCAATGGTTTTAACTGAGGACAGATTGATGAGGCAGCAAATGTAGGTGGGGAAAAGAGAAGATTTTCTTGCTGTCTTGTTTGATCAGCAGAGTCAACAAACACCACCTTAGCTTCAGGATTTGATTGTGGTACCCTCTGTCAATTACCAAAGAGGCAGCGCTCTTCAGGTAGCAGAAACCTAATCTTCCTGTCCATGATCATTGCCATAGAATTTGCAAACATACCCCTTTCTGGATCAAGGCTGATTCATTAGACCATAGGTGCCAACTCCCTGGGTGCCCGGGCACCCACAAAATTCCCCATGAAGGGACCAGGCACCCACAAATTTTGGTGCCCCTATGGTCACGGGGCCAAGTTAGCACTTCTGCATTAGGCTGTCCTTCCTTCCTAAGGCGAAGGACAGATTTATTGGCCTTTCATTTTCACCCTCTCAGGAGGCTGGATTGTTAAGCCACCATGGGCAGCACACACTTTTTCTGCAGATTAAGGATGGTCTTTCCCACCTGTCTAAACAAGTAGTTAAACCACATTGTAAAAGAAAGGTGGTAACCCAAATGTCAACAGTTTCCATTTTCCCGTGCCTCTTGGCTATGGCTTACTGTCCAGGAAGGACTTTAATCGGGGTTGTCATCAGTTCTTTTTTGGACCGGTGGGTACATTTTGAATTTTGAGAGAGTGCTGGGGGCATCAGTCACAAAATTGTTGCCCAGGGGAGTGGCATAACACAACAAGGTTGTCATGGGGAGCATGCTGTAACAGAAAATTAAGAGGGAGTACTGTCATGGTGAAGCTTTCCCCCTAACTGTATTTCTATTCTAGAAAATGCTTAACCTATTGAATTTAGGCCCACCATACAGCTGTCAAAGGTACAAGAACCCTGTTCCCGCCCCGTAGTGCCAAACCTAAACCAAAGCCTAGGCTGCCATCCTATACCCACTTAGCTGCAAAGAGAATTGTATCTAATTAGACTGCACTGTGGATCCTTAAAGAGTGCCTGGTCTTTAGCTCTTACATAGCAGGAGACATGCTTACGCTACTTTGCAAAGTTTTAACATTTGCCTTCTGGGAGAGGGGGATTCTTTAACATACACCCACCCTTATTGTGTAATAGTATTTGCTGAAAATAAATTCTAGGGACTTTCAATTCAAAGCCCAACCCTTCAATGTTGCTTCACTGCCCAGAGTCTTAACAAAGATAATGATGGTAAAGGTGTTGCATCAAGTCTGCAAGGTATTCACATTTATTCCTATCTAGACAACCTGCTGGTCAGGTCCCCTTTGTTGCTTCAAGCGAGGGAGGAACTTGTTACAACACAGTTTGGGGATGGAATTGGATAGTAAACCTCGAGCAACAGCATTGCTGTGTGTGTGTGTCAAAGTGATCAGGCCTGAAAAACAGATAGCTCAGGATATTTCTTTGCACAGGGAATGCAGAGATAGCAGCCTGTGGTCTTCCTTTGCGAGGGAATACAAGGACAAACAACCAGACCAAAAATGAAGGGCCAAAGCTTTATTATTTAAAAATACTTACCCAGTGAGGTTTTCTCTCCCTTGTGAAGATTGACTCTGGAGGAAAAGGGAAATAGAAGTTGGAGTGAAGATACTACCCTACCCAGCACACTAACCCTAAATTCACACACAGAGGATGGAGTACACCCACACCCCAAAGACCTGAGCTAGAGATCCTGTAAGAAAAAAAAAAGGAAAAACATGAGGCCTGCAGATACCTGTTGCCTCTTTGGATTTCTGCAGTTTTAAATCTCTGAATTATAATCCTTTCTTCAAATTGTAATTCATTTCCCAATTGGCTTCTTCCAGTTGGCCTTCTCGGTTCTACTTGATCTTCTCCACCATTGGTGTTTCTGCCCCATATTTCCTCTGAGTTGATATTGAGAGAGAACTGTTTTTATAGTCATGTGTTGTGGCATACAAAAGTTCTTTTCCATAGAATCCATAATTTCAATTGGCTTGTGAAAACATCATTCATCTCTGCCAAGATCCAGGTTTGAATTGTTTCAATATTGTTCTCTACGCTTGCATAGGAACATCTTCCATTTGTTTATAGCAAAGTCCACATTGCCAGCTCGCTCATCTGCTAGGCTACATCTGTTTCTTTGCTTCTTAGCCCTCTTTAAGGGAAATCATTCTCATAAAAACACATATGTAACTCCTGGTTTCCATGAAGTCACTAAGGCTTGTATTATTTCTTATCAAAGTTGTTACATTCTGTTCTGCAAAGTTCAGAAACAAATTTTCAGTCCAACTGGGTTGAAAATGCAACTTTAACTTTCAAAACGATATAATAGAATACAGAGATGAGATGCATGTTCTTAAAAGCATTATAAGTAATGCTTGAACATAAATTTATCTAACAAACATGTACTTACAAGGTTGCCAAATACACAAGTTGTGCTCTAGTGTTTCTGCTTACTAGGGCTGCCAACTGACTAATACAATGTTTAAAGATACAAGATGTATTTTAATTGCGACAATCTAGCCAACAAAATGTGCTTGGTCTCCTGATTTCCAGCATCAAAGTTGTGCCGTGGGCCAAGTTCCACTCTCATCACATCCACTGGCTGCCCTGATTGTTTTAGATTCAATATTGCCCCTAGGGGCTCTGGAAAAGACCATCTAGTTTCCCTTCCAGTCATTTGGCAGCCTCTTTTGCCTTCACCCATGTTAGCCTATGGACAATACATCAGATCAACTGAGGAAGGTGTAGGGGAGAATGAACTAGGCCTCATTCAACGCACAGGGAGTCCAATCTCCTGTCCCACAAGACCGAGTATATTCTGGGAACTCAGAACAGGAGGATTTTTTGAGGTCCTGCCCAATAGTTTTGGGTGAGTAGGATGTTTAGTTTTGTTTTTGCATTTTTCATTTGGATTCAGTATTTTTGCCAACTGAGCCTTCCTTCCTGCCTAAAGTGAACTCCTCATTTCACTGTTTGCAGGAAAAATTGCTCTCTTCCTTTTACCTAAACTCTCTCATTAGAGTGGCCAGGGCATTAACCAGATGTTTGAAGGGCTCTCACAATATATCTCTAAATAACTTAGCTAATTCAGAAATCTGACTTTCTGTTCATCTTTCATTCCATAACTTTGGGTAAAAAGATGTCCTTCTCTACGTGGTCTAGAATCTAGATGGTTCAGTGCCTGCATCACTACAGCATATGAGGCTTAGTATCTCCCTTCACCCCTTAATGTTACTGCTCTTTTTACTAGGGCTGCAGCTACCTCTGCTGCCTATTCAAATAATGCCTCTTCATTGGAAATGTGCAAGGTCGTTATATGGGCTACTCCAACCACTTTTACCAAGCATAAAATGGACAATGCTTTAGCCGAGGCAATGTTTGGGGGAAAGGTGCTTTAAAAGGTTATTCCTGCTTCCTAGTTTTCATGGGTAGATGAGTGTTTCCCGTCCTCAAGGGCTGAGCTTTGGCACATCCCATGGTGGCACTGGAGAACTCCTAGACATTATCCAGAGAATGGATCATTGGATATTTGCTATGAACGCTCCTTCTAAAATAACTTTGGGAAGACTCCAGGCCCACCTTGGATCTGCCTCTGTTGGCAGCCTTTACTTGCCTCTTTAAATCTGGTCCTGGATATTTTCTCTGGTTCTTGGACCTCTGGTTTGTGTCATGCCGTATAGAGGGAACTGATGGTTCTCTGACATCTCTTCCTTCTCTGTGTTACAGTTTGCAATCTTGCCATAGTGTCCTATATGCTGTCATTTTTTAAAAATGTTTTCCAGTGTGCTTTTCTTTTGCTAGATAATTCTGCTTTAACTATTTGTGCTTAAAATTTGGGTTCCTTCTTTGAAAATGGCATACTGAAATAACGTTGACCATTGTTGTAGTTCTATCACTCATAAAAGTTGTTAGTAACATAATTAGGGATTTTTTTGTCCCTTGCTTGCATCATTTAGCAGTCCCTGCTGGATTTTGGGTCCTAATTTGACAATGTGGATGAAGACTTTTGATGCAAGGGAAGAAAACAAGACTGAGTTTCTATTTTACTTGATACCAAATACATTTAAATTATTATTTTTTAAACCCATGAGCACAGTTAGTTTCTTCCTTTAAGAACTTGTATATAAATACATAGAATATGGGTAGTTATAGCGTGAAAGGAACAGTGAAGAGTTTTCTTGGAGGCATACCAGATCCTGTTTTGCAGTTCAGCTGCCAGGCCTTGTCTTTGTGATGACAGCTAGAAACGCCAAATCATCAAGTAGTCTTTGTAGTTCTCTAAATGTGTAAAACAGCGTAGGTACCTAGAATAGAATATTAGGGCATTGCGTTAAGGGCTAAACTGCATGTTCACAAGCAAACATTTTCCACTTACTGTAAAAATAGGGCTTTTTTTGGTAACCCAAAAAATTCTTCAATAGATTTCTCCAAAGCTTACCTTTTCAGAGAGGTTCACAGCAGGTTTGGCTCCTCCTCCTCTTCTTCTTCTTCTTTAAAAACATAGCTGCTGCCTTGTTTGTTATCATGTAGCTAGTCAGGTTTGGTTGTGCGACAATATTAGCAAGGGGAAATGAAAATAATTGTGTGGCAGTGTCACTGTTTTACTTGGGAGATTTTCTTTTTGCCATAATTGGTACCAGAGCAGCAGCCTTTGGGGGCTGTGAAGAGCCCGTTCTGTGATGTCATTGCTGCCTGAAATTCAAGTGCCAAGGGAACATCATGTGCATCGGGGCACCTGAATGTGTGCCAGGGAGACTTCCCTCTATACAAATACTGTTGTTCCCATTTCTGCAGTCTGAAAAATTGCCAAAAGTGAGGTTGTATTTCATGGGGCAGAAGAAAAAAAGTGTCCTGTTTTTCTTCAGCCCTTGTTTTATTCCAATAAGCTTTTCGGTGTGAAAATTAATTTCTGTGTGGCTGTCTTTAGTTTTATAAAACAATAGTTACCCTTAGCATTTTTGCAGCTCACATCAAGGGTTCAGTGTGATTATGTACATTTCGGTCATTCCAAAAGGCTTGCAATATAGGTCAATATTATTATCCTCATATTGGAGATATAAGTCCCTATGAAGTGGGGAGAGTTAGATGATGCATATGAAGTATTAGTATACTTTTTCATTTAAAATGCCTTTGAATAGTTTTATTTTATTTTATTGATGGCTTGATTTGAATTTATATTCCGCCCTATAACCAGAGGTCTCAGGGCGGTTCACAGAATAAAATCAAATTATAAAACCACAAAGACGTAATTAAAATAAAAACAACAAACCAATAACCCCCCCACACACACATAAAGCTCAATAACTTCACAATACTTCTTGATAGGAGGCTTTGTAAATGTTTTGTAAATGATTTAATAGGTTATCTTGTTGTAACTATTATATATTTCTTGTTCAGATGCAGAGTTTACAAGGTGGCACAGAAGCCATAGCCCATTTGGATCAACTTGAATCTGATTATTATGACCTGCAACTTCAGTTGTATGAAGTACAGTTTGAAATTTTGAAGTGTGAAGAACTGCTGCTGACAGCACAACTTGAAAGCATCAAAAGACTTATTTCAGGTGACATACATTCATTTTACATGTATATTATTTATAACAATATGCCATAGGCAGCTGTAGTACAAGTTGGTTATTGAGATTATCCTGTGGCTACAAATTTCCCACTCCAGTTCTTATGCATATTTACTTAGAAGTGAATCTAACTGTATTCAATAGTGCTCACTTCCAGGTAAGTGTGCAAAGAACTGTGGCCTTAACTGTTTGGCTTTTGATTTCTTTCTCCTTCTGGGGTATCAAAGATTGTCCCAGTTGGAGTCAAAATGTTGGATAAGTTGAATTTATTATTGAGGGTGATGAGAGATGTAACTTCTGTGTTGAGTGGAGTTTGCCACACTTGGAGTCGGTTCGAGCACCACAATCCTTATATCTGTTTGGGAGAAAATACCTCTGTAGCCTTGGTCTCAGTCACCTCTAATGTACCGTATTTTTCGCTCTATAAGACGCAACAGACCATAAGACGCACCTAGTTTTTGGAGAAGGAAAACAAGAAAAAAAATCTGAATCCCAGAAGCCAGAACAGCAAGACGGATCGCTGTGCAGCGAAAGCAGTGATCCCTCTTGCTGTTCTGGCTTCTGGGATAGCTGCGCAGCCTGCATTCGCTCCATAAGACGCACACACATTTCCCCTTACTTTTTAGGAGGGAAAAAGTGAGTCTTATAGAGCAAAAAATACGGTAATTTCCATTAGTTGCTCCTGTTTCCTGCTCTGGTCACACTATAGTTGGGATTTTGTGTGGTATTAGATCAGGTTGGTGTGTGACTATAACCCTCAAGCCCTTCTGGCTCTGTGACCCATTCCAATATCATTAAACAACTTATTTCTACATAATTCTGTTTATCACAACTGAAGGTTGATCTAGATTTTATTGCATTGTGTAGTTTGTGTGTGTGCATGTTTAAAATTATTAAAATTGTTAGTATTTTCTAACAGAGAAAAGAGATGAAGTAGTGTATTATGATACCTATGAAAGTATGGAAGCCATGCTCGAAAAAGAAGATATGGCAGCATCTATACACTTGCAAAGAGAAGAGCTACAGAAATTGCAACAGAAAGTCCGCCAGCTAGAAGCAAGGCGTGGGCGCATTTCTGCCAAGAAAGCCTACCTCAGAAATAAAAAGGTAAAGCACTAATTCATTCACTACTCAGCAAAGAGTTCCTTGTCTATTTGGCACAGGAACATAGGAGGCTGCCTTATATCAGATCAGACCATTGGTCGTGTGCGCTTTCTTCTTAGTTGATCAGTTCATATGGGGTGAGGTAGAGGGTTAATGCAGGTAAAAAGGTAATAGGTAAAGGATCCCTGGATGGTTAAGTCCAGTCAAAGGCAACTATGGGGTGCGGCACTCATCTCAATTCAGGCCAAGGGAGCCGGTGTTTGTTCACAGACAGCTTTCTGGGTCATTTGGCCAGCATGACTAAACTGCTTCTGATGCAACTGAACACCATGATGGAAGCCAGAGTGCACAGAAACGTTGTTTGCCTTCCCACTGCAGCTGTACCTATTTATCTGCTTGCAATGGTGTGCTTTTGAACTGCTAGGTTGGCAGAAGCTTGGAGACAGGGCAATGGGAACTCACCACCATCAAATGGATTCGAACAGCCAACCTTCTGATCAGCAGATCCAAGAGGCTCAGTGGTTTAGACCACAGCACCACCCATGTCCCTGCATTCTTGTCAGGGACGTTTAAACCTCTTAGCTCACCCAAGCGCTGTAATGACAGTAATTTTTGTTTTGTTTTGGTAATAATGAAAGGTACATTGCACAAAGGGAAGAGTCTTGTCATTTCAGCCTACTGGTGATGTGTGTGTTACATATTTTGGTGTTTTCCTTTGCTTTGTTGCATATATAAAGTTAGCATAGAGTATCAAGAACAAACTAGACTAAACTCCTTGTCTCTAATGTGGAGGAACCTATTTCTTTTACATGCAGCAAAGTGTTGTAGGGAAAAAAGGTAATAAAGATTTGGGGGCAGCAGAAGTTAAATGGATAAAACATGAAATTTAGAATAGGAGGCGGATGGGAAAGAAAATACCTGGGAGTAGTAGAAGGGAAGGGAGGCCACTAGCAGCAGGATGTGGGTGTGAAAAATGGTATTTCCAAACGTAGTATTACTGGGAAGCATATTGATTCACAACATGCTACTTTCAAACATTAGGGCTCAAATTGTGGGGCTGTGGGTGGGAGTGGGGAAAGCCCTTACCATGGTAAAGCCATTTCCTGCAGCATCTCTGGGGTGGCCATTGCCTGCAGTTTAAAATAAATGTTTTATTTTAAAATATGTTGAGATGTACACAAAATAATGTTAGTTGTAACTACTTGCTTTCTTGCCGTAAGCTGCATTATAGAAGTGATATTATTGTTCCCTGAATTGACTGAGTTTTAGCTAATATATTGCTGTTTTGATCAGCTGTAAGCAAAGTCATGGACATAATTTAACAGCCTTTTCTTCCAAAGAAACTAATCATTAGATTTTAAAGTTAAGGGAGTAAATTTTAGATTTTCACACATGGATTGCCTTTTTAATTTTTCACCCACTTTCCTCTGTAAGCTGTGTGCTGTGGAGAGAGGAGGGATATTTTGTTCAGCTTTTTTTTAGGGGGTGCACCATCAAAGTGGTGATTTGGTGTTACTATGGGCATGTATCTTGTTCCTACATGCAGCGATCTCAGGTTCATGTTCATAGTGTGGAGACTAGAAATTCCTTCATAGGTGGTGTCTGTTTTGCTATGGTTAGAGATTTTGTGTGTGTGTGTATTTGTGTATCTATTTGGATAATGTAATTCTTTTCATAGTACCTATATAACAGCTACTTATGTGTAATGTTACCTTCCTGACAATGTCTTGATAGCAGGTTGATATGGGATCACTGTGGAAACAGTTTCCTGTTATCCCAGTGCTACCACCTGCTGGCTAAGCACTGGTAGTCTTGGTTTATTGTATCAAGCAACTGTTGGTGTTAGGAAAGCTAGTTTTGAAATAAATTGGTAATAGGAGATAAATGCTGAAATTGTACACACTGTTTGGCAGAATATTTTAGTACTGATTAAGGTTTTCCTGTAGGTAAACTAAATCAGCACAGCAGCCAGTGGATATATGTGTTCTGAAATAAATGCTGTATTTGTCTTTGAATTCATAGTTATGGGTGTTGCAAACTTCTTAAACTATTAAGCAAACAGGCACATACACACACACACACTGGATTGTTTCTATAAATTCACTGACACCTTTAAGGCTGTCAAGCTGAGGCTACAGATTCCACAAACACAGACCTACTTTACAAAAAGATACAGAAAACTGCACAAGTTTCCAAAGCCACACAATTGCCCATTTGCTCCTAGTTGTGACTTTGCTGTGTTGAAATCTCGTTTGCAACAAACTCCCTGAAATGCATAAGCTTGGATAAGGTTTCACACTCTTTTCCAGGGCATGATTAATTGTTATTATGTATTCCCTTTACAAAATCCTTTACGAAGCATATCTAGTTCCTTTCCTATCCTGACTGTGGCTTTCTTTTAGTGTAGATGTTGACTTTTGTGTCCATCTACACCTTACCAGTGACTGCTTTTCCGGGTTTTTAAAAAACAAACATACAGAAAATACTTAAAGCATATTTTAAAAACAAACCTCACATTTGTTGCTGTGTTTAGACTGAAATTATTTTGTGCTACAGTGGTGCCTCGCAAGACGAAATTAATCCGTTCCGCGAGTCTCTTCGTCTTGCGTTTTTTTCGTCTTGCGAAGCACGGCTATTAGCGGCTTAGCGGCTATTAACGGCTTAGCGGCTTTAAGAAAAAGGAAACAAACTTGCAAGAACTCGCAAGACGTTTCGTCTTGCGAAGCAAGCCCATAGGGAAATTCGTCTTGCGGAACGACTCAAAAAACGCAAAACCCTTTCGTCTAGCGAGTTTTTCGTCTTGCGAGGCATTTGTCTTGCGGGGCACCACTGTACTCATTTTATACTTTCTTAGCTTGATTACTGTTGATCATTTCAATTGAACCAGACAGAGGGCCTTCTCGGTAGTGGCGCCCACCCTGTGGAATGCCCTCCCTTCAGATGTGAAGGAAATAAGTAGCTATCTTATCTTTAAAAGACATCTGGAGGCAGCCCTGTTTAGGGAAGTTTTTAATATTTAATGCTGTATTGTTTTTAACACTCGATTGGAAGCTGCCCAGAATGGCTGGGGAAACTCAGCCAGATGGGTGGGGTATAAATAATAAATTATTATTATTATTATTATTATTATTATTATTATTAATTGTTAATTATATCTTATACAGTATCTTGTGTATTGATAGGAGATCTGCATTGCAAAACATCATGAAAAATTCTTGCAGCACTTTCAGAGTGAAGAAGAGTCACAGCATACTGCACAGTTTGTGAGTTTTATCTTGGTTAATATTAAAATAAGCCTCCAGCTCAAGGTTTTCCCCCAACGTAAGCAAATTTAAATCCCCCCGCCTTGCTTTTGAATGTTACTGTATACTGAGCAATATACAATAGGACAGTAATAGGACATTAACACTGCAATCCTATGCACATCTCCTCAGAAGTAGGTCACTTTGAATTCAGTGACACTTGGTCCAAGGTAAGTGGATAAAGAACTGTATCTTAAATGACCAAGAACTGACAAGAATATTATTTTATTGGTTTCATTTTTCATGTTACTAACCACAATTCTGTTTTTTTTAAATTGCTATATTTTTTATAAAGCTGCGCAATAACATTGTACTCTGGAAGCTCACATATAAAATCATTGTAATAAGATACAATTAAAATACAGCATCAGAAAAATATCAGTTTGTAGCATAATTTATCACCATCGTCATCTTATGCTCTACATTAGTTTATCTGCACTAACTACTATCTACAGATTCCTAGGCAGCATCACTAACATAAATTAGAATCCCAATTTCTTCTAAAGGCATGAAGGAGTCTAAATATGCAGGTTATGCCTCTTTCTAAGTCATGATGCAGCTGAGGGACGTTCACCTATAATTTTGGTATCTGGTGGTATCCTAGTTTGCATCTATGACTGGTCTGGTCCTGCTCTTGTTCCAAAGCAATGAATGCTGTATTTGATAATTACTGCCATTTTAAAAATAAAAATGGCTGCAACCCTACAGCTAGCTAGAAGCTAACTGACAGATGTTATGAAGTATACAGTTTGCCTGTAAACTTGTAGTTTTCACATGCAACCTTGACAAGCCATTTCTGATCTTTTGACATTGAGACTGGAACATGTCCCATACCTGGAAGTTTATGGAGTCAAAGAATACCACAGGGTATCATTCAAATAATTTATTACAATAAAAGGGAATCAGCATGTTCATTAAAAAGGGGTTGATTGGAATCAATTAATACAGACTGGGGCCAAGGGCCAGTTGCTTTAGAAGAGATGGGGAAATTGTCAAGAAGAAGGAGGCTGGTATATTGTTTTTGGAAGGCTTTGGGAAGGGGTTAGGGCAAGAATTGGAAGAAAGCAATTGGATGACTTTGGGACATGGTTTGAAATAAGTTCCATTTTTGTAAAGGAGCAGAATTATTAAGGAAGAATAAAAGGGCTTGGCAAAGAGCAGATCACTTCAAGAAAGCAGAAATGCAGGTGGGGAGAAGGAGAAAGAAAGACAGAGAGAGAGAGAGAGAGAGAGAGAGAGAGAGAGAGAGCAGTAGGATGTCTGGGGACATGAAAAAGGGGAGGGGAGGGATGGAAGGATGGAGGGGAAGAGGGAGAGGGGAAGAAGGTAGATGACTGGAGTCCTGTGGAGGGGGTGGGGAAGAACATGGTCAGCTGAGGTACTTGCCAGGAGAGGTGAGAGAGATTTAGAACCTGTCCTTATTTTGCAAAGCTGGACTTTGATGGGTGGTTGGTGTGGAGATCTCTTCTGCACTGGAATGAGAAGAGGCAGAGGGCAGAAGAGAGAAAAGAAAAGGAAAAGGAAAAGGAAAAGGGAAAGGAAAGGAAAGGAAAGGAAAGGAAAGGAAAGGAAAGGAAAGGAAAGGAAAAGAAAAAAGAAAAGAGAAAGCTGTCCACAAGAAGTGGTGTTGTGTGGAAGTAGTGACGTTTCTTCAGGGGGTTCCAAAGATTTATGGTTCCTAAGGCAAAAAGCAACTCTTTTTACACTAACATTGAGCTACTGGTGATTAAAATGAAAACAAAGATTAACAATCCCATTTTCCTGTCTCATGTATGATGACTGGATTAAGAGGTTTTGGTTTAAAACCACTAACAGAAGGAAGAAAAAAGTTAACTTTAACTGGGACTAAGCAGTAGTGGGTGAAAGTTATTCCATCCAAATTCGTCCCTCCCAGCCTGGTGTTTCTAATCCCCGACTTTCATCTTTTTGTTTTCATTCTTAGAAGAGGGAGCAGTTGCAAGCTGAAGAAGAAAGAAAAAGCTCATGGGTTACTCAGGAACGACAGATAACACTGGACAGACTTCGAACATTTAAACAGGTAAATGGATGCTTCTACTGATGCTTCGTAAGTTACACACACACACACACACATATACATGATTGCCGACCAATAATAGCACCTTTGATGCAAGTACTTGTTCCAAAGAGCATGCATTAGCTATGACTTCGTGTTGTTTGTATATGTGATGGCAACCATATATCATTGCTATATAATGTGTGAAACAAGCCTTCTTAATTATTAAACTATATTCATATTCACAAGAAAATAGAAAAGAACATATCACAAGAAAATAGAAAAGAATTATTATTAGGAAAAAATTGTGCTATACTTCTCTGCATATTAATTAATTCCCATGTTTGTTTCTCAGTTTACAAGTTAACCTGGCAATTTTGAAAGGGTTGAATCATAATTATATGTGAGCAGTTGAGGTTAGCAGTAATAAGTCTCTTGGCCTGCAATCCTAACCCCACTCACCTGGGAGTAAGTTCCATTGAATTCAGTAGGACTTCTGAGTTTACAGGGTTAAAATGGTGCTTTTAGTCACCATGCTTTTGATGCTTGCCTAATTTTTAACTCATTTCCCCCCTCCTAAGCGGTATCCTGGACAGGTAATACTCAAATCAACCAGACTTCGACTGGCCCATGCAAGAAGAAAAAGTACGGCCAGTTCAACTTCATGTGCTGATCATCGTCTGTCGCTACCTGTAACTACACAGACTGATGTGGTGGGGCAAGAAAAAAGAATACAACCTTTACAAATCCAGGAGTCTAGAAATTTAGGACCACTTGAAGATACTTCACCTCCCTGTGGCGTTATCTCTGAATTTTCTCAAATTCCTTCTCCTCCTGCTCTTCTCAGTAATGAACTTCAGCCCAATATAGTTAATGAGGCCCCAGTGCCGCCTCCTCTTCCACCACCGCCGCCGCCACCTCTGCCCACCAAGGAAGAGTCTACTCAGTGCTCTGAGAAGAGCAGTAGCCCTGTGAAACAACCCAGCATTGAGAAGCCAGCACTACTGACCACCATAGCACCATCAGCTCATTTCTTTGATAGCAGCCAGTTGGTCAGTGCCAAGAAGAAACTAAAGAAAATGGGCGATATGGAAGGCTTGCAGAGGAGAAGAGGTAACTTCATTTCTCTTGAATGTGATTCAGGGAAAAGAAAAAGCAGTTTTTCTTACCTTGAGTAATAAAATTAAAGGATCCCTACCCCCCAAGAGAGCATGGCTTTGTGATTTTTGAACATGATCTCCCCAAATCATGTTTGAAACTGGGGGGGGGGGGGTGTCTTTTAATATCATTTTGTGATGTTTCCCAGGGGAGGGGGTGTTGGTGGCAAAAGAAAAAAAAAGTTTTTACACCTGAAGTAGATCTCTGGATTCCAGCTGGTGGAATTAATGAAAACTCTTGATAACTCTGTTGATGGTTTTTATCCAAATTTTGATTTCTGTTTTGTCAACATTGAACAATGGGAAAGGTGGCGTTGGTATATTTTAATTAATAAATGATGACATTTTCAATGCCTTGAGTACAGGGTGTTAGTCCACAGCTCAGAGTACTTATTTTGTACAAGTACCGAAAGTTTTTTTGTTCGTTTTTTTAAACTTTTAAGAACAAGGTTCCACACCTCTGCCGGTAGGAAGTGGTGTATCTTAGCAGATCTGTGGTTTTTAAATGAAAAGAATAAACATGATACAGTGGATCTTAAAAATTAAAGGCACAGTCCAACCCATTCCCTAGGTGGACATGCATGTGTGGGCAGGTAGACCAGGAGGTGTCCAGGTTTGGCCGTTGCCCCTGTACACAAGGGCAGTTGGGTATGTAGAGGGATTGTGTTGGCTCTCTAAGGAATAGCAGCCTCCCTCAATACCAGCTGCATTGTCCTAACATAGAAAGTTGAGCCAGATACTTGCCGGACATTTTGTGAGAACCAAAGACAACAGTGGGGGCTCATCTCTTGATGCAGTAGCTTCATTTCATTTCATTGTTTTGATCTTCTTTCTTACGGACTTGATTATTGTGATCTGAGAATAATGTAATTTCCCCCCCAGAATTGTCAAATCAATGCATTAGAAATATATAGCAGGTTTTCTTTTTTACCTTCCATGTAGGAAATTCTCATCAACTGGATGTAGTATTCAAATGTGCTTTGAGGGTTGGGGGACCCAATGGAGTGGAGGTGGAGCCGCAAGGAGGAGGAGAGGAAAAGGAGATTTCAGACATCCTTGGCTTTTGTGAATGTCTTGTTGAAATTTCATAGCATAAAAAAGAAAAGTTGCAATGCTTACTGAACTCTACTTTTCTGCAGTGAGTTCCCCAATGGATGAGGTGTTGGCTTCCTTGAAACGTGGTAGCTTCCACCTGAGGAAAGTTGAGCAGAGAAATCTCCCGCCTTTCCCTGATGAAGACGACAGCAATAACATCTTGGCACAGATAAGAAAAGGTGTGAAACTGAAGAAAGTGCAAAAGGACCTTATGAGAGAATCATTCACAATTCTACCTGATGATGACCCTTTGACACGCAGCATCCATGAAGCACTACGGCGAATTAAGGAAGCATCACCAGAGTCTGAAGATGAAGAGGAGAACCTGCCTTGCACAGACTGGGAAAATTAAGGAGTAATGTTTCCTCTTTTGGTATATATCTGGTTTCCTCAAATAGTAGCAGCACCTATAATAGTAGATGCTTGTTAGGAATGTGCCTAAGTTCTCCTACATTTACACAAGAGAAGTGCATGTGTGGCTTAAGATCCGCAGCCATTGTATAAGCTCAAAATATGCAGATTAATGTATCTGGGTTTATTTCTGCTTTTAGACTAAAACACAAAAAGGCTTTATCCAAAATATTTATTAGCAATAAATCATTTTCAATTTCAGGCATTTTTTTGTATATTAATATTTCAGTGCAGAGCACTGCTGTGCATAAATAGATTAATTTTATTTATTTTTATTTATTAAATTTCTGTACCACCCTTCACCTGAGCAACACAGGGCAGTTTACAATAAAAATAAATAAAATTAATCAATCAGTTTACAATATAAAAACACAAAAATACATATACCATAGTAACAAGAAAAAACAATATGCCCCACAGTTTAAAAGGCCAAATATTGTTTAAGTAGCCAAAGGCCTGGAAAAAGAGGAATGTTTTAGCCTGGCACCTAAAGATGAGCTTTTCACAAGCAGGGAGCCATAGTAGAAAACGCCTGCTCTTGTGTTGCCACCCTCCTAAACTTTCACAGAGGAGACGAGGATGTTAGTACATTTAGGAAATCCCAGAACTATATTCATTAAGGTAGGATTGAGGCGGGCGGGGGGGAGCATATGGGAAAATAAAGTTGGAACTTCTCACAAGGTATTTCTCTGAAGGAAACTTTCTTTGTCAGAATGGGTATACAGTGGTACCTCTGGATACGAACGGGATCCGTTCCGGAGCCCCGTTCACATCCAGAAGCAAACGTAACTAGCGATGGCACGTCTGCGCGCGTTGCTTTTCGCCGCTTCTGCGCATGCGCGTGACTTCCAGGTTGCCGCGGAGCGCAACTCAAACACGCTCAACATGAAGCATATTCAACCCGAGGTATGACTGTAGTTTCCTTACTTCTGACTGACAGATGCCTCTGCTGCTTCCATTTTTACCAAAGTGTGTCTTAGCTAGTACTCCTAGAGTTATATGATGTGGCCTCCTCTCTAGTCATTGATTTGGGAGGAGTTTTCCTAATTCAGAGATCTGTTGCCCATTTTTTCTGGGTTGTTGAGCTGGCTGGCTAGGGGTGTTATATTCCACTGTTCTAATTGGAGAGGAGAGATGCACATTATATTCCTCCCTAACTCTTCTAAAACATCTAAATTACAGTTTGATGATATGGAATTTTGGAATATATTGATGCTAGTGCTTATTTGAACAAAACCTCTAGACATATTTTTTTTTAAGAAAAGCAAGATCTTTTCCCATTTATAGCATCTTTCTTAAATGGTGATACGTTTTCAGGATGCTGGAAACTTGGAAAGGCAGTATTTGCATGCAAACCTTGACTGTTTGAATCAACAGCATGAACAAAGTGGAAAAGATTGTGATCATGGAGAGGGTTAAGACTTAGTGAAAAATTGTGTGAAAACCTTAATCTGATTTCTGGGTTGCAGGTGGAAACATATGTTGCATTAGTGGAATGTAAGATTTGTCTCATCACGGTTGTTACCAATTTGACAGAGGTGACCCTACTGGATTAATGTGTGAATTGGCATGCCAATAACTAATTGCAATATATTTAATCAAAATTAAGGTCACTTCCAAAGTCTGCAAGGCAAGTTTTCCCATAAAGGGGAAATCAATTTAAAGGATGAAATTATTAATTTACTCTGTAAATCAATCTGCAGTGGAAAAATCTCTATAAAAAGTAAAGCATACATAAATTAAAGCTACAAATGTTCCACTCATCCACAGATCTTCACGTACAGTAGTTAGACCAGGCATAGGCAAACTCAGCCCTCCAGATGTTTTGGGACTACAACTCCCATCATCCCTGAGCACTGGTCCTGTTAGCTAGGGATGATGGGAGTTGTAGTCCCAAAACATTTGGAGGGCCGAGTTTGCCTATGCCTGAGTTAAACGATGCTGCCTTACAGTGAGTCAGCTCATGAGTCCCTCTAGCCCAGTACAGGTGACTTAGACTGGCAGCAACTCTTCTCAGGTTCTCAGAAAGGAGATTCTCTGCCAGCCCTGGTATATAACTGGAGATTACATTAACTGGAGGTGCTGGGGGATTGAAAATGGAACTGTCGATAAGCAAAGCAGGTACTGCTGTGGTATCTGTGTTTTCATATGCACACCTGCAAAACAGTATTGACATTGAGTTTTTACCCTAGCACTCATGTTGTGGGCAGAGGAGGAAAGGGTCCTCTTGATTCAGTATTCCAAGCAGGTGATGTGGGGAGGGAAAGACTAATCATATTAATGAGCTGTTGGGAGAGCTAAGACTCTCCTTGTCTTCTAATAATTTTGTTTCTGTCGTATCTTCAGCTAGAGCAGCCTGTCACAGAACGTGGCCTGCAGACTCAGATGCCAAGGAGGAATAGGTGCTTGAAAAGCACATTTTGATGCGGCCTCTAAAGGAATAGAATTTGATTTAAAAAGCAACTTTACAGTTTGTCCTTCAGCTGTTTTTTGTTTGTTTAAACAGGTGGTGAGGATTCCACAGAATAATGATTTTCCTTTCACTTCTGAACATCCATAGTCAGCAGTTTGATCACCACCTTCTGTCTGGGAAAGGCGTCATCTGACAAACAATTTGATATGTGCAGAAGAGCTTAAAATGCATTTTTTAAAATTATGGTACAAAATTCTGATGGGATCAAAAACTACCTTATTAGATGTGTATTTTGCAGAACACTGAGGAGAACGAACCATTCAAGATATTTCTGGTTCTTCACTCACTTTTTACAGTCGTGTGAAACACTAAATCAGCACCTATTGCAGCAGAGCTTCTTCCCAACATAATTTACCAGGACAGGTATGCAATCTGACCTTTGGTTCACTGAAGACTTCACTGTTTAATCAACAAATTGCTACTTTCACATCAGCTTCTATCACAGCAACAGGAATTCTCCTAAAGGTCTTTATTTCTCACTACATTTGTCATGTAGGAAGTGGATTTCAGAGATATAATGCATTTTAACTATTCATTGTACAAAATACAAGTTATTTTGAAAATGGGAACAAATGGCTCTACAGAATAACAGGAAGCCCCCCTAAGAGTGGAATACATATACTTAAGAATGTATTGTTTACAGCCTAGTACATTTAAAATGGCATATAGCAAAACCCTTTAGAAGGCCATGTATACTGTGTACATCTTGTATTTTTAAATTAGAATTTCCCATGCTCGTATAAATAGAAACATTTTAATTGCAGGACTGAGTGATAGATAATAAAGTTACATAAAATTTTATTTATAGAAGCAATATTTTGTAATGAGAATACTTAAAATTATTTTTGTCTATTAGTTTGACTGTTCTTTGATTACTCTAAGGAACCTTTATTTAAAGAAAATTCAAAACTGAAATCCAATTTTACTGTTAAGTTGTGGAAGTTATAATTTTTTTCCAGTTTTCATTATTCCTGTCATTGTTAAAATATTTGAATTATGTAACAGCCTGCTTATTTGAAAAACACTTCATTTTTAACCCTGGTTGTATAATGGTCTAAAGGAGGCACAGCCTTTGGTACAGTGAATATCTAAAGCAACGTAATCCCAAACAGCATGACTAATAGCTGCAGGCAGCTCATTTTTAATAACAGAGTACTGTACGGAATAGTATTTCTGCACCAGGGCTAATCTTACCCTTATTAAAATGCTCTCTAATGAAAATTTCTGCTTGTAGGAGAATCTTGTGCTTGACAAACTATGATCCCTTATGATAGGAAATATCCATTTTAAAATGATTTACTATATTCACTGCCCTGTTGTAAGTAGATGCATATTGGATGGAATGCATTTAGTAAGCCCACTCACCTTTCATAGGAAGAGGTTAAATGTCTTGCTCTTTTTCCTTTTAAAAATACTTGGGAGTACCCTGAATACTTGACAATTCATGTAACACTCCAGCTCAACTCTTTGAAATATTTGGGTGTGCAAAAGTGACTACCTAGGTCAGTAATAATAATGAGAAATATTTTATCGGGATACCTGCCATTCTGTTTTTTTTTTTTTAAAAAGAAAGCTTATTGCCTTATATAGTCTGAAATGTTGTCCTTTCCCAAAGGTAAGCTTGAGAATAGCATGAGTTCAATTATTGTGAGAACGCCTTCTGTTGGGGAGACAAAGAACTGTATTAGGAACTGAACATTAATTTTCTGAAAAACAAGACAACCCATTTCCTTTCCAAGTTACTGCATATTAACCAAAATCGCATTATGCACTGTGTGGTTACAGTCACAGGTAATGCAAGATTTGGTGGTGGCAATAATTAAATAGCTTCAAAATATAACTGTTGACCTTTAGCATAAACCATAATATATGTAGTTGGTGTGCCTTTGCCATTTAGTCACCTCCATTTAGTCACACTCCAAATTTCCACTGTATAATATATTGTGTTTGAAATTTTAGTTGTAGCCCAAAACACGAAAATTAGGATGAGATGGATCATGTAAAGCTTTACACAATCAGTTGCAGCAGGAGCTTTGAATGACAGATTTTGCTAGACAATTCACATAATCAAGGAGACATAACTTACTGAAAGTTGAGAGTAACACTCCTTACGCTAACACTCTTTTGCAACTATAAATTTTAAATTCATATGGAAAGTTTATAAAGCTCTCAAGATGATTGTGAAATGTTCAGGCTATATATATATGGAATCTTTGCCTTGAAAGCTCTAGTTTGTTTTTGTTTTTTTAAAAAAACTATTTCTGACAGTTTAATTAATGCAAAAAAATAAAACTGGCTTTTGGCACTATAAAAATGGCTGTTTCAGAGGAACATATTTTATACATACTTGGCTGCTGTACAGTGGAACCTCGGGTTGCGAACGTGATCCGTGTGGGAGGCACGTTCGCAACCCGTAGCGCCACGTCTGCACACGCGTGGGTTGTGGTTCTGCGCATGCGTGAGCGCCGAAACCCAGAAGTAACCCATTCTGGTACTTTGGGTTCGGCGCAGTGCGCAACCCGAAAACGCATAACCTGAAGCGTCTGTAACCTGAGGTACCACTGTACTGTGGCTGATCTCCTATCCAGAATTTTCCTTTAGACTGAATATAGTTTTTTTCCATAATCTGTTAGGAAGAAGAGATTAATCTGGGTGCCAGTAGTGCCTGGATAGCATTTTACACAAATTTGTCAAGTTAGGACCTTGTCCATCTTATCTATGTGCAATTCCTTATAATTATATTCCCACATGTTTTGCTTTTGCTTTTAATTAATAGTGATTCCTAATTTTATTTCTTGAAGCCATTGCATACCGGCTGAGAACTCACAGTACTCTAGTCTAGTACATTTATTGCAGCAGACTTAGCAAATATATGGGCATTTAAGAAAAGTTATTGATGAATGCTGCTTGAACTGGCATTCACACCTAAATCTATGCAGCTGACAAGTATGCATGAAAAAATGCATTCCAGTATTTTGTATGCTGTAGACTGACTGCGGTACATGGTTGTACTGCAGCCGTTGTTCTCAATTTATTGTCCACAATGCATTCTGTCAAGAAATGTTGTGATCTACCTGGATGCCCCTGAACTGGTGGTAGACTAGCTCAAGGAACTATAAATGCCAGGAGGTGATGAGTCGTTTGTTTGGCAGCAAGAGGGCCAAGGTGTTTTATTTCCACTAGAAAAATAAATTATGTTGAACAGACACATTTATTAAAGTGGTTTTATATTCTGCAGCATGATCCCATAAGTCTTTAATTTTAGTTGCTTGGTTTATTTGTATACTGACTATATTCTTTAGTATAGATAGTTTTGCTTCTTATTTCAACCATTTGCTTGTAAAGCTTTTCAGAGTAGAGCAGCTTATATTATAAAATTGGTAACCACAAAAACAAATTAACAGCACTAAATTATGTCTTGCTGGTGCATTCCAAGTTTTTGCTTTTGAGTTGTGTTTCATGTGGACACTGTCTTCAGAGAATCATGTGCATTTTTGTCACAGTCTAGTGAAAAGGGGGGAACTTTCACTCAAAGTCAATGTTCTCTTTTTATTTGCACTGACTTTAAAGAGCGAACTGTAAAACTATTTGGATTTATGAGCATTCTTTTATTTTTGCTGTAATGCTTTTGTAATTTGGTTACCTGTGTTACTCATAACGAACCCAGAAGCATGAAACAAGATATATCTAGTGTTGGTGAACTGTTAACAAGCAAATAAGCTTATTGAAAAGAAGGCATAAGAGATGCTTGTTGCAAGACATGTAAGCACCTTATTGAGAGGATGTGGAATTTTAAAATGCTACTAGAGTAGTTGTGTGCTATCAATATTGACCCTAATCTATTAGCAATCTATTCATGGAAGCAGATGGCAGCACCAACCACCATGAAAGGGGACATCCAGATTCAATATGGTGTCCTGCTCTTCTGACTGCTTTGATCATGCCTTAGGCAGGCTGATGCTCTGTGGTGAAGCAGCAGCCACACAGCCTTTTGCTGCACTCTCATTTCCCTGGATTGGGGCCAAGTGTTCTTTAGTAGAGAAAAGCACATTGTTTTGTTACTGTGTGTAATGGTTTGAAAAACAAAGCACTAGCGGTTTTATTCTAGAACTCATTTTAAAGCCTCCAACAAAAAATAATGTATATTAATTGCTACATGAAATCTTACGTAATTAAAATCTAATTTGGGCCATGGTGAACGTTCTATTTTGCAAAGCTGTTTTCTAATGTTTTGCACAACCTTTTCTGCTATTTAAGAAAATTTCCTGGTCATTCCTAGCTTTGAGCATAAAAATCAACAGCAAGCAGATAAACATAAGAAGAGCCTGCTGGATCAGGCCAATGTCACATCTTGCCCATGAGAAGCATGGAAGCAGGACCTGAGCACAGCAGCAGTCTACCCATTCCTGGACCTGGAACATGGTCAATGTGGCTAGTAGCCTGTTATACCTGGCCTTTATTGGTCTATGTACTCTCGAGACCTGGGCATCAGAATTTTATTTATTCTGTTTTCTAGTATGGGTGTTCACACTATCTGTGATTAAGAGTCCAATGCAGAAAATACTTTCTTTATGGCTTTATTCCCAGGAGGAGCTGAAGAGTGGGCTGCAGATAAGAATGGTCCCTCCCCACCGTTAATTGTAGGTAAAACAGAACCTCTGGTCACTCAGCTTGAACATGTGAGGTCAAAAAGAGGGGGGCAGGGGTGTGCATGGTGGGTTCACCCCCTCCAATACCTTGCCAGGTTGAGTGGGGAGCTTCTAAGCCTGTTCAACATGCCGATAAGCATCCTCACGGTTGAGATTGGGCTCCTGGTTGCAGAGAGATTTTGGGGCACTTTGATACTTCCTTCAGGACTTGATGCTAAACATGCAAATGGCTGAAGTGGAAGCAGGACTAGTATATGTGTCCCCAGCCTCCTACACATCTTTTGCCCTCATATGTTTGGGCTGAATATCTGAAAAGGGTTAACTGAGCCACAATCACTAGTGGCATTCATAAATAAATTCTAGCCAATGGGAGAAAGCCTTTCGTATGCCCCACCATAAAAACAATGTTTCTTTTTTTTAAAAAAAGCTGTCAGTAACAGCAAGGGACCAAGGGCCGGTTTGAATGTAACACTAAGCCATAGCTTAATGTTACAGAAATGAGCTGCAAACCTTGGGCTTACACTCCTGTATATTCACTGTCTAGTTTAAACAAATCACTGTTTGTTGGTAGGTCTGAAGTAGTGGTTAGTTTTAAAGTATGGTTTGTTGAAACAAACCAAGATTAAACTCTTAAGCAGGCTTGTTCACGTGACACTGGCTAAACTGTGGTTTAGTATTATATCTGAGCCAGGCACAAAGTGCCTTCTTTCCAAATGTACCAGGCATTATATTGAATTTGGAAATGGCAGCAGTGGCGTGGGTTGGAAGGGAAGCACCCTTCCCTGTAGGAAAAAATGATTGCAAGCCCAGCTAAGACATCACTAATCAATCTCCTGCAATGAGGGAGCATGTCAACCTGACTTCACATTGGGTATAATCCTGTAAGTCGTCTCATTCCCTGAATAGCCCCAAGCTTGTATGATTTGGCATGCGGTGCTGTGAAAGGTACTTAGCTGGTATGAGCATGTAATAGTTGGATGAGTTGCACCTAGTAGAGTGGTGGCTAACCTGTGGCCCTCTAGGTGTTGCTGGATCACAACTCCCATCAACTCCAGTGAACATGGACAATTGTTAGGTATGACAGGAGTTGTAGTCAAACTGTTTTCTCCACTCCATTCTCCTATTCCCCACTCCTCCTTTGGAAATGTGAGTATATTACTTTCAGAGCTGATTCAGATATGCAGACAGTTCTATGGCAGATTACAAGTGAGAATGTTCTCTGCAGATTGAAAGCTAGGAGATAGGGAGGCCCCTAGACTAATGTGTTTGTTCTTTATATGTGGGGAGTTTTAAAAAAATCTTACAGGAAGCAATCATCCTCATGTACTCAGAAATCATACAGTCTAGGAATGACTATCACATGCGGTGTCTACAAACTTGATGTAGAACTTCAACCTCAACAAGGCAGGATATTAGAACTAGGACCAGATCTTGCATGGTTCTTTTTAAAAGGTGAAAGCATCCACAAGGTTCCCATATAGGAGTTGGACTGCGATGCATTTTTGTAACCCTTTCCCTGCTGCTCTATTTTGCCCCCTGAAACTGTATGTTTCCTCAGTGAAGTAAATGACAATTTCAAAGGGAGAGGAGATTTAAATAGGGGAAATAATAACTTAAGAATGAGATAAAAAGAAAGCAGCATTATGGCCCAAATTAATTCTCTCCCTCACTGATTGCTTTTAACCCCCCCCTTTGTTTTTTTTAAAAAACAAACCTCAGGGGAGCCTGTCATGGATCTCCCACTACCACATCTTAACTTTGGGTCTTTAGTCTTACATTTGTATGGCTACAGCCCACTTGCTGTTTGTCATTTTATGAGTTGCCAAGAGCAGAGCTGTGTTAATATATTTGCTGAAATGTAGAAGGCTGTTGATTATGTTGCATGGATAAAGCTTGTTAAACATTAATGGAACGCCTCATTTTTGAACAGCTAAAAAATTAAAAAGAAAACCAATTCACCATTCACTAACTTAGTGCAAAAAGAATGAAAATCGGTGTGCTGTGCTGCACTTCTTTAAAACAATTGTATTTAATGGACATTTGTAAATGGACATTGCATTTCTGAAATGCTCCAGCAAACTTGCAATACCTTTATAATGCTCAGTGTTCCAAAGTATTAAGCACGAAGTATAAACGAAAAGAGCATTGTTAGCAATATTTTGAAAACTAAAAGTTTTAACTGTTTGCCCTTTTGCTTTTTTTCCTTTAAGTGCAGCCTTCCTGCAACTTTATTGTACTGCTTTGTACTTCATGTTTTTTACTATCATGGCTTCGAAATTCAAACCTATACCCAAAGTCCTGAATGACTTGTCTCGTGTACATGCAATGTAACAACATACTTAAAAATTTTGGTGCTTAAAAGTTGTTCCTTTTTTTCTTTAATAAAGGATATTTATTTGAACACAGTTTCTATCACATTCATTTAAAGGACTTGTGGAGCTCTGAAGCAGACATGCTAGTATAATATTTTACGGTTATGTTAGGCATAAGCAATCCCTATCAACTTTCTGTACATTCTTATACTGAAGTGTCAGAAGATGATTTTTTCATTGCAGTCAAAGGATCACAGGTAGTTCTGACCCTCTCATTCCACCATGCAAGATTCTCTTAATGAGACGTAAAACTTTGAATACATGAAATATTTCATTTTGGATAAATTAAAAATGGTGGGCAACCACTACAGATAGGAACCACACTTTAGTCCCTGCAGAGTTGACGGGGAGAACAGCAAATGTGTTGCAGCCACTCCAGTGCCATCAAGGAAAAATAATGTGGTTATAGTGGAGTAGCGGGGATTTCGTGTGTTTGTTGAGGACTCATCAGGGCACCACGGGACCCCTGAAGTCTGGTTCCAGTCTTGGATAGTCCTATTTGGAGGCAGCTGGCTGACCAGGGATGCTGCAACCTTGTGTGTTGTGGGCCTCTTTGTTGGCAATGAGTCAAATCTGAAGGTTGAGGAGAAGGTATGTCACTGGAACCCTCCTCTTCATTTCAGCGGCAGAAAGCTCTGCTGCTGTCACTCCACTGATGGTACTCTGGCAGGGAATGAAAAGGACCACCTTGGGGGAAGTCTTGGATCTGCATGATTCCAATCCCTGCCCCCCAGTCCCCTGACATACCTCAGACAAACTATGTCAATGGGAGAAATAATAAAAAGACCAAGTTCAAAAAGAAGAGGGGAAAGCGCATTCCATCTTTTGTGGCTCATGTGAACCTGACCAGGCTTAAGAAGTGGTGGCTCCTCTGTCATAGACTGTCCCTATGATTGCTCTTGGTAAGTCTGTTCTTTCCCCCCAAGTGTAAGTGTGAATTGGTACATCTGATTTAACACAAGAGAATACATTTGTTAGTCTGCACATTCAAGTGCACAGGTGCCGCTTCACAGATTATTTTCCAGATTTGTAAGACACTGTTTACAACAAGAACATAAGACACCAATATGGATTTTGCTTTCTTTATTCCAAGGCTATGTCTTCAGAGCTTGAGAACACTGCTCTGATCAGATGTACAGAACTAGTAGTTTCTCAGCAATGCTTCCTTTTTCCTGGTAGAAAAACCAAATTTCAAGCTCTTTTTGTGCTGTTGAGATCAAACTTAAGAACTATGAACAAGCCCTGCAGATTGCTATGAGTTCCAGCGTGTAATTAATCAGATCCTGTGCAACTGGTTAGTCAACCACCCACCCAGACTACTCACACGAAAGACCTGCTTGCTACAAAGTTGCTATGAAGTATTAAACTGTGGCAGTATTCTATGTGAGTCTCCCTAACCATTACCCCCTTCTCTCTGCCAGGAGAAAATCTATTGGAAATTGTCCAATCATACTGCCATTTTGGCACAAGAATCAAAGAACAAGTACTGTATGGAAGTGAATTTTTCTACTTACGTTTTCCAAAAGGAACCTTGATTTTGTAGGGAGCTGGCTTGCAACAAAGGATGGGAAAAGCTAATTTGCTGTCTAGTTCCATACATGTTTTGTTGAAAGTAATTCACACTGAATTAATTGAGGCTGTTCAAGTGTAGGTGTCCTTCGAACCCACATCCTTATTAACTTTAATGAATTATATTATTATCTATTCTCACGTAAGAATTTTAAAGAGTTATTTTGGCTTGGGTTCCTAAGAGCAGAATTCCATTCACAGGATGTTCTCATGGAAGGAGTGTGTGGTCCTCTCCAAAGCAGCCGCTTGTGTTCCAGGTGGGGATGAACAGTGATGGCTGCTGCCTTCTTTCTTCTTGTTGCTATTGGCTCTAGTGCCCAGCGCAGGGTTTGCCTTTTGCCACAAGGCAGGAAGTTGAAATGCAGCTCAAGGTGGAGGCTCTGCCTCCTGCAGATGATATGTAGGCAACTGCTTCTCAAGCCCAGACATTGAGTGTGCAGCCTTTTCCAAAGAAGCTGGCCTCTTGCACCAGAGGGGAGAACAGGGTGGGAGGTGGCTTGGGGTGGTGATGATGATGCAAGAGGAAAGGGGCATCTTGGGAGCATTTACTGGATTGTCATCCCTTCTATTTACCAAAGGGCAACTCTGGATCCAACCTTACATTTACAATCAGATCTCACAGATCTCACAAAGCAGCAAAGAGAAAATTGGCCACGGTAAACTCCAGATTGGTCAGGTTTCCAAGAAACCAATTGACAGGCAATCAATCAATCAATCAATCAATCAATCGGACTTTCTGTTATGCTCCATCTTGCTTACTACGGCTCCATACATGTGCAAGATCGTGCTGTAGTTAAGGTACTGTTGGGATGGAACCAGACTTGGTCATGATTACTGTAGACCCACAGAAACCAATTAGACTTAAGTTAGTCATGACTAATAATTCCAATTGATTTCAAAGCATCTAACTTCAGTCCCATTTGTTTCAATGGATCTACTTGAATCCAGACTAGGTGTTGGGGGAAATATTGGAATATTCTGGAGTAGAGTTATGAGAAAGAGGCTCCAATAACCAACTTCCAGACGGGGATGTACTTATAAAACCTTTTTATGTCAAAGTCAGAATTTCACAACATGACACTCTAATTCAAAATCCAGTAGCACCTGAAGGATTAAGGTAAACGCTGCCATCCATTGAACAGTTTGTAATACTTAAAAAGAGCTGAAGAAGAAAAAATTGAGTAAAGTACATTCTCCAGAACAGCAATTGTATTTCAAAATAAAAACTGTATTTGTTGGGTTTTAAAAGAATGGTGTTTTTTTAAAACAAGTCTCCATAATTGTCATATAACAAGTACACAGGGTAATTGTTCTCCTATGTAATTTCTTGTTTGTTTGTTTGTCCACAGTACCCAACATTTTCTGGCATATATATTCCCACAGTTTCTCTTAAGATAGATACAATATGTAATACCAGTCTCTGGGGAAAACATGACCTTGTCCATTATGCCAATTATTACCTTAATAATACAGAAGTGTAGTGGCTAAAGTAGGTATGATCACCTAATTAGGAATTTCAGAATACAATTTCTAGAATACAATTTCTAAACACCCACCTACCGTAAATGAACATTAAAATATTCTTAACAATAGGATTTTATTTATATGTGCACTTAATTCCACTTATCCCATATACATATTGGATGACTTTTGGGAGTTCAATGGTGCAGCCCTCATAGATTTTATTTTTACAAACAAAAGAACCCAAAGTCAAGCATCTTAATATACATGAGAAAAGAAATTCTCAAATATTGATTTCCAATTTTCAAATTTAATTTCAATAGGAAAATATTAAAAATGTGCACATTTAAATTTTTCCATGTACTGTATATACATGTGTGTGTATGTGTACATATACAAATAAATTTCTTGTACCACACATATACACAGCATTTCAGTGGAAATATTTTGTAAACTATTTTCCCACATGTAAATGTCATTGTATTAAAAATTTTGATCTCATTAAAAATAATGTTACATTTTTTGCCATCAAATTTCTGTTCTAACTTGTTATAATTAATAACACTCATGAACATACTTCATTCCTCCTACAATTACACCAATTTTATACTTTTCTGAAGATGTTTCCAATTGACACTCATATAGCAAGAGAATCAGGTACAAACTTCTCCAGGTAAATTAAAATCAGGTAATCACTACTGTCCTGGACCTGATAAAGTTACACATCGTTAACATCTAGCTATAAAAAAAAAATCACCATAGAAAGCTTTTACCTATGAATGCAATGAACAAATATTTTCTCCAGTAATAAATAAAATAAGTGGCAGAATACTCTAAAATATGGATGAAACTCAAATGATGTGTACAGTACATACAGTATAATACATGATAATTTACTGTTAGCTAAACAGTAATCCTGACATTTCAGGAGACACCTGTTAAATTACAGAAAAAGAAAATGGCATTTTATAAATTAACCCACCATGTATTTCTCCCACTTTGAATACAAATTAGAATGCGTGTATTATACAGTATATACATACAGTACACACATAAAAAACCCGACTTATATTATCTAGTTTTGAATAGCAGTCCTTAAGTGGAAAAAAATTTCTATTGTACAGAGTTTATATTCAAGCTGGATTTTGCATTTAACATTCAAATTAATTTGGGTGTAAAGAAAATGTCAGTGCATCTTTGTGTTTGATTTCCCCCCCCCCATTCGTTTTAAAAATCCTCTCCAATATTAGACAATTTACAGCAAGATTGTCCCATAATGCAACTCCCATTCAGTAAGCAGACATTTGACACTTGGCTTACCTTTCATTTTTTTTTTCTTTAAAATAAAAAAATATTATATAAAGAAATACATGTTTGGCAAAAGTCTTTGTAAATCACATCAAAACAACTTAAAAACATGTTCACTGAGAATAACTGAATTCAATTCCTGTTTTGAAATTCAGAATATTGCCTGGTGTGGTTCTGATAAACATGTGATGTGAAGGTTCAAAGAGGAGGGGAAAAGATCTCCAATTTCCTGTGATTATACAGTTTCTTTGAATGAGCAAGGTCAATGTAAACACCCTGGCAATTACTGTGTATCCACAATATATCTATAACAAGCTGCACTGATTACTCTGAAGAAGTTTTGGTTTAAAGAATTATTAAAACATATGTTGGTAACAGTGAATATTAAACGTATGTGGTATTAATAAATAAGACTAGATTGATGCTTATCTGTATATAGCAAATTTGAAAATACTTTTCAGGGACTCACCTGTCTTCATAGATAGGCTTCAAAATGGAACACAGAACTTCTACATACATGAACTTAAATAGAGAAAAGTAAACCATACACTGGACAATATTAGTGAACACCAGAGTGAACATCGTAAATAAATACAGTATCTTCCAGTATAAAAAAGGGAAGAACTCTATACAAGCAGTTACTCACTAGGTATGAATTAAAGATGCAACTCTCTCTCACTCCTGGCAAGAATTAATTAGTAATGCACTATTTCTTAACAGTGCAAAATATCCTGAGAAATTATTAAGATTACAACAAAAGAGAGGGCTGTCATCGCAAAGTTCTTGCACAAAACACAGCAATTAAGTGTCTTAACCAACAAAAGAAAAACAAAATAAGACAGATCATCTACAATGTGTCTAACACTAAAAGGGATGCCATATGGGGCACTTCTCATTATTTCACTGGCTAATAATAGAAAAGGATTGCATTCAATTACTGTTAATATCTTTCGAGTTATCTATGGCCAATTATATACAAGGAGGTAATTTGTAGTTCAAGTTATTATTTTTTCCCCAACTAGCTACAAGCTGAATTCTAAAATTTTACACTGAAATATATTGTTGAAAATTTAAAACAGGCCCTCCTGGAGGAGCGTTTTCCTAATTTTGTGCAACTTTGATGCAGAGCCCAACAAAGTCCTATAAAGAGAGACAGTGCATCTTTAAGAAGGTTGGCACTGAGATCCCGTTTTCTTTAGCTGCATTCTATTAGCTTGGCCAGGTTATCTCGTAGTTCTGTTAGTTCAAAGATTTTGCCATCAAGAATTTCTAAAAGTGTTTTCAAGTTATTGCGAAAAGCTTCTTGTTCATTCTGACTTTTCTCCAGACGCTGCTCTAGGTCAGACAGTTGTCCTTCTAGGTCCTTGTTTCGAACTTCCACTTCCTTAAAAAAAAGAAGAAGAAGAAGCGATATATGTCATTTGTAAATACAGTATTATCTTTATCAGTTTTCTGTACAGTTAACATGGAGCTGGAGTGATCATCAGGCTCAACAGGGTTATCTCTTACACACAAATGGAGATTGAAGTTCACATTCCTAATTGGAGGTAGCTACGTAGGATAGCATCTTCATCAGGGCTGTCCAACTTTTCATACCAAGTGGGCTGCAACAGAACTTTAACCCAGAAGCTGTAGGCCCCACACTGCTTTGTTGGTTGGGGGGCAGTGGTGAGGCCAAAATTTGACACATAGAGACTCTAGCAGGGTCCTAGAGCCCTCCCACCCCTTCCCCAAAGCTGGGAAAAAGCTAACTAGGCTTTGGGATGGAGGAAGGAGGAAGGAGGAGTCTAGGACCCCGTCAGAGTGCTCACAAAAATGGCCGCATGCTATATACCATGATTAGCATAGACAGAAGTGTGCTTTCGCCACTGCCTCACATACAATTAGGAAGGGAATGGAGGATAAATAGAGATGCATGGACTAGCCAACACAATATGATTTAGCATCTTAGTAAATATATATTTTATCATTTAAACATCATTTAATTACAAATGGATTTAAAAGGAAAACTTTGTTTTTGGCAGTGTCAGGAACCAGGTCATTGTTAACAGGATTTTAAATGGTAGTTAAGAACTCATCCCTCCCACCCAAGTTGCCTACATGGCTGTGTGAAGGTGGGAGGGCTCTGCCAGTGTCCAAGAGAACCTTCCTAAAGTTAGCACTGGCCTGGCTTTGGGAAGGCAGTGAGAGGGCTCCAGGATGCTGCCAAAGTGCTCACACCGTCTTCCCAAAGCCATGTAAGTCCACAACCACAGCTTTGCATGGGGGTGGGTGGGGGTGGATTTCCTCTGCTCCTTATTTATTTATCCTTCCCCAAGCCCCACACAAAGCTGTGATCACGTAAGTAAAATAAGCATAAGAGTTACCTGTAGGAAAGAACATGTAATCATGTAACCACGTAAAATTGTTTTGCAAAGGATTCTTTTGTTGCACTTATTTAAGAATATTTTTTTTTAAGTTTGTCAAGGGCATAGATCCCACTGAATGGTGATACATGTCAAATGAAAATGCACTGTGCAGCATTTGGCTAATAACAGACCATGACATCATTTGAGTGTGTATATAATCTTACTGCTTATCTCCAAGTAACTCGACCAGTCAGTTTTGAGAACACAGAATCTACAGGCAATCAAGATCTAAAACATACGCTCATTTGAAGAGATGAAAGACATCAAGGCCTGCAGCAATTTGTTAAAGAATGCAGCTTCAAAAGCTATGAACGCCAAAATTCCCAGCATAAATTGCAACAGATATGTAAGAGGAAGTGTTTGTGTTCTAGCAGAAATTACTCCTACCTGCTTATCAAAGTTTGGTTGTTTGCCATTCAATAGAAATATAAAATGCAGTCCAAATTTCCAGATACTAATTTCAGCATTTTTACCTGCTCAGGAAGGCATCAACAGAAGGCTTTATTTTGGCCCTCCAGATGTTGATGGACCCCAACTCCCATCAGCTTCAGCCAGCATGGCTAATGGTCAGGGGTGATGGCGGTCAGAGCGCAACTATGTTCAAATGCCCACATGTTCCCCAACCCTCCCTGCTCTAGACAGCCCTCTTCTGCTTCTTCCCAAGAAAATACACTGCAGTGTTCCCAACCATCAAATATCCCCAAGTAACTTAAGCTCATATTGCATCTGAGCATTCTGTTGACCTGTCTGCATGAGATGGGAGGATTATCTAGGAACAGCTTGTGTTCTTGGGCTTGTAATTCTTTGCTGATCTTGGCCTGATCTGGAAATTCAACTCTAAGGGCCTTTCTTTGGAAAAGAGGCATAAAGCTCTGGCATGGTCCTAGAGCCCTCCCACCTCCTCCCCAAAGCTGGGAAAGTGCTAACTAGGAAGGAGGCAGGGGGACTCCAGGAGCCTATCAGAGCCCTCACACCTCCTTCTCAAAGCCCAGCACCTGGCTTACCCAGCTTTGGGAAGGCAAAGTGAGGGCTGTACGGGACATCCAATGTTGCTGAAAGCCGCCAAAATAGGCCTTGAGGGCCACACATTGGACCACCCTGGAACTCTAGGAATACTTACCATATTTTTCGCTCTATAGGACGCACTTTTCCCCTCCAAAAATGAAGGGGAAATGTGTGTGCGTCCTATGGAGTGAATGCAGGCTCCTTGGCTTCAGCGATAGCAACATGAAGCCTCTGAAGTGCAGAGGGAGCGCTCCCTCCACGCTCTGGAGGCTTCGCATTGCTTTCACTGAAGCCTGGAGAGCGAGAGGGGTCGGTGCACACCGACCCCTCTTGCTCTCCAGGCTTCAGGGATAGCCGCCTGAAGCCTTCGGAGCGCAGCGCAAGTTCCTGCTGCACTCCACAGGATTCAGGTTCCTTTCGCTGAAGCCAGGAGAGCAAGACTCTCCTGGCTTCAGCAGAGAGGGAGAGCTGAGAAGCGCCCCTTCAGCCAAGCGGGAGGAGAAATGGAAGGGGCTCTATTTCTCCTGCCGCTTCGCTGAAGGGGCACTGAGCAGAGAGGGGGAGAATTTTTTTTTCTTGTTCTCCCCCTCTAAAACAAGGTGCGTCCTATGGTCCGGTGCGTCCTATAGAGCGAAAATACGGTATGTAACCTTTTATTAAGAAAAGGAAGTCTGAAAGGGAATTCACATACCCACACCAGAGCATATCACTTCTTTTATTTGTTTTCTCCCCCCTTGAAAGATGTACAGTCCTTCTCTCCAGCACTAGGACACTCATCCTCATGATTTGCTTGTTTGTTTAATGTGAACGGGCTTTCCCTGCGCAGTGACAAAGCTTCCCTTCTTCCATCACACTTGTACAATGTTCACACAAACACTGCAGGAACACAGTTAGCCCCATCAAAGCAGTAAGGGGGTGGGGGCTATTCTGCAACCCCAAACTGTCTGTCTGTACAAGTCTTCAAGATCCAAAATTATCCAACTTCTTTCCTCTTTTTTATTGTTATCTACAAGCAGATACAACCCTATTCACCCTGTAACTTACTTGTAACTTCTGAGTTAGAGAGTCCCTCTGTGCCTGAAGTTCTCTGGCATTGTCAATTTCTTGTCTCAATTTTTCTATTTCCTAAAGGGGATAAAACAGCATATTATCCAAAGTCAACCTAACTTTCATCCTGGACAAATCCTCCTCATCATATCAGGACACACAAGACAGGGTTGCCAATGCTGCAGAACCCATTGGTATTTTTCACAGGTACTTATGCAGTGAAACTAGAGTCAGAGGGTGGGCCAAACTGAATCACCCTGAGAGCCATCTGGCCAGCCCTAGAGCTTTGAACTTCAGCATGCTTCTCAAAACATGCACAGTTCCCAGTAGGAAGCATCATTTGTGCTTCAGGTTCATAAGCATAGAAATAGCAATAGCTGTAATTGAGTCATAAGAATCGGCTGCCAGAGAGTCAGTTTTTCAGGGCTAAAGACACCAGGGAGGGAACGCTGCAAAGAACAAAGATGAAATTTCAGTTACAAGGGACTGTGTACATCTGTCTATTCTATAGCAAGAAGAAAGCCAGAGGAATTGTAATGAAATATATGCAACAATTCATGACCAAGTCTAAAGCAACACTGGAATCATTTAGTCAGGCTAGATACTAATAACGTTGGCTTAGAGCCTAACTTGCCTTCTGTGAAGAGAATGATTTCAAGAATAAAAGTAGACATCTGTGGAAGTAGTGAACATCTCAACACTTCTTTGTGCAATAAATGTCTAGCAGTTAGGTGACGAGGAAGAAACTTCCCTGAAGGCATGCTATTTCGGAACTGCAGTGAGATATCTTGAACTGTCCTCTGAAACATCTGGCGCCAATTACTGACAGCGAAATAATAGCGTGCTTCTAGGACTAGAGAAGTGATATAAAAAGCAATCCCTACCTATTATTCACTCTTTGGGGAAGTGAGTGCGGTTTGCCAAAGGCAACAAAGACGCTTTTTGAACTTCCCACCAATGCATGGCCTCATACTGCAGGGGTCAGTCTGCCGATCATCATCACTAGAGGAAGTACTTTTAACTCTAATACACCTGACTCTTCAGGCACTTTGAACCAGTATATAAAAGCCATCTTTTAGAAATGAGTTATGGCCTGTTTGTCAGCCTGCTTTCACATTTCTAAGAAGGACAGAGGAAAGCTACTGACTTTTGAAAGAAATGTGTGTTTTTTGGGGGGGAACAACCCATATTTATCTAAATGTTTTTCCCTATGCAAAGAATTTTCTGGATGTTATCTCATTCTGGATGTTAGTCAACAGAATAAAAAAACAAAAAACAAATTACTGGTAGACAACTTATTTTGATGCAAGCTAAGCTTACCTTTAAGAAACTGATTGATTTTTCATCATCATCAGTCCCAGACTGAAACATTATTTTTAAAAATTATTCCGATTTCCACAACCATTTTAAAATGCAATACTATGAATGGTGTATAAGATAAATAATCAGGGCTATTAAAAAGTCAATTAACAAATGCAAGCGAGTACCTCTTCCTTTTTCTTCAGCGTTGCCTCTAATTCTTGTATTGTCTGGTTTAATTCTGTTTTATGTGTGTGGACCGCACTTGCTTGACTACTAACACACTCCAGCTCAGTCACCTGTAAAAATAAATACAAATGATAAATATACAATTATAGGAATATATGGGACATTTCTGCTTTACTAAGCATCTGTATCACAGCATTAACACTTATTGAAATGGTTTCATTAGCTTTGCACAGTATTTTATGAAATGATGGTGGAGCACTGTTTAAGTGCTGTGCCTGATGCTAGTGCTTCTAAAAGTGGCGAAGTTTGAATCGAATAATGGGTTGGCTGGGAATTAAAGTGATAAATATAAACCTAAGAATGGCTTATTTAATTATGAAGACTATTCTCCTTCAAACTGCACTCTTCTAGTTGACACTATATAATAGAATGATGTGGAACTAGTTTGCTAAAATGATTCACACAAAGCTTTTAACCCCACACTACTACTACTACTACTACTACTACTTCTTCTTCTTCTTCTTCTTCTTCTTCTTCTTCTTCTTCTTCTTCTTCTTCTTCTTCATTGAATTTAGATATCGCCCTATACTTTAGTAATTCATTAACCTTTACCATCCAAAGACTTCCCCAAAATTCTAATTAACCTCTGCATTTTTTCCACCAGCACTATACAACAAAACCAATGGACGCTTAAAACAATGTGATTTAAACATCAATACTTACAATTCTACAGACCATGTGCATGTTGTCACTCAGGTGCTTGTAGAAAACATTAATAGAATTGAAGTATGCTTAACTTTCTCTAGTGGGACCTAACTGTACCATTAAATGCTAATGTAGCACTAAGTTCAACAACTCATAAGCATGCTTAACTTTCTCTGGATTATGCCCAATGCTAAATTTTATTTAACGGCAGCCAAATCTTCTGAATGTGACTTGAGGGCATTAAAACATAAGCACAAAGGAAAAACTCTGCTGGGTAAGAGGGTTCATCTAATCCGGCACTGTTTTGACCAGCCAAAGGCCTGCAGAAAACCCACTAGCAGGCCATGAAAGAAACACACCTCCTCCACTGATTATTCCCAACATCCAGTATTCAGAGGCATACTGCTTTTAACTTCAAAGGTCTCATTTAACTATCACCATTCCACATAATAGCAAGCTCAGGTGTTTGAGCGCCTATCATTTTGGAAGCAAAATGGGGCCACTCAAATACAAGGCTGTAATTTCTGCATGCTTTGCGGACTCCCTAGGTACTCAGAAGTACAGAGGTTTGTAGAGAAAGAGAAAACGGAAATTAATAAAAACAGCTCAACCACAACATGTGAGCTCACAGAATGCGGTGGGGAGTTGAACTAGAAGGGAAACTAGAAGTCAGGCAGACTGTATCCCTTTTCATAGAGAAGAAACTCTCTGTGATTAAAGCAAAGCAGGGTCATGCCACCAAACTGACCTCCCTGGGATGCAAGCCTGGGCAGTGTGTATGGAGATCCTGGGCTGCCCAGACGACAAGATCCTTCTCTTGGTCTCACTGATGTGGAGCAAAGGAAAGCACAGCAATATGTTTGGTACCAGCTGGGCCTAAGGAGTTGTTGGAAGGAGGCGTACAAGACACTATCCAACTGCCTTCTTGACCATTGGACCCACTATTGGTCTCATCCACTCAACCCACCAGAGCCTGTCTTAACATGCATATGAAGTTTCAAATTCATTATGTAAAATATGAAATTTTCCCACAGCAGACAGCAAGGCGAATAACAGCATTTGACGGAAGATGAACTGCAGCAGAATGGAAACAGTGCTGCATATGACAAATACGGGGTGGAAGAGAAAATGATGCCTATCTCACATTCCTATAGAAAAATCAGTTGGCTGGCGTGTAATTCTGGCCTGAGATGTAGAAAGTGAGTTTTCCATGACATAGCTACTATAAAAATCCTGTAACTAGCAACTCCAGGACCCCTTTTTTAGGGTAGAAGCAATAATTGTTCAACCTGGACACAGAGGTCCAGCGGTGAGGGCCTTCTGGTGGTTTCCTCAATGCAAGAAGTGAGGTTACAGGAAACCAGGCAGAGGGCCTTCCCGGTGGTGGTGCCTGCCATGTGGAATGCCCTCTCAGAAGATGTCAAGGCAATAAGCAACTATCTTACTTTTTAAAGACATCTGAAGGCAGCCCTGTTTAGGGAAGTTTTTAATGTTTGATGCTGTACTGTGTTTTTAATATTCGGTTGGAAGCCACCCAGAGTGGCTGGGGAAACCCAGCCAGATGGACGGGGTATAAATAATAAAAAATCCTCCTCCTCCTCCTCCTCCTCCTCATCATCATCATCATTAGGTTACCTGGCCACCTTCCCACCTTCAACCCAGACCAGCTCAAATAAGCCATAATGGGCAGGGGTTGCCAGAGGGGGGGCATATTTTAGGCTAAAAAGCTGCAAGCACGTTGTCCATATTTTCAGGCCTCATCAGCTGAAGCCAATCCCACAGGATTGGGCAGTATGTTTTGCTGGACAGCTCCCTGGCTCTATAATAATGGTGGCACTAAACTCAGCATGAAGACAAGTACTTTTATCCTCAAAGGCCTGTCAAACTCGTCACAGCAGGCCTCCCATGGTTCCAACACTATTCCCTGGGACAGATGTCAACATTCCTCTCACCACATGGAACAGTTCTGCTAGCCAGCTACTCAGATATGCAGTGCAGTCAGCACACTAAGCCTTCTCTGTCTTCACCACCGCACAAAAGGCCCGACTGTGCTCTCAAATACAAGCCCAGTCAGTTTCATACTGGGTCTTTGGATATCATGCTAAACCAGAGATTGTGGTCTGTTGCTCCTGCCTATGCTATGGGAGTAGTGAAGCCAGAGACATCTGCATGTTCACAGAAAACCATTAATTAGGATCTACTGCCAATGTATTGGTCCTGATCATCTGATAATTACAATGGTTTAACAGCACACATGACTCTAACTGGATTTAGGCCCTATTGTCATAAACCAAATTACTCTTTGGCTTCTAGCAATATGATGCTAAAAGATGCTGGTGTGCTTACTATGTTAAAAGGTATTGCTAAAGAAGACTAATCCAGATTTCCAAAGTAATCAGAATACAAATCTCAAGGGTCTTGTTACAAAGTTTTTAAAAAGAGAGAGGAAAAAGAAACATCACACAACTCATTACATGAAGAACGAAGTCAAATATCAAACAATTCAAATAAAAGTTTTCTATATTTCAAGTAATGTCTCCTTGATGTTAGTTAGACAATTCCTGATTGCCAGGGGGTTGAAAAATTGTCCAAGGATATCTGAAAGCTTAGAATCTACATTTTCAGTGTAGAAACCATTTTTGCGTGCACTTTTAACCTTAACACATTGTGGTAACATGTAGAATTCCAATAGTTAATTGGTTAGTTAGTTAGTTAGTTAATTTACCTAAACACAAGAAAATATGAACTCTCTGCAAAATGTGCTTACAACAAATATACAACCAGCATGTTGCTTTAAAAGAAGGGTAGTATCAGCAGAATTTACAATTACTGTACTCTTAAACCCCAATCGAGCAAAGCATGACTAGAAGACCCATATAACAATTTCTATCTAATTCTGCTTATCCATTCCTGATATATCCAAAGTTGCTTTTAAACTTCCCTTAGGTTAAAAAAGGCAACTTGTAATATAATTATGTACTTTCATGAAGGCACTGTTGTTTGTAATCAATCCCTTATGTCAGTGGTTTTCAACTGGGGTGCCTTGAATGACGGTCAGGGGTGCTGTGGGCAACACTGGCCTCTGTCCCTTTTTCCATCCCTCCCTCCACTGACGCTCTCTTGTGTCTCTGCGTCCCAAAGGCTTGCACAGCTGTTTACTACAGCAGCCCTGGCTATAAACTCTACAGGTGAATGGTGCCTCTGGGAGGCACCTCTCTTTTGGGTGGGGGGCGGGGCTTAGAGGCCAAGGGCAGCAGCAGCTGCTGCCTAGAGGACTCCCAAGAAGAGGGGAGAGGAGAGGAGGCTGAGGGAACACTCCAAGTGGGAGGGTGTTTGAAAAAGGGTGAGAGGCTGCCAGCTCTGCAGGCAAGGGGTGACATAACTGGGCTCCTGAGCCCCACGGGGTGCTGCAGAAAGAATGTAATTGGTTAAGGGAGCCATGGACTCAAAAAGGTTGAAAACCTCTGCCTTATGTGAAAAAGCAAAATAGAGTGGAGCTCCCATTTATAAATGTATACATTCTTCTATTTCTAAAACTCCAATTGAGAATAGGTGTTACATCAGTTGAAATGGAAATCCTTTGGTTTATAGGTTTATAGGTCACATTTCTAGGTATCCAGGAGGGAATGATCAACTTAAACTATGCATGGAAGGTATGGTAAGTTGTATATACAGCACTCAAAATCTACAAAACAAGCAATTGCATAGCACTGCAGTACAAGAGTTGTACAACTGAAAGTGGGAGCAAACAAACAAAAGGATAATGGCCCCAGGCAAAATGTATGGATGAAATTTTGTTTTGCTCTGTTTCCTTAGCTTGTTTTTATTATAACTGATGTTCCAGGACCTGTTAAAACAATATCCTCTGTCCTAGAACATTCATGATACTTGGGCAAGAAGCTGAAGCAGGAATTGGGAGAAACACTCCAAGTGGAATGTAGAATATTCAGAAAGCCTGTGACAATTTAAACAGTACTGGGCACAAAACATGCACAGAATAGCTGACACATTTAGCAGTTTGTTTTTTCACCTACAATATGAATGTATCAACTATGATAAGATTCTGCATTAATTGGATTCTTCTCATGTGCATGGCTAACCTCAAATTCTACAATTCCAGCTCTTACTGGATGGACAAATAAAGAAAAAACAACAAGGGACACACTTTCCCTGGCAAATTAAGTCTTCCAGTAATGCCAATAAAGGACTATGAACAAAGATGTGCTTTGGGGCATTTTTTTTCACCTGGTTGAGGGTGGAAGGACTACACTATGTTTTATTTCTTTAATATATTTAATATTTAATATTTTACTGCTTTAATTAAGGGATAACCAATAGTATTCCCATGCTAACAAAAGCCTCTTTAATTCAGTAGAGGCTTCGGTAAGCGAAACAGTAAGGGAGACCATTTTCACCTTTCCCCCTCATCCTTTGAGGATATCGCTATGCAAAATCTGCTCTAGAGGCCAGCTGACCCTTTGCAACAGCCTGGGTACAGAAGGAGGGGAAGCAGCAAACTTTGTTTCTCCCTGCATTCTGATGACAAGAGCCTTCACTGGATCAAAGTCTTCCACCAGCAGAAGGATGCGAAAGAAAACTGAAGTTGAAATCCTATGCACACTTAACTGGATGTAAGCACCACTGAATACATTATGACTTCCTTTGGCATATACGTGGATAGGTTTACACTGCATATCAGTAAAGGGCCATAGTTTTATGGCGAGATGGAAAAGGGAAAGGGAAAAAAATGCCACGAAACCTGTGCTCTCTGCCTAAGGCTTGCCTGTCACCTACTAAACATTCCTGAGGACCAGTTATGCCAGGGCGAGAGAGGGCCAGAAAAACCTGCTATTGCTGAGGATGGAAGTAGCCCAGGAAGGAAGGAAGTAACAAACAGTGTGTGGTCAGCCTTTTACAGGAATAGGCACTTTGATTTCCCAACTTTACCTTGTTTTGCTTCACCACTACAGCTATTGAGGTGATCACAAATTAAAGTTGATTTGTTTTTTAAATACAAACATGTCCTAGGTTTCCTTGGAGAGTTGGATTTATTAGTTTGGCCGTGTCTGTCAGCTACGCTTAGTAATTCCCAAAGAGGACAGCACACTGCAGGAGCCTTCCCTGGTGTGATTTATGGTCACGTTTATACACATTTCTCAGCATAAACATGCAGCCAACTTCATAACTAACCCTCTGTTATTATAACTGAAGTCAATAATTTCACAAAACAAAGAAGACACTATACTAGGAAAGGGAGGAAAGAAAACTGTAGGAAACAATGTGGCAGGGAGGTATAGCCTGCAAATCCAGCTTTTGCAAAATACACATTTCTTATTTCTTTAAGTTTAAATTGTATTTATAGGCACATGAACATGCTTAAAAACATGGAGTGAATTGGACAATGTAGTTTCTTCATGGTGAATGAGAGATGCTCCCACACCTACAGTGGCTACAAAGTGCTTACTGTACCTGTCAAATATTCTGAAGTTTTTATTTATATTAATATTATAGAGGCTCTTGATGTACCTGTTTCAATCATCCTTACAGCTTTGAAGTCTGCTGCTCCCAGAAAAGAGGGTGGATCAAGGGTTAACGACTAAGCATTGTGAAGGCTATAGGCCTTTCAGCAATATTGCCTGTCAGCAATTTGTGTCCATACAAAAAACAGTACTGAAGCTTACTGAAACATCTTGCTTGGATGGATTTTAGTGAAACAAATGTGAACAAGACTACAGTCTTTTAGAGACAAAAAGAACCACGTGTGAATGCTGCTCCTCCAGCCACTTTTCTGAAGAAAATAGGCTTTGGGAGAGAACCATTTTGAGCAGCGAAGCATTAGATAGGGAGCAGGCGCTTAAGCCTTTCCCCAACAGACAGACTTCTCTTTTCCAAATTATCCTAGCTGATTATCATCCTGATTACCATCAGGATGCAAATATCTACAGTAGTACCTCGGGTTAAGAACTTAATTCGTTCCGGAGGTCCGTTCTTAATCTGAAACTGTTCTTAACCTGAAGCACCACTTTAGCTAATGGGGCCTCCTGCTGCCACTGCACTGCCGCTGCACGATCTCTGTTCTCATCCTGAAGCAAAGTTCTTAACCCGAGGTAATATTTCTGGGTTAACGGAGTCTGTAACCTGAAGCGTCTGTAATCTGAAGCATCTGTACCCGAGGTACCACTGTATTTCCTTGTATGAGAAACTAGCTGTCAGGGAAAGGGTTAAAAGCCTTTCCTCACTTTTCTACTGAAGATATGCCCCTCCCAACCCACTTTTATTCAGAAATGCAGCTGTCAGGGATTTGTTACAAACATTTGCATATGATATGTAGTTTGCCCCTTAGACAGTTTCAGAACTTCCATCCTTTATCCTCTGAAAGGTTCTTATCACAGTGGCATGCTGGGATAAATACTTTGCAGTGATCCTCCCTGGAGAATGGGATATGCATAGAAAAATCTTTTGCATCCAGTGATGTTGGGCTTTAACAGATTTGCATACAAAATACAGCTCCCTTTTGTCTACAACCATCACCCACCCAAAATTCCAACACATTTAATAAAACTTGATGTAACAAAACAGTACCAAGGGTGTTTCTAACAGCAATGCAAGACTGGCTTCCTTCCAGCTCTACAGCTGAAATGACAGACACACATACCAACAAATCATGCATGAGCTCAGCCAACATTCTTGACCTTCCCTCCCATACTTCAGATGGCTATCCACTTTTTACTTTTATTTTAATCTGCTCACTTGTCAACTCATAAATTGAAGACGGGAAAAAAATTCAAAAGCACAAAACTTCTCTAGGAGTATTTGCTTCTGGATGACACCAAGAGGAACAGCTGGGCAGAAGAGTACATTGCAGGCTTCTACTTTATCCTTGCAGAGCTATTTCCCTCCAGAGGTCAACAAGGTATGTTTGAACTGAATGCGGTGAATGTCCTTCCTGGGCAAATGCTCTTCTAAAAATGTTACATATGCCTTCACCCTTACAGAATCTTAATTCATGCAGTTACTTAACTTGCCTTAGTTTATCTTATTAACAGATCTAAAGAGAGAATATAGTTTAGAGTGGGAGGAATGTACAAACTAGAGGATAAATGAAACAACAAGAGATGAAAAAGAGAGCAGATCATTTTGAATATCCACAGTTGTCTACATTATGAGTTTATCGAATTAGTGCTCAGTTGAATATTAATCAATGCAGTATATAAAGTGAAAAAAATTGTGCTTGCTACCATTTCACAAGGCACATAAATATACACAGACAAAATGACACTGTGCCTGCCATATATCTGGACTGAGATAGTTTGCCCCTGCACTTCTCCATGAATAAAGAATTTATTTTCCAGCTATTTTGCACTGGTTTCAGTTGTCTTAATGGGCACAAGCTCACAAAAGCAAACTTACAGTAGGTTGCAGCTCATGGTTTGTTTGGAGAAAGAAAAACCATGAGCCCAGGTTGAGACCTAACGCTAAACCAAACCAAACCATGGTTTAGCTTCCAGCATTGAAGCAGCAGCATGAGAAGAAGAGAAGCAAAGTTGCCCACGATTTTAGCCCCATGCACCAGTACACTGCACATTCACCTTTAAACCAAAATAATGCTTGGCTATGGTTTAAAGTGACTCACATACAGGCAAGTCCAAGTACACTAGATTAATCTTATACGTCTGACCCAGTGCTATAGACATCACTTAGTAATACATATTTATATGATTTGTTAGATAAAACTCAAACTATATAATACAATAATATATAATTTATTACTACGGGATAATTTATTACATGAAAAGTTTATAATATATTTCATCAGAAGAGAAAATAAAGCTCAGCTTGCATGAATGCTATTGTCAGATGACCAGAAGATTTTTACTGCACCTTTTTCTTAGTTCATAACATGCAGATCCACTAACAATATGTAGTCAAAAGCTTTAAACTTACCCGCTTGTGTAGACGTTCTGCTTCCTCTTGATATGCAGCAAGCTGTTGTTTCCATTGTTTCACATTGGCAGTGGACTCGAGCAGAGCTGCTGTAAGCTTGGCATTGTTACCCTTGAGTGTTGCAAGTTCTGCCTCCCAGTGCTTGCCGATTGCTGAACTATGGACAAAAAAACAGTTGTCACAATAGTGGAGACCACAGCATCACTGGGTTATTTTTGTTCTCTGGCTCATGCCTATACAATTGTCTTCAGAAGCCAGCAAGTCTTGTGGTCCCTCCCAAGTTCTATGATTATGATGCAAAAACACATTGCCTAGGGATTGGGGTGGGAGGAAGCTTAGTAGATAAGCACATATTTTGCATGCTGAAGATTCTAGGTTCAAACTCTGGTTTGCCACTTAAAAGGACATCAAGGCTGGGAAAGACGTCTCCCTAAGATGGCCAAGAACCACTGCCACCTTAGTGGGGCAGATGGCCCAATTATTTGACTCAATATAAGGTAGCTTTGTATGTTTTGGAAGACAAATATCTGACTGTGAATATGCGAATGATTTTTTGAATTTTCATACTAGATACTACCTAATCATAGAAGATAAAAAGTAAACAATGAAAATACCTATTGTTATCTTCTCCAATAACAGGTCAGGAATTAGTAAAAAATTAGTTGCATTATATTAATTAACCATCTTACAATATGCAAAGAGAGAGTTTGAAAGTATGCCTAAGCCAAAGATTAGCAATATGGAAAATAACTTGGACAACCCCAAGGCCCATGTACTCTCCCTTCCCCTGATCAACCTCAAGGAAGATAGAAACATTTGCTTTCATTTGTAAACTAACCACAGTTTGCCATTACATCTGTCATAAAATTTATATATCACTTGATTGTAAAAAAAAACCTTGAAGCAGTTAACCAACATAATAAAACAAGAAATTATAAGTAAAAGCCATTAAAACAATCAAAAAATTAAAACCATAGATATGGTGTTGAGGAGACGCAGACTGTTGGTTCTGGGGGACTTCGGCATCCATGCTGAGGCCATTAAATCTGGGACAGCTCAGGACGTCATGGCTGCCATGACAACCATGGCACTGTCTCAACAGGCCATTGGCCTCACACATGTAGCAGGCCATAGCCTATACATCTGATTTCATTAACTGAGCAGAAATAGGGTGATCGGAGAGTGATCCAGTCCACTGTCAAGATCAGATCACTTCCTGTTGCATTTTAGGTTTTCAGCAGCTTTCCCCCTCCACAGAGGCAGGGGAATGTCCTTGGAGGCTGAAGGATTCAATTAGTTCCCAGACCCTATGGAGGCTTTTCCAGCTGATATGACTGGCCCTGGTTGCCTGTAGAAAACATGGATGATCTGGGCCACTGACACAATCCCCCGAGTTCCCTCTGCCACTTGATAGAACCCTGTTTGGGCAATGAAACAAGCTGGAAGACGACTTGAATGCAAGTGGAGAAAATCTTCAGGCGAATGCAACAGAAAACTAGTGAGTGCTCATTATCAAGTTTACTCGGTGGCAATGAAGGCAGTATAAAGCTTACTTTGTTTCCAATGTGTTTGTGGGTTATTGGTTTGTTTTTCCTTTTGTTTATTTAGTATGTAAAGTATTTTGTATTCTCATTTTGTATTTATCTGTTGTGAACTGCCCTGGGATCTTGAGATGAAGGGCAGTATACAAATTTAATAAATCCTAATGATAATCTAGCTGAGCTAAAACCAGTGGTGGCTTGCTGTGATTTGTTTGCAGAGCAATTTGAAGATAAAATCACTTGAATCAGCTGAGACCTTGACTCCACTATTTTAGCATACGATTCTCAAGTGCCATCCAGAGTTTGTTAGTAAAGCACGAGGATGTGGACAAGGTGCTGGCATCAGCACAGGTGACCGTTTCTGTTCTTACTCTTGCTCTTCAAGGCTGGTAAAATCTAACAAGGAGGCAGCAGCTTGCTTGGCCATGCAAGAAGGGGTGGTCCTTGCTTGCCAAAAGGAGGTGATGGTAAGACCACTCATTAGAAACCTTTCCTGGATCCATAATCTAAACAATTAGTGACCAGTTGCCAATGTTTGTTTCTTGAGCAACGTTCTTGAGTGCATGGCTGCAGGTCAGATCCAGGCTCTCTTGTGTAAGACTAACTTTTCAGACCTATTTCAATCAGGGTTTGGGCATGGAAACCACCTTGGTCACAAAGACCTTTGTCAGGAAAGACAGGCGGCGTGTGTCTCTGTTACTGTTCCTTGATCTCTCAGTGGCTTTCTATACCATTGACCACAGTATTTGTGACTGTCCAAATAGAGAGTAGGCAGTACTGCTTTTCAGTGGTTCCAATACAATTCGGGATGGATATTTTCAGAGGCTGGTGATGGGGGGTGTTGTTCAGCCCCTACAGTCCTCAGTGCTGCTGGTTTAGGTTTTCCTATACTGAATGGGCTCACCCAGAGCTCTGGAGTACATTTTCAGTAATGTGCTGGTGATACATTGCTCTATCACAGCTGCAGACGTATTGTGTCCAGATTAAGGGAAGTAATAGTACTGCTTTATTCTACCTTGGTCAGACCCCACCTGGAGTACAGTGTCCAGTTCTGGGCACCACAATATAAGGATATTGACAAGCTGAAGAGTGTGCAGAGGGTGGAAACCAAAATGAAGGGTCTGGAAACCAAGTCTTTTGAGCAACAGTTGAAGGAGTTGGGTATGTTTAGCCCGGAGAAGGGGAGACTGAGAAGTGATATGATAGCCATCTTCAAATATCTAAAGGTCTGTCACATGGGAAATGGAGCAGGCTTCTTTTCTACTGCCCTGGTGGGTAGGACACAAACCAATGGAATCAAATTACAAGAAAGGAGATTCCAACCAAATGTTAAAAATAACTTTTTGACAGTAATAGCTATGCAACAGCAGAATGGACTCCCTCAGAAGCTGGTGGACTCCCCTTCATTGAAGGTTTTTAAGCAGATGTTGGATGGCCATTGGTCAGGGATTCTTTAGAAGAAGAAGAGTTTGGATTTGATATCCCGCTTTATCACTACCTGAACAAGTCTCAAAGCGGCTAACATTCTCCTTTCCCTTCCTCCCCCACAACAAACGCTCTGTGAAGTGAGTGGGGCTGAGAGACTTCAAAGACGTGTGACTAGCCCAAGGTCACCCAGCAGCTGCATGTGGAGGAGCGGAGATGCAAATCCGGTTCACCAGATTACGAGATTACCACTCTTAACCACTACACCACACTGACTCTTTAGTTATGATTCCTGCATTTCAGGGGGTTGGACTAGATGAGCCTTGGAATCCCTTCCAACTTTACAGTTCTACGATTCTATGTAGTCGTGGCAGTGAATCTGCTAGACTGGTGTCTTGCCTCAGTAATGGACTGGGTAAGACCCAATAAACTGAAACTTAATTGAATAAGGCTGAGGTGCTGTTAGTGGGTGTTTCCCTCAGATCCATGGCTGCTCTGGATTGGGTCACAGTCCCTCTGAAGGAGCAGGTGTATAGCCTGGGGCTACTTCTGGATCCATTACTGCTGTTTGATGCACAACTGGCCTTGGTGGAGCAGATTGTATTCTATGCAGCTAAGTCCAGATGGCTATCTGGACAGAGATAAACTGACTTCTGTTGTTTACATTCTGGTAAACTCCAGTATACATTACGGCAATGTACTATATACATGGGGCTGCCTTTGAAACCGCTCTGGGTGCAGAATTCAACAGCCAGGTGGACTGAGTATGTAACACCCATCCTGACACAACTTTACTGGCTATCAGTTAAGTTTCCATAACAGTGCTAGTTTTGACCTATTAAGCAATATGTGGCTCAGGACCCCAATACCTCAGGGATGCCTCTCCTTACATGAACCAACCCAAACACCGTGTTCATCATATGAGACCCTTCTCTGTGTTTCTCATCCACAGGGATGCAGAAGGTGGCAACACAAGTACAGGCTTTTTCACTGGTGGCTTCACGCTGGAAAGCTTTCCCCCAAGGAAGCACAGCTGGCACCATTATGGTCTACTTTTAGATGTCAGCCAAATTTTGGCCCTTAATTCAGTGGGTAACTAGCTATACCTGTGGCCTCTTTTGTGCTCATCTTTTAAGGGGATAGGTAGGATTTTTTATATATGAATGAGTACTTGTATTACTGCTGTTCTGACATTTGGTTTTAATGTTTCTTGTTATCCCCCCCCCCCCCGTTGGTCAGTTTAAGACACTTTGCTGTAAAAAGCAGCAAATAAATATAACATAAATGGTATAAAAAATGTACAAATTTCCTTTTTCATTGCCACTCTGCTTAAGAACTGGATTACCCTACTTACTGCTTCTCTCTATGCTCAAGGCAGAAAAATATATTCACCACAATAAAAGCTGTTGGACACTTTCTTTAAAATGTAAAAAGTGCTCTATAGTTGCTAGTTAAATAATCCCTTATGTGACAATTAGTTGCAACACCTTGAGTTATTACCTGTCTTTTGGCATGCAATGCAGGGTTTTTGAAATCTTCTCTTGGCTCTTGTAAACCTAGGATTCCCAAATGAGCTACCTTTGTACTATTCTACATCATGGAATGATTGAAATTTTATGCCAGCTTCATCTATGTGACCAAGAGTAGAATCTGAATCATGCCAGCTGCATCCCATTTAGAGAGAGGTCAGATCTTGCCTTGATTGCTCATGCACCAGTCACATCTAGGCTGGACTACTGTAAGACACTCTGAGAGGAGCTACCATTGAGGATGGTTCCAATACCTCAACTGGTGCAGAAGACAGCCCCCCTGCCAGATGTTTTCTGGTCCCATGTGACAGTGGTCCTGTACCAGTTGTACTGGTTACTGGCACATTTTAAAGTCCTAAAGAGTTTGTGAACAAGTAGCCTGAAGGTCAGCCTACACTCATACAAGCCTGCTTGGGTATGAAAATGTGCTTCAGATGCCATGCATCTAGATTTGATTCAGCTGCCAGGTAAAAGAGATAGGGCCTTTGTTGTGATGGTACCCAACTTATGAAGTTTCCTCCCCAATAAGATGGGCACAAACTTTTAAGTGGATTTCAAAACTTAATTATTTAGGGCCACTGCTTCTTAAATGCTGTTTGTGAAGAATGACTGGGCTATTTTTTTAAGTATTAAGTATTTTCATTTATTTAAAATAAATCTATGCTGCTGTTTTACTTATTTTTATTTATTTATATCTGAATGAACTATTTAATTAATACACACATTATATACATACGCTACTGCCATCTTAAAATGTTTAGGTTTTCGTTTAAAAATATTTTGATAGGGCTATTACTGCATTTTCCTAACTCAAAGCAGGTTGGGAAAAATATCTTTTTAATGTGTGTGAAGAGAGAGCCACATTTCATATGGCATCTGGTATAGTGATTTTGGAGTATAAATAATTATGCCTTTCCTGGACGCCGAGATGTCAAGTGCTATCATTAGCACCATAATGAATGCAACTGCACGAGAGTCACACCTGTTCGATAATGCCTCCAATACTGGTCGAGGCAAAAGGTCATAACTTTTCTCCTTGGCAACCAGCAATATTATGTGAGCTTCTGCAAAAGTTCTCTCAGATCATTTGCACTCTCTTACAGTATTTGTCACGTGTGTGTTAAAGTTATGTGGCCCTTTGGCACCTCCCCTAATGGTAATAACCAGCAAGACCACTCCCTTCCCTTCACAATGTCCTGGAAGTCTGTCATTTTACTTCTTCTCCAAACAGTGAAGTACACATACCATCCAATTCTTTTCAGTGTAGGAATAGGAATAGCCCCTGCACTAAGGCTTCTCTCCTTCCATTATGGATGGAAGGAAGAAATAGGACAGTATACTTGCGATGTTGGATTACCACTAGTTTTATTGCAAGGGACCTGCAACAAAATTCTGTAGTGCGCAGTTCAGGGTTCCAACCATTCCACCCCCCACCACATTTTCTGTTTCATTTCCTCACAGTTAAATAGCATTCAATGCCCACTGAGCATGCTTAGTCATCATTGGGCTGTTTGCCTCCATTTTTTCTTTTTAAAAAGTTCTGTCAGCTTTGGTGGTAACTTGCTGTTGTGTGGATAGTGCGACATTGGCTACTTAGAGCACGAGGAGTTTGCAATTAGTGTGTGTGGTAGATCTATACAATCCGCCCCGCCCCCAAAAAGGATCAACTGGCTAAGAACAGAATTTCAAGACTAAAATTTGTTTACAAAATTATTTATTTAAAATATTTATACACCACTATCCTTCAAAATATTCTCAAAGCAGTTTGCATAGTAAGCAAGTTGAATTCATCTTCTCGTTTACTGTTACTTCCTCATGAAAGGTAGTATTAACTGCCACAAAAACACAAATGCATTCCAGGGCAGGGCAGGGGTAAAGAACTCCATACTCTCCAACATTTCTCCAATGAAAATAAGGACATCTTAAGAAAAAGTGGGACATTCTGGGATCAAACCAGATCAAAACTGGAATGGCTTCTGGAAAACAGGGACACTTAGAGGGTCTGGAACTAGTTCCCATATTTGTGAAGGAAAAATACAGAACTCAAGAGAAAACCACATGATTAGTGTCTTGTGTAACCCATAGTGCTGTTATTGGCATATTTTCTTTTTGCCATAAATGAAGCCGCTTCAACTGAATTATTCTAAAATCAGGGTTGGGAAACTCCCTTTGGCTCTTGAGACTCTCTCTAGGTTGTATCCTCTCTCTCCAAGCCACATGCCTCAGCAACCTTACTTCACACCCTTGTGTGTTTTGCCTTGAGAGGGTATATCCCGAAGCTCTGATAATGACTCTTGTTTGGTATGGGAGCAGAACAAAGAGGGGTGTAGATAGAAATTTGCCTGCTGTACATGCTTAGCATTTACATTCGCTGCTATAAGCACTTCTCTCTCAGTGTAAATCTTTACACTAAGCATAAATAAATATTTTGTTCAATTATGCTGAAGATCAATTAAGGCCCTGCATTGACATAGTATCCTTCTACTTCTACAAAAGACCTGGATTATAAAGTAAGCTAACAAGGATGTTCATGAAAGGGCAGTTTCCCCTCCCCACCTTGCAGCCAACTGTGCCCTCTCCACCTTCCAGGCAAAGCCTCTTAAGAGGGTCAGGGACTCTCCTGAACAATGCAGAAAGGGGTGTGTGGGGATGCAAATTAAAACTTTCCTTCTGTAAACTTGCTTAACATAGTTTTTGTTCCAAGACCAATTTTGGGAAATTCTGCTTTCCTCCAGCTGCTCAACTCCTCCCTTCCCCTCCCCCCTGATCCATCCAGTTTTGTTCAGGAGGGAATTGCCAGTTCTACAAAGAACATTTATTAAAAGCAAAATGCTTTTTGGAAGGGCGCAGATTGCTGCAAATGAAAAGGGGCGGGAAACCTTCCTTCTGCGAACTTCCTTGAATTAATTTCTCTTAAGATCCAAATAAACGCTTGTTATATTCATGAGATGATTGAGATAAACGTATGATGAAAATCATTTAAGATTTAAATTATAGTGAATTCAATGAGGAGAAGAACTCCTGCTTTAAATCGCAATCCTATACACATTTACACAGGAGTAAACCTTATTAAGCATAATGGGACTTACTTCCAAGGAAATATGCACAGGCTTCTACTGTTAGGCTACGTAACTATATGCAAGCCTGAACTGGAGGAGAACTCTGAAAATGAAATATGACACTACTTTGTAAATTTGAGCCATTGAAGACTATGTATTAAAATGCATTAACTATCTGTTATTAGATGTTTCCTGTGCTACTTTCAATTAAAACATATTTACACTGCATTATGGTTTTTAAGAACGTTGGTCAGCAACATGTTTATTATTGTTGTTTTTAAACTCTATCACATGAATGTAGAGTTCCAAAATAATGTGTGCTTTTTGTCTGCTGACGTGTAGATATATCACTGGTTTAATAATAGAAACCTGCCTTCTACAATGCCAGATCATGGGGTCCATGTGGTTCACTACAGGGTTTCAGGCCAAGAGCCTTTTCCAGCCATACCTGGAGATGCCACAGATTGAATTTGGGTTCATCTGCATGAAAAGCATGTGCTCTATCATTGAATTTTTGTATTTATTTGTAAATAAAATACTCCAGCAATTTTTACCCTGACTTTTATATTATTTTTACTTATCATTTGTGGCTAGGCACCATTGCTTTTAATTAGTTTGTTTGCTGCTAGAAAGGACCTTTCTCTATATAGTACCCATAACATATGAATCCGCACAAATCTTTCCTGAAAACTAGCACTGCAATATCTGTGCTCATTTCCCTTCAGGCAAGAGGGCTACTCTTGGGATGTCTGGCCAGATCCCAATAAGGGTTGACCATAATTTATACAAAAGTACTTTTGCTTCATGGGCATGAAGCAAAGGAAGGAAACAATATTGCTCAGAATTTAAATTCTGATAATTTCCTGAATAATTTACTTTTGAACAAAAGGCAGAATGTACAAGGATGACAACACTGATACCAGACCAGCTGGAGTTTTGAGTGCTTTTTTTTCTGCAATGCATTACACTTCTATTTAATAAGCACTAGTTTGCTGTTATTTATATAAGATAATGAATTGACCTAACAAAAGGATTTTGGTTGTGGTGATGGTGAAACTTCTGGCATCAACTGATGACGCCTTAACATATTTGCAAACATTCTAAGAACTGAGAATGGGAATAGGAACCATGAAACACACAGATGCAAAGTCCTTTGAGAGAAGCTAGGAGTTGGTGGATTGCAGGAGCAGTTTCACAGAGCTAAAACTGTTCATGTGCACATCTGCCTCTCTTCATATAGAGAAAAGACTCATCCATAGTCTAAGCTGTATATTGCTGGGAAAGAATGAAATGAGTGTTGTACAACAAAGAATGCTGAGCATGAGCCAAAGTAGCTGATAGAATAGAAGAAGGAGTAGTAAGCAAAACAAGGGTTTGAAGCAACTGTAATTGGTGCAAGAACAGAACTTGGGATAAAAGAGGAACCAAGGATGGAAAGGACCTATAGAAAAATTAATACTGGGCTAGGGTTGCTACATTTTTGCTTGCAGTGCCATTATATTGTTATAATCTTCTACCCTGGGACCTTATGATGAAGGACAGGTAAAAAGCCAATTTATCTTTACCATTTATTGATGTGATTTAAAGCAAGGATAAACTACACACATAGGAAGGTTGTGCAAATCGAAGATGATGTTTGAATTCAAATTTAAGATATTTAAGGAATATAGTAAAGCCTTTAATTAAAAAAAAAAACTTTTTGCTAAACAGTCAAGTTATAAATGCCTCAGTACAAACGTAATACATATTTAAAAAATGCAAGCCAGTCTTCAAAAGGTAAATTTCTATAGTCATTCTTTAATAATAACCCATAGGAGAGAAACAGGGTCTTAACAAATTTGTTACAGTAATGGATATACATGCAGCATTATCAAATGGTTTGCTATACAGAGAATAAAAATTAAATGAAATCCATGATCTGAAAGAACCTCTTCACTATGGCAATAAATCAGGTTTGTTTGTGGGGGTTTTTTTGCCAAAACTTTCAACAGAAAAAAACAATTACTTAAGTAGGCAAGCAATCACATCACTGTAAATCTATTTCTGTTAGTCCTACAATGTATTTTCCAAACACACTATATATTAAAATGTTCCAATAAGAAGATATATGACACAGTTTATGATACTGAAAAGATACTTAGGAACATCTTCAAGTCAGTGTTGACAAGCAATTTTAACAGGACATCCGAAATATCTGAGAAGCTGTCTCCAACCTACTTATTAATCTCCAGTTTTTAAAGGTTATTAAACAACATTCCACTTGTTTTCAAGCAATGTTCTGGTTTTCTTGTAAAATGAACATTTAATAATGTAAAGGTTGATTTTAGAAGCATCCAAAATTGGATTCAAATTTATAAATGTGGCTAGCTTTCCAGCAGCCCCCCCCAACTTTCACAATAATAAGTAAATTATGCACATGCAAAAACTTAAAACATCTAGGATGGCTATTCCGCCCTGCCCCCCCATGGTCTCCTTTGAAAAATATCCAAAAACCCAATTAATACATTTTTTTTGCCAAAGTTTTCATATCAGGGAAAGAGCTCTATTGAAAATTTTGCCTTTTTCTTCTTAAAAAGTGGGCAGCAGATACAACAGTAAGTATAAATCTTCAGCATTTCAGATCCACAGAACAGGGGATGTAATTCCCACTCAGTTATATGTTCCTATCAGCACGATTACCACAACAGTCCATTTTCAGAAGTCAATTTGAGATTCTTCTCCCACCCTTTCATTCACACATACCCGCATACACCCGCACACCCCTAACTTACAGAATAGAAACCGAAGTATTTGTGAACACAATTTTTTTGATCTTCAAAGAAACATACCTTTCTGATAAAAAAAAATATCCTAGGAGTTTCTAAAAGTCTACAAACTCTCTCCATCAAGAAGAGCCCATAACAAAGCAGTTGTCTATAAAAATCTACACTGAACTACAACATATACCAGTATGTTGACAGTCACCTCTGCATATTAAATCATAACTTGCTGGTGAAATCTAGCTGTAAGTAACTTAAGATGAGACTGTTCACATGAGATTCAGGCAACAAATATTCTTTTGTTTCAGCAGAAGGTTGAGTACTGGAAGACCAATTCAAAATTTTGAAGCCCGATAGCACGATACTGTAAAAGATTCTCTCTCAAAGTGTGTATACATATTGTAGAAATGTACATAGATCAAATTTAGACTTCTGCTACTAATGATACAGTTTAAACTGTAGTACAATTACTTATTTTCAGGGAAATAATAATATTATCTGCTGTTAGTCTGAGTGACAGTTTTTAAATTGTTATTAAAAACAGACACAATTTGTTGTTGTTTAGTCATTTAGTCGTGTTCGACTCTTCATGACCCCATGGACCAGAGCACGCCAGGCACTCCTGTCTTCAGACATAATTTACCACAATGTAAATAGGAATTGGTCATATTGCAATAATCAAGATAGGTTACCAAAGTCACTTCAACATATACTTTTCAAGTTATTTAGCTCAACTCATGATCATATATTTTGATGGCTAGAGTAGTAAATGTGTCTGGACAAATTTGGTACGGTTTCACCTTAACCATAATCTGGATCCTAATATCCAGAACCCATATCTGCACATACAGTTCTCATCACTGATAAGCAATCTCAAATTAATCAGCTGTTTGATATGGGGATGGTGAGATTGTATTTTGGTCTTCTTTCCCCATCCCACAAGTGATTGGGACTATCTAAAATAGAAGGTGGGCACAGTTCTGTGCCCACAGGTTTTTATATAAGAATTGGAAACTACAGCAACTCGAAATAATTCAAAGACTCTGCTTCAACTTAATGTGCTTTAGTGCAATATATAAAAATTACATTAGAAAAGTTAAAGTTCAGCCCTTCTAGATGCGAAAAGATGGTTCACTATATAATAAATGTCAAACACCTGCCTGCTCTTATTCATGTGAAATATCACAATTCTGATTTCATCAATGTTTTAATCATCAGGCTGAAGGTATTATATAATGTCATATTTTCCCATAAAACATACTTGTTTTGGATATTAGCATTTCCTTTGACATTCAAGACCTGCTTAAGTGTCATTTTTAAGTGCAAAAGAGAATAATACCACGTAGCTCAAGAATTTGAAGTAATTCTCATTACCCACAAAATACACACACTAGACCAATAATTCTTGAAGCAGTATAAAATATTCTTGTACACTAGAAAGTTAAAGGTTGCAGCATAGTGTGATCACTCATCCTATATATTAATAGCAAACTCAATTCTCCTAGTGTGGATCCTTATGTAGCCGTAATAGCACCATCCAAACACAACAGGGAGGAACCTGCCAGCTGGGAGGAGCCCGGAGCCCAAAGGGCTGCAGAAGCACAAGCAATTTTTAAAGCCACTTCCCCAAAATAGCCCAGTGAGGAATGAGCATGCTCAGTAGGCCTGGATTGCTGACCAACAGCGGGTGAGTGGGGGTGGGGGCAGAGAGGAAAACAGGGGATAGGAGGTAAGAAATTAAGAATTCTGACATGGCTGACTGGCACCCTGGACAGAAGCACTCCGCACTGCAACATTTTGTTGCAGCTTCTACCCCCCCCCTTCTTCTTCTAATCTGCATTTAGTCCAAAATATTAAAGTCTCAGAGGCATCTGTATTGTGCTTCCCAGACAAAAAAATGTTGAAGCTCAAAAGCAGCCATTCTATTCCATTTCCTTTTCTTTACTTTAAGAAAAGGGTAAGACATAAGTGAGCTATGCACACAGGAGGGCGAAACCTGTGAAGTTTCTTGTTTTTGCTGCAGTGGTTTCCCTCCTGAAGAGACAAGCTTCTTTTTATACTGAATAGTAGTCCCTTAGTAATAGTGTGGCTCCTTCACTGCACCCTCTGCACAAATGCCTCTTTGGACACAGATCCACACTGCAAGCATTAAGTCTTTTAAAATTTTAAATTAAACAAATGGAGAAAGAGGCCGTCTTAACAATAAAGTGCACACGTATTACTTAATAAGGATGTGTGAATGAAATCTGTACCTATGCGCAAATGGTAATGCATTCTGGGTTGGTTCAGCCCTTGGTTCTGAGTTTTGCGTCACTTCTGGGGTTGTTCTTTCATCATCTGTTCCATTAATACTCTCAGGTGTAAGAGGAGATTGAATATCACCTCCTGCAGATTCCTTAAAAAAAGAAAATTATGGTTACACACTGAATTATGCACAAATGTACTTCCAATATTAGACAAACATCCAAGTACTAGAGTTGAATTTTACACCTATTACACCCTTAGCAGATATAAGGGGGGGGGGGGCGGGAATGGCAAGGTTTTCCTCCATCGTTTGAAAGAAAAACAAATGAATTAATTGGTGATCTTTACTTCCATAGGGAACTGGCCTAGAATGCCCATTAAGACCATTTAGTTTTATGTGGTAGAGTACTGGCTTCTGTTACAAAATAAATGTCACATCTCACCATAAGAGATCATATATATGATCATGTTTCCATCTTTACTAGTAATCAGTATGCCCTGGGCCACATGTATACCAAATTACAGCTTTCTGGTTGATTTGGAGTACTTTAACAATTTTGGGTTAAACTTCAGACCCTTGCTTTTGAAGGCAGGAGGGACAATTTTCAGTTTTCTCTAGTTAAGCAGGGTGTCTAGGATAATGTGCGCTCCAAATTTCAATTTTGGGAGCAGTATGGTAGTACTACAAATATTATGGATATGGTAATGTTTCCACTTTGGGGACTCTGGATCCCATTTTCTGACTTTTCTAGTAGTTAAAGACATATACACCACATTTAAGTTCCATTTTGTATGGAAATAAACTAACAAATGCAAAAGACTTAAGATACCTATAGTAGTTTGTATATCCCACTGACTCAAACACAGTTGTTATTACATTTGCTGTATTTAAGATGTTCCTCATTATATAACAAGATATACATTTAAATCAGTCTTTGTGTACCAATATGAAATGGGAGTTTTACACAACAGCTTAAAAACATGTGTACTAAAATCCAGAGCAAATGAATACAAAATTGTCCTGTACGTTTGCATAAATGACTCAAATTCTGTAAGTCAGGTTGTCATAGGAATTTTTTAAAAACCAAGATAGATCAAATACTTCTTGTCACATATTAATAAAAATCACATTAGCTGGAAAATTCTTTACCCTCTGGTTGCAGCATATTTAAAGATGCCTTATCACCTAAGGCTAGGTCTGAATCAAATGGAAATACCTTCCCTCTCTTCTTCCACACCCACCTACATCCCTATCCATATGATAGTCAGGGAACTTACAACACCTCATGAATTAATAGTTTACTGCAATGCATTATATGTGGGGCTGCCTTTAAAGACAGTTCAGAAACTATGGTTGAAACAGAACTCAGCAACCAGATTGTTGGCTGATGCAAGATGGTTTGAGTATATAACGCCAATTCTGGTACATTTTCAATTAACTTCCAGACCCAATTCTAAGCTTTAGACCTATAAAGCTTTATGGGGCTCAAGACCGTAATACTTCAAGGACCACCTACCCCTACATGAACCAACCCAGACCCTGCATTCATCACTTAAGGCCCTTCTCTGTGGAATAGGGGAAGTACAGAAGGTGGCAACATGAGGACGGGACTTTTCAGTGGTGGCTCCCTGCTTATGGAATGCTCTTCTCAGGGAGACATGTCTGGTGCCATGACTAGCGACTTTTAGGCACTAAGCAGAAATGTTTCTTTTCAGCCAGGCTTTTTGTCTTCAACCTGGAGAGTTTTAAATATTGTGGCCTCCTTCAGTGGATGGGATGTGTTAGACCGTATTTTATATATATGAACGTTTTAAGGGTTTTGTTGTATTGGTTTTAATTTTTGTATTATATTGTAAGTCACTTTCAGTTTACTTTTTGTAAAAAATAACACAGTGTTTCTGTTAGTAACTGAAATTTAGTTAGGGATTGGAAGAACAGAATTAATAGTGCAACTGTCAGCAAAGGTGATCATGCGATAGTGATTCTTCTTCATGTTGGTATTTAACGTTAATTACCTAAAACAGTCTTCACCAGTTACCGTACATGTAAACAGAAAAAAACTCATGAATTAGGAAACAGTAAGGTTGCCATATTTCAAAAAGTAAAAACCAGGGCACCCCAAAAGTTGTTGAGCTTTTTAAAAAAACAAATAATACAAAAAAGCACCACCTTTCAGAAATCCCTCCCAAACATCAATTCTGCCTTTGAAATCCCAGTAATGTCTGGAATAATCCGGATATATGGCAGCCCTAGGAAACAATACAGTTCAAACTGCATACTGCCAACTTTCTTATTTTCCCTATTACGTTATCATCCATTCACAGGAATAAATATATGAGTCCTGGGTCTTGTATGAGGAAAAACTCAAAGACACTTACTGCCATTTAAAGCAATGTGATTCAGGCTGACTGGTCAGGGAGGTTTACACAGTGTCCTGGATATTGCATGAACCTAACCCTTTGGACCAAGCTACTCTGTGACATGCAGGTGGTGCTGTGATCTAAACCACTGAACCTTGGGCTTGCTGATCGGAAGGTCAGCGGTTCGAATCCCCGTGACGCGGTGAGCTCCCGTTGCTTGGTCCCTGCTCCTGCCCACCTAGCAGTTCGAAAGCAAAGTGCAAGTAGATAAATAGGTACCGCTCTGGCAGGAAGGTAAATGGCGTTTCTGTGTGCTGTTCTGGTTTCGCCAGAAGCGGCTTAGTCATTCTGGCCAAGTGACCTGGAAGCTGCACGCCGGCTCCCTCGGCCAATAAAGTGAGATGAGCGCCGCAACCCCGAGTCATTCGCGACTGGACCTTACGGTCAGGGGTACCTTTACCTTTACTCTGTGACAAAAGGGTGACCAGTTTCTACATTCCAATTATAGGAGCGGTGTGGAGAGGGGCAAATGATTACTGCTATACAATCATTTAAGTATCAGAACATATTGCTATTAGTATTTTTAAAAAGTATTTAAGGCATGCACTAGGTTCACATTTTCAATATTTCTTTTGTAACTATAACAACTGAAGTGTTCTTTAAGTAAAACCAAATAGCAGTTTCTTATTTTCAAGAAACTCCAGACAAAGCAACATGAAATTCTGCATTTTAACAGAAAGTTGCCTGATTTCTAAAAGGCTTTATTTTGTATTTCAGAGCAGATTGAACACCTGAGGTGGTTACAAGGAAGATAAGAAAACTAACAGGGGCAATGTTATTATAATATTCACTGGGTATACTTAAAAGCTTTCCTCTAAGCTTTTCAGCAACTATTCTTAAAGCTGCAGTGCCAGAAGACTTATAGGTAATAAAGGTACGGGGTTGCATTGACAAATAAAAAACAACAACTGACCATTTCTAGCAGCTATTTAAATTAATGCACCAGTAAATAATAAATAAATAAATAAATTCAGATTAAAATATAAATACCAAATGCCACTCATGAAAGCCTTGTTGATACTTGCAAGTCAATTACTACATAAGGAAAAGAGTGAGAGGAGATATAATCCACATGCAACACTGATCCTGGTTTTCCTCCATATTTATAACAACTTCTTTCTAACTGAAGAATTTTCATATTGAATTTTTTATCTGATGGAAGCTTCCACAGAGCAGTAACATATATTTCACACCACACATAAACATTAATTTTTTCTCATTGTTGAGGGTAAGCGTTGCGTTTGTAGTCTATGTTTTTGAGCTAGTACGTAACACCAAACTACAGCTATAGCTTCAAGGGATCTCACCTCAGCCAGGAAAAGTATGCATATACTGTATAAGTGTCTTGGCAATTGTCTTTCCTAAATGTTACCTGCTAGGACGCCCTGCTACAATCTTAGTTTGGGCGGGGGCAGACAGACTCCAGAATACACACAGGAGGATATAAGGGTTTCTGCATATTGTACTGAGGCCAAAATGCCCAAGGATGTTAGGCCCCCAAGACACAAAACATGTCCTAGGTGGAATTGTCTGTAATGTAAGGTAGAAGCAGCTATCCTATGGAATATCTAGGATGTACTGTTGTAGGGTAGATGGGAACATTTATCATTTGATTTCCATTATCATTCATGAGCTGGTGAAATAGAAATATTTTGCTGTAACAGTTTTAGTAGAAACATGTGCTCAGTAGGAAAAATCCAACCTGTGCAGTTTTGTCATTGGTATCTAATATCTTACACTGAACATATTGCACCCCAGATACATACACACCACAGTGTAAATTGATGCATGCCATGTGTGCATGTTTTTCATGTCATCCCACACAAAGTTGTCCTCATCCAAGTGGCAGCCCACATGTTCCCCCCATTTAATTCAGTTTTTCTCCATCCATGGATAATGTGGTAAGAAAAATATCAAAGATAACACCACATGTTACTCAGCTTTGGACAAACTGAAGCATATTGTGTAGGTGGTTTGTTTTTTTAACTTCTGTGGTAATGTTTTCCCATCTATCACCACACCCTCTACTTCCACTGGTGCAGCACACACATTTTAAAAATTATTTTTTAATCCACAGTTTTGTTCAAGTCTGTTTTGGGAAAGTCTGGTATATTGGAAAGTTTGTATCTCTCTCTCTCTTTTTATGGCCATGTGCACAGGTAAATGAATGCACATGTGCATGCCCCAAAATGGACCCCAGGTTTCTGGAACTCAGGAAGGTAGGCAGGTACTAACTGAGGGAAGTAAACAACACCACACAGGGAGCTACATTCCATCAATAACTGCCACTAACATGGACTGGAAAAACTGAGACAGAGTTCAATTGAAAGCAGTCGTTTTTGGAGAAATATGCTCAAAAGCAAAGTGAGAAGCAGCCACTAGCTGTTGTGTGAGACAAAGCAAGGACATAGTATCTTTAGTACTTCCTTGCTTTTGCTTGCCTGCTTGGCAGCCATGCACAGCCTAGGCAGATAGGATTAAGTCCCCAGTCTTCCTTGCAGGCGTCCCTGTGCCACCATACTTCTCTCAAGATTCCCTGCCCTCTAACCCTGGCAAGCTTTTTGGGGAAAGAAATAGCTATTGAGGGCAAGAAATAACAATTTGAGGCCAGGAGCCCCTAAGTCGCCTTTTCTTTTTCCATCTTCCACAGCACACCTTTCCTCAGCATCCCCATCCCCCCACTTTGCTTAGATTTAAAAGGACCCCTGACCATTAGGTCCAGTCGTGGCCGACTCTGGGGTTGCGGCGCTCGTCTCGCTTTATTGGCCAAGGGAGCCGGCATACAGCTTCCGGGACATGTGGCCAGCATGACTAAGCCGCTTCTGGCGAACCAGAGCAGCGCACAGAAACGCCGTTTACCTTCCCGCCGGAGTGGTACCTATTTATCTACTTGCACTTTGACGTGCTTTTGAACTGCTAGGTTGACAGGAGCAGGGACTGAGCAACGGGAGCTCACCCTGTCGCGGGGATTCGAACCGCCGACCTTCTGATTGGCAAGTCCTAGGCTCTGTGGTTTAACCCACAGCGCCACCTGCGTCCTCTTTGCTTAGATTTACCCTCCTCTATTATCCTCACTGCCCAAAATCCTCTCTGCCCCCTCCCTAGCTCCTCAGTTGCCCTAGATTGGAGATAAGAATGCAACTGCACACTACAGCCAATTGTCAGTCTAGGAAATACCGGTAATCCTGCTGTCCTTCCCCTGGTCCCTACAGTTTCTTACAGTACTGTATTCTAGAAAAGTCGCTATCTGAATCCTGAATAGGAGTACTCCTGCTAGAGGCAATGATGCATAGCAGCATTTTGTTGCAGGTCTCCTTTGGTGCAGCATAAAAGTTAAAACCCAAGCTTAGGTATTTGCCATTAGGTTAACAGGGGCATGAAATCATCTTCTTACAAAGGGTCACTGATTGACCCATGGGGGAAAAACAGTGCATGCACATGTCTTCTATGATGAGTGAAGCCAGAGCCAAAAATGGGCTGAACTTGCAATACTGAAGGGCTGTATGCAAGCCCACTCTGCCTCTCACCCAGTGTTGGTGCTATCCCAACCTTAAGACTATATAAATTACTGCTACTTGGGCTGCATACACACTCCCACAGAAACCCCACAGAATCTATTACAGAGCATTATTCAACATAACTATTGTCAAACCAGGTACAGGACTGTGAAACAGTTTGCATGCAACTAAGCACCTGTCTTTCCCAAACTGCAAAGTAAAATGGATTAATGAAGCCCATCTGCAAAGAAGTTAGTAGCATTCAGAATCCAATCTGAACAGAGAGCAGAACAAACGCACCTGTGAGGGTGTACTTGTTAATTCCATCTTTTCTTGGGATTTTTCCTTAGCTAGCCGTGCAGCTTCTTTAAATTCCTGAAATTTTTCTGCAAACTAAAGGCAAAGATTACATAATTATACACTGTATATAGCATAGCTTTGCTAAGCAGAACATATTCTATATAATAAATTGGGCTAGAGAAAAACATTTGCTCTCCAATAATCAACAGGGGTTTATAGAGAATCTGAAGAGACCGTTTTTGAAATATCATGTTCTAGTGGTGGTGGTCACAAAGAATCTGTCTTCTGTTTGTCATTCTATCTACAAAATGCAATGTGGAACAGCTATTCAGATTGCTAAGCCAGGTTGCTACCTCTCAAAAATGTCCTAACCCATACCCTTCAAAAACTGTCATCTAGCCTGTAGCCAAAAGTCAGTTATGCGGCGAAACTTTTGGTATAACAGTTAACCAGTCAGAGCCTGCAGTATCAGGGAAGAGGACCTTTAGGTATACTTGAATGCTCTTGCTCTTTTACCCACTGACTGGCTGGGTTTCTACCGAAGTAAAGCAAGGACTGCTGAAAGGCCATGGCTGAATATTCCTGCCTAGAGATTCATAAGGAAACTGTTGCTGTTCTGAGCCTACTATATTTTTCTACAGTACTAGTCACCATTAATTTTCAGAATACAGCTTGCTAGCCTCCCCCCCCCCACCCCCAGCAAGTGGCTCTGTGGGTTTTTTCTAATCCTGTGTAAGTAATCAATTTTAAATGGCATTTTACTTCAGATGATATGAATCATCAGTTCTTTAGATGGGAGCCAAAGGCTCCTCTCTTCCACTGGAGAAAGGCACTCTCTATCAGTGGATGAGAACCTTTGAATTCAGACATTATGAATAGTAAATCAGAGAAGAATTCTCCTAGTGTACAGGGTCTGGCATATGCTCCTCTGTTACACTTGCTGATGTCTCTACCTGCAGAGTGGCTGGGAAAACCCAGCCAGATGGGCGGGGTATAAATAATAAATTATTATTATTATTGTCATTGGTTCTCACACGTAAGTCACACTCTGAGCTGGGGAGCATATAGGAGGACAGATTCCCAAGGGCCAGTGGAGAAATTTGAGAGGAAAGCTTTCCCTTATTTTCTTTAATTCTTTGTTGCATATAAACCTCTGGTTTACTTGACCATTTTATCACCAAGATACAGATGTGCAGGCATCTATATTTGAAAAATAATCCTTTTGTAATTTGCCAAGAAGTCATTTTTGTTCCCAATCTAACTGGCTTACACTTGCTTTTACATTTGTTTAATTTTCACTACTCAAGCACCTGTCTGGTTCCACAGAACTACCGTATTTTTTGCCCCATAGGACGCACTTTTTCCCCTCCAAAAATGAAGGGGAAATGTGTGTGCATCCTATGGGGCGAATGCAGGCTTTCACTGAAGCCTGGAGAGCGAGAGGGGTCGGTGCGCACCAACCCCTCTCGCTCTCCAGGCTTCGCGCAGAGCTCCGCAAGCCGTGGGAGCCCGCGCCGGGCTCCCGCGGCTTGCGGAGAGTTGCCTGCATGCCGAAGGCTGGGCACACTGAGCTCAGTGCGCCCAGACTTCGCGCAGCTCTCCGCAAGGCACGGGAGCCCGGCGCTGGGCTCCCACGGCTTGCGGAGAGTTGCCTGTTCTGGGGGCTGGGGTCGGGGGAAGCTCGGGCCAGCCCAACGCCTGGGGGGGAAATAATTTTTTCCCCCTTTATTTCCCCCCCAAAAAAACTAGGTGCGCCTTATGGGACGGTGCGTCTTATAGGGCGAAAAATACTGTATCTGTTTCAGCAATTTTGACAAGTAGGCAGCCCAACCATTTCCAAATTCAATGCTTTCTTCAGATACCGTGCAAAAAACCACATGTTCCCCACTACATACTTCTCTGTAGAACAGCTGCATGCTATAACAATTCAAAAGAATGTGCAAGAAGTCAATGTTCCCTGGGCTACATCTGTTCAAATACTCTGCTCCATATATAGGATACTCTTAAAAACCTACTTTCCCCACACAAATGAATAGCTCTATGGATAGCTCATAGCTTAGTAGGGAACATGCTTTGCATCTAGAAGGTCTTGGATACAATCCATTGGCATCTTTAGTTGAAATGGTCAGGTAACGGGAGATGAGAAAGGCCTACGCTTGAGGCCCTGGAGAGTCACAGGCAGTCAGAGCAGACTATATTGAGCTAGATGGCAAACAATATGATGTAGTATAAATGCAGCTCCCTGTATTCCTAGAGCTCAAGCTACACTATAGCACTACTGGGGTTAAACCCTGACTTATTAAGTGCCCACTGCCAAATCTCTCTTGCACCAAAGGCAGCTCCGTTACCATGGCCACTGTAGGTTCTCAGCTGGAAGGGGGAGTGTGAACTGTGGGAGCTGGCAAATGTTCACTAGAATAGTCAAGTGCGGTTTAAAGAGGGTGTCCTCCATTTGAGATCCCATACCACTTTAAAAGTGAATATAAACCCATTGAACAAGATTATATGGAGAGCTGAGGAAGACAATATCAGTGCGCTGACCATGTAGCTCACTATTGCCTCTTCTCCAGCTTGGGTCTTTGCTTCATGCCTCACCATCATAAAATGAAAGCAAGCCAACCAAAGCAGAAATCAGAACAAAACCTGAATGAATTATGGTCTTCAGTGCCAGTGGTTTGGTCAATTCAAGGAAACCACTCATTGGCCAATGTAACTTGTACTGACTCCAACCCAACACATAAGGTTCACCTTCTCCATCAGGTTATATAACTGTAAGACTAGATGAGAGCACTCTCAACCCAAAACAGGTAATGCACATGGAGAAGTGCTGCCAAGTCCCATCCTGGACAAAGTTTAAGGGCTTTGAATGTTGAGTGGGTTTTGGTCATTTGGCAAACAACATGATGGCACTCACCCCATTCCATGTACAGAAACTAAGCAGAATGGCAGTTGTACTTGGTTGGACTCTAGTGATGGGTCAAGCATCTTCCACTGCCCACAAGGGCAGCAAGCTCATTTATGGGGTTTCAGGGCAGGCCCATGCAGCTCCAATGTCTTGCTGCTACTTCCTGCACCACCCAGCACTTGCTACCTAAGGCAGCTGCCTCACTCTGCCTAACAAGAAGCCCAGGCTTAGTTTTGGTATCCAGGGTTCTGCAAATTCATGATTGATGGCTTTAGTAGTTTTAGTAACTTTTTATAGGCTAAAAAAAAATCTATTTCAGCCTTTGGAATAGTAAAGTATTAAAAGAGCAAAAGAATAAATTTGAGAATTAATATGGCATTATTCTTCCCAAAACTGCAATTATTTTGCTTTTACTGCTATGAATTGGAGGAATATAGTGGCAACTTATGGTTTCCTTGATGAGTCTTCCTCCAGGGCAGGGGTAGGGAGGCATCTTTGCAGACACACACTAGACAACACTTCAAGACCATGTTGAGATATTACCTTGCCTTTTACTTACTTTTGAGAGATGGTGTTCAGAGGAAAATCCCAAGCCATAAACAGTATTTGCTCTGCTATCTGCCCACTGACCAAACTTCTGTGATGTTTTAGTGAATGTCATGTTGGGAGTGATGGTGCTGTTTATTATTGCCTGCAAAAAAGAAAAGAAGTAGTTATGAAATGACAAAGTAATATACTCATAAAGCTTCCCTTAATGTCATGGGCCAGGAGTCAGCTTCGCCTGTTGAACAGCAACCTGAAGAGGGAGAAGGTGGAATTTTGTTAGTGATTAACAGATCAGTGTAGCTCCAGCTATGGATTCCAGTTCCTGCTTGCTCTCAGAGTAATTGTAAGGATAAAAGGAGGGCAGAATGGAAGACTCAAAATTTGAGAATGATGCTAGACCCACTTTTGGAAAGCTAGAGAGAGCTGTGCTCACCCTTGGGTTTTTTTGCCTTGCATGCTGCGCTTTTTCTGTTGTTATCCTAGCCTTTAATTAAAATTTAATTAAAAACCGGGGACACCTTCAGCCACAGCCCTGCCCACCCCTTTGTAAAATGGGTGTAATAATGATGGAATCTTTCCCCCCATAGGATTAACAGAGATAAAGGTGGGGGGTGAAAAGCTATGCAGCCATTCCCCAGAGGAGTTTTTTCAGAGATAGGCTAACAGCAGCAACTGAAAGAGGCAGAGCAAGCTACCTTTTTTTCTACCCAAACTCCCCTGAACTTGCTATCCTGGGGATATTCTCTTAGGAACCTTTTCTCATTACAGTTATTTGCTGACAGGTCTCTAGCCTTACTCCAGGTTATTGCTAGTTAGACTTGGAAGCAGCGAGATCTGCAGTGGACACATCACTCTATTCCCTTACAAGTCCCTAAATAAGCCAGGGACTTTGGAAAAATCAAAGCCTGTACCTCTGAAGCAGGTAAATGTTTATATCCAGATGGCATTCAGAAATCCAGAAAATGGAAAAAATTTAGAAAGGCACAATCAAGTGCACTCTTTTTATTTACAATGAAGGTTGCAATCAATTCCAAGTACAGCTTTTAGAAAGAGCACTAATGAGTAAGCCATTGTGTCACCCTTAAAAATCGTGATTAAGGCTTTTATGGAAAGTTGAGACCAATCCTCTTGAAAAAGTCTTAGTACAAAGATTCAAATGAAGGTCACTCTCTATTAGCCTGTTGTATGACAGCATCACTACACTAAAAATGTTGGAGATATTGAAGTCATAGAATTACAAACCCATCAGTTAATTGGGCACAAGATTATAGCCTTTAAAAAAACAAACCTGCTGAGGTGGCAGAAACAGTCATCAGATAAGATTCAGAGAGCATGTTATTGCTTAATTCATATGGCGAGGTTTGCTATTAGCAGCCTTCCTGAAAAAGCTTACTGGGATTATCATTGTTTTAAGAGACTGAACAGGCAATCAGGAATGTTGTGCTTCCCTTCAGCAATTGCTGTAACATCAAAGCACCATGTGCAACTGTGTGTAGAAAGGGAGGAGTTTGTATTGGAAGGTTTGTTTCTTCTGCCGGTATGCACCAAAAAGGCATTGTTAAGAGGGGCTTTGAAACATGCTGCATTAGTTTTAAAAATAGCTATACAGTGGTACCTCAGGTTAAGTACTTAATTCGTTCCGGATGTCCGTTCTTAACCTGAAACTGTTCTTAACCTGAAGCTCACCACTTTAGCTAATGGGGCCTCCTGCTGCCGCTGCACCACCACTACACGATTTCTGTTCTCATCCTGAAGCAAAGTTCTTAACCTGAGGTAATATTTCTGGGTTAGCGGAGTCTGTAACCTGAAGCGTATGTAACCTGAGGTACCACCGTATAGAGGGGTGAAACTGTACATTCCACAGAAAATCTGTAATTCAGTTTTCCAAAACACAGTTTTCCTTAAAATTTAAAGCAACCACAGGAAAACTCCAAATTTGATCAAAGCTTGTGGAACTGAGTGAGGGTCGCTTAACTGTCTCATCACAAAGCAGCCACTAGCCCCAAAGGAAGAAAAAGTTGCAGCACCTTCCCCCTCTGCTGGGCTAATAGCAGCTTTGGGTAGTAAGATCAGGATAGAGTTAAAATAGTCCCACATCTTCAACTTTGAGCTCTCCTACAGTTGCTTTGAAATGTTGAGTGATTCGATCCACAGATCTTATGCATCACATGTAGTTCTGTAATGTGCTCTTGTATGTGACTCTTTGGATGAAACCGTTGAGCAAAAGTCAAGAACAAGATAGCAATAATACTCCACATTTAATTTATTTCAGAAGTCTAGGTTAACGAAACCTAATTAGCAAGTATGTGCCATAAACTCTATTGTGTGTTTTTCAGGTTTTTCAAAAAATATGCTATCTATGCACTTTGTTCTAGTAAACTACAGCTCAGAAACCGGAGAAGATTCATTTTAAAGCAATAATTAGCGCTGAATTTAGATCAGGGCCATGGGAAGTTTGACACCTGTAGTCAGATCAGTTCCTGAATCCAAAGGTCATCTTCCCTGGGATTAGAAATCGAGACTTACCACAGCAGCTTGAAATCTGCCACTCAGCAAAACTGGAGAAAGAAATACTCATTCAAACCTCAGTAACTGTAAATTGCGCCTCATTCCAAGGAATAGGTTTTCAAAAGATACAAATGATACTGAAGCCAATGAAATCCTAATTAAAATGCCTACGTCAAAGGTTCATATTTTTTGCATTGACGGCAGCTGCCTTTCATCCAGATGAGGAGTTGGTACCATATAGTTGTCAAAAAATGAAGGAATATTTTAGCTTTCTACATTTAAATCATCCAGTTGGTGGTGCTAGATAATTGTGCAAACTGAATCCTTACATGAAACACTGCATGTTTATTCTGATGTCTGCAAGAGTCCCACTACAGCATGAATGAAATTGAATGGCAGTGGAAATATTATCAGAAGTTTACTTTGTGCCTGACCAACAGGATACAATAGAAAAATTACATGATCTTTTATTGTTTGAAATAAATCATACAGCATCCATATCTGCTTTGCATATTGACATCAACTAGTTTTCTTAATGAATTAGTTTTCTTAATGACTGATTTACTCCAAGAATACAAACTGCTCATAATACTAGAGGCCAGGCAGCTGGATTTCCTAAGTGGCGGATCATGAAATCAGCACATCTTTAGACACCCCAGCCCCAATAATTATAGGACAATTAGTAAAATGTCATTTTTTTAAAAGAAAAAAACTTTTTCCACCACAGAGCAAACAATGCAGATGTTTTAATAGTATTCTATTGTCTCTCCTGCTATCAAAATTTTGATTGTGAACTCCTTTGAGGCAGGGACCTCCATTTTTCTTTTGCTTATGTTACATCATGAACTTGGGTGACATAATCTATATTTTCTGCACAAGTATGCAGGAAGTTGGCCTTTTCCTTGAAGGTTTTTTTTTTAAACTCTGGTCAGGAAGGATGAGTTTTGGATAATGTAATCTAAACACACTGATAAACCAATTTACCTAAGATACAATATATTTGAACCATGTCAGGATTTTAAAGAAGATTCAGAGAGAGAGAAAATGCCAGTTGGAATAATCAAGCTGTTGATTTCCAAATGGTAATTTAGACTTGAAATCTTCACATTCAATATTATCAGCATAGCTATCTATCTATCTATCTATCTATCTATCTATCTATCTATCTATTTATTTAACATATATCCTGCCCTTTCTCCCAATGGAGCCCAGAGTAGCAATCAAATTTTAGTAAATGGATCAACTGTTGAACAGATTGATTAAATGCAAACATTAGAACGTTCCTCAATATGCAGTGTTATGTTTAGTATAGACATTTTGACATTCTGGCACACAGGGAAAATAAGACTAGATTTTCTGGTGGAAAATGGATTTCTACATTAATATTAATAAAAAAATAAAACTACTCAACATAATATCTGCCATATTACTTAGGACTAAAGATATATACTCCAAGCAGAATGCCTTTTAGCCTCCTTCCTCCTTTACAGTTACAGTGAATTGAGAGACAGAGAAGTCAGAGGAGACAAGCAGTCCCCAAACAGGTTTCTCGACCAACTTCAAAAGTTAATAAAGTATTATATTGTATGTTAAGTTCCAAGAGTGGTGCTCTCATTTTGCATCACTTTTCAGTAACGTTAAAAGGGGGGGGGGAGAGAGAGATTAAATGTAGAAGTTTACCTGAGTTTAAACTGTCAGATAGCTTACCTTTGAGCCATCCAAGCTGATTATCCTATAGACATTTCTTGTGCTGTCATAGAAGTAGGACACAGTAACAGCATGCTTGCTGGTGGGAACCCAGTTCTTCTTCGTGTTAGGGTCAATCTGGAAGACATGAGCTCGGGTGCTGTAGATGGGTTGCTCCCTGAAGGGCAGAAAGTAAAAGTGATGAATCTGATTTGGACGCAATATGGTTGTACACAAGTCATTTGGATATTCCATCCATTGGCCCCTATGAACTTCACTTTGCATGAGTAATGTACTTGGCCCCCACAGGCTTGCGTGCATGGAGTAGGATATATCTGTGAAGCACATGAAAAGTACTCACAGGAAAGGGAAGCACAAGTCCTTTAAAATAAATTGAGTGGCCAGCTGTACAGTCAGATAAAGGAGGCATATCTAAATATAGAGGCACTACTGATACACCACCTCCCCCTCCCTCATTCTCCATCTGTCAACCTCTTTAACACTAACTGTCAATAATAGAAGTGTGATTTTCTTCCATTGAGCGAAACCTAGTGAGAGGACTTTTCTCATCCTTTTCTCAACAGCCTAGAAGCCCTAGATATCATGAGCTATGACTTACTGAAAAATATTTGTTGCTTTTCCTGTCAAATGCTTCACATGGTAGATCACAACTACTGCCTCTTTTAGCCTTTATCTCCCAATCTAATATTATGGCTGTTGAGGCATGTATAAAATATCTGCTTATGTCTGCCTAGGGGGCGGGGGGGAGTACAGAATCTGAGCTGTCCATTAACACCAATGAATTCATTAATTCATCAATCGTGTTGATGTGATCAGGAATTTAGCGCTCTGTACAAAATGGTTTGCTTCTCTCCAAACAAGTCATGATGCTAAGCTAAGGTTTGTCCTTGGCTTCCCAAACTTGGCTTGTTTGGACAGAAACAATATACAAGTTTGGACACCAAAGTAAGGCTAGGGGCTTGTTGCTTGCACTTGAGGAGAATCTGCACAACAGGGGCTATTTGAAAGTGATAGCAGAGAACTGTTTATAGTATTGAATAGTTAATCAATGAAATATCAAACTAAGTGTCTTATATGTGATTTAATCCCTTAGATCAAATCTCTAAGTCACAAAACTCATTGGATAGCCTAAGGCAAGTGCAGAATGTCCACCAACCAACTTCATAGGATTGTGCGTAAATAAATGACTTATGTAACTTTGTACATTTAAAAGATCTAGAGTATTAATGCTACCAGTTTTTTCTCTTCCAGGTTCAATCCTTTACATTTCTAAAGTTTAAAAGATGGAAAGATTTTTTTCCATATAGACTGTCTAGCATTGCTGATGTTATCTAGTAGCTACTCATCAGTGTTCTACTACTGCACTGCAATTGTAATTAACAATCTGAAGACTTTAGCACCATTCTCTATTTAATTATGTAGGGGGGAAGTAGCAACTGATAGGTCTGTAATTTTCTGGATCCTGTCTCATTCTTTTTTAAAAAGCTGGTATTACATTGGCTATCTTCTTATAGCCTCTTATTTTAGTGATGTGGCATAATTTATTTACTAGTTCAGCTACTTCACATTGTATGTCTTCACACATTAGAGGTAACTCTCAGGTAAATGCCATCTGACTCCTGTTATATCATATTTTCACAGTTCACCTGCTTCCACACTTCATAACAAAGTTATTTTAATATTTCGCAACAATATCCTAAGCACTGAGAGCTGCTACAACAGCTGCCGCAACAAGGCTTAACATTTACCACCCTGAAACATGCTTGTACACACAAAGCAAAAATAAAAATCAGTTTTCTTGGCAGGGTCTTTCTGCATTCTTCAGTCACTGTCTCCAAACATTAGCAATACCAGAAGGAACCTTTCTGCCCCTTCATCCTACCCAAGGTATTTTTATTTAGTTACAGAATGTATATGTACCCTTCACTACTACTAAGAACAGAAAATACAATTTGCACAAGAATAAAAATTCTAATTAAAAATAGCAGGCTCAAATCTAACATCCCTAACAAACCTGATAAAATAGAAAGGTTTTTGCCAGATACATAAAAAATAGCAGAATATGTACCAGGTGGGCCTTTCCACAGAACAGTGGTGTGCAGTGAATTTTTTCTTAGGCAAGAGTTAGGGCCAGAGGTGCCAGCTTCCAGGGGTGATGGGGAGGGGGGAAACACTGTGATGTCATGCCTGTGAGCACTGCACCTCTCTCCCTAAGCCAGGCTGAAGCTTCCTGGGCTCTGGGAAGGAGACACCAGGGAAACATTTAGGGAACTAGCCTTGTTCCCTTGGTCCACTGACCACACACTATTGCCATGGAAGGAGTCCCACAAGAGTTGCATGCAGGTTCTGCAGCATAAAAGCCAGCTCCTGGGGGCTGAGGCACTTTGCCCCCTCCCATGTTTTTTTAAGGGGCGGGTCCCATCAATGTTCAGAGGCTCCATTAAGCCTCATTTCCCCACCCTAGCTACAGCCCCAGTTTGATCCCAACACTCATTTGGACTGACTTTGGAGAGATGAAAAATGAAGTAGTTTTTTGACCAGTAGTAAGCAGTAAACCAGGGACGCGGGTGGCGCTATGGGTTAAACCACAGAGCCTAGGGCTTGCCGATCAGAAGGTTGGCAGTTCAAATCCCTGTGACGGGGTGAGCTCCCGTTGCTCGGTCCCTGCTCCTGCCAACCTAGCAGTTTGAAAGCACGCAGTGCACATAGATAAACAGGTACCGCTCCGGCGGGAAGGTAAACGGCGTTTCCATGTGCTGCTCTGGTTTGCCAGAAGCAGCTTAGTCATGCTGGCCACATGACCTAGAAGCTGTACGCTGGCTCCCTTGGCCAGTAAAGCGAGATGAGCACCGCAACCCCAGAGTCGTCCGCGACTGGACCTAACGGTCAGGGGTCCCTTTGCCTTTAAGCCCTAAAGGTAAAGGTTAAGGTACCCCTGCCCGTACGGGCCAGTCGTGTCCGACTCTAGGGTTGTGCGCCCATCTTGCTTAAGAGGCCAGGAGCCAGCGCTGTCCGAAGACACTTCCGGGTCACGTGGACAGCGTGACAAAGCTGCTCTGGCGAGCCAGCACCAGTGCAGCGCACGGAAACGCCGTTACCTTCCCGCTATAAAGCGGTACCTATTTATCTACTTGCACTTGGGGGTGCTTTCGAACTGCTAGGTGGGCAGGAGCTGGGACCGAATGACGGGAGCTCACCCCGCCGCGGGGATTTGAACCGCCGTTCAAGGTTTTACCCACAGCGCCACCAGCAGTAAACCATGCCAAAGATCCTTTGAGCCTGCTTCTAGCTGTTCTGCTTGTGTAGTTTCCATTTTTGAAATACAACTGTGATGTGACTGAACAGACATATTTTAAAGAAAAATTATAAAGAAAAAACCCCAACACACCCACCCAGCCAGCAGGCACCATCTAGTCTCATCTCCTGTTCTCCTAATAGCATTATCGCCAACCCAGAGTGGATGGCTGGCTGGGCTGATTTCCCCCATTTCTATTTGCACTGAAGGAGCCAGAGTGCTATCTAGGGTTATACTAAGAGAAGCCTCAAATACTTCCACACTGTTTGGCATTAGTAAAGATAAAGCTGGATTATTGTGTTCACTTTGGGTAACTTCTCCTTAAGATGGATGGTGCTATGTACATTGATGACACTATCTATAATTAAGGAGAAACAGGATGGAAAAGGTTTAGGAGACAGAGGAAATAAGGGCACAGAGAAGACTTAAACCAGGGGTTGGCAAGGTTTACCTTGCCTGGGCCGGTTCACTCCAGTGGAGATCCCTCCGTGGGCCAGATTGTGCGCACCCCCGCGATTTCCGGCGTCAGCGCAGATGTGATTTCCAGCATCTGCTCATGCACAGACACAATTTCCAGCGCTGCGGAAGCAAGTCCCCGCGACATGCTGTGCCAATTTAGTGCAGCGCGAGGGGATTCGTCGAGTGGGCAGCTCGGTTCAGGGGTGACTCGTGGGCTGGTTAAATGACCCCCATGGGCAGCTTGTGGCCCATGGGCCTTAGGTTGCCTACCCCTGATTTAAACAGTAGTGAGTAAAGCACAGAATTATAGAGTTGGAAGGAACCCCAAGAGTCATCAAGTAAATTAATTAATTATTTACAGGTTTAAATCTAGTAAAGTCACTTTTGGAACTTGGAATCATTTTCTTAAAATGCTTATCCTTGAACATTAAGGTAAGAAATAACTCTTTAAAATACTTAAAAGCCTGATACAAAAAAATGATATTTGAGTGAATTCCTCCTACCACTTAAGGATAGGGTGAGAAGGAATTAGCAAGCACCACTATCACTGACTTAATAATTCTTTTTTGTTAGTAGATCACTGGTTAATAGTCCTTAATGACTGGTTGGTGCTTTTTTATGGGAGTTCATTGTTTCTTTATATCGAGACCTCTCTTGTTCGGCAAAGGGCAAGTCAGAATTTGGGGGAGGTGACCTATCACACCATCTCCAGCAAAAGGTATGTGTACGAAGGCTCAGGTCCCTAGAAGTAATTAGTTCAAACATCTAAACTTCCCTTTAAGACCCTCACAATACCTGCCACCACAACCTATTGAGCTACCGTAGATAGTACAGAAGAGCACTGTATATTTACAGATATCACCTAATCTAAAATTACCAATTTTCCTCTTTATGGCTATCCTTACTTTTTACCTCTGCTTTCATACACTTTCTCACAACTCCACTTCAAATGCAATTCTCAGACGCCCTCCATCTGTCAGTCACTCTGACTCCACCCAGCATTCCATCACGCTCCATGGCTCTCAGTCATTCTTCCACTCACTCTTCTGTTACAGTGGATCTGTAGGGGTGGACAGATGTGTCTATTTCTGGTTCATGTCACTTCTGCATGTGATCATTCTTAAATCTGTGCCATCCTACTTCTGCATTAATCTGATTTTATTCAAAGTCCACGCAGAAACACATTTAAACATGTCATTGGTTGTTGACATCCACATGTATCAAGAGACAATGGAGTGTGCTTCTTGGGGTGAAGGCAAACCGCCGGAGAATCACATCACCTCCTGTGCCTGCAGAGACCGGTAACATGTAACTGCCTCCCATAGTTTTTGCTATCTGGGGAACCGGGTTCGCGTCTCCGCTCCTCCACATGCAGCTGCTGGGTGACCTTGGGCCAGTCACACTTCTCTGAAGTCTCTCAGCCCCACTCACCTCACAGAGTGTTTGTTGTGGGGGAGGAAGGGAAAGGAGATTGTTAGCCGCTTTGAGATTCCTTAAAGGGAGTGAAAGGCGGGATATCAAATCCAAACTCTTCTTCTTCTTCTTCTATGTTAGCTACACAGAAGTGACCTCTCTGGGCAGCATGTATGGAGGTCCAGGGTTGCCTAGATGATAACAACCCCTTTTCATCCTGCTGATGTGGTCCAAAGGGAAGTAGAGCAATACATTAGGCACCAGTTTGGCTGCAGGAGTTGCCAGAAGGAGGCATACAAGATTCCAACTGCCTTAGGGACTCCACTCTGGATTTGTGTAGGGTTTACTCCTTAACCCTCTCCTAGAGCAACCATACTGGGCAGGGCAGGGGTGTGGGGGAGAAGATGGGGATTTTTAAAAAGCAGGTCTTGGACCACCTTGTAATACTATACAGTGGTACCTTGCGTTACGTACTTAATTCGTTCTGGAGGTCTGTTCTTAACCTGAAACTGTTCTAAACCTGAAGCACCACTTTAGCTAATGGGGCCTCCTGCTGCCACTGTGCTACCGCTGCACGATTTCTGTTCTCATCCTGAAGCAAAGTTCTTAACCCAAGGTAATATTTCTGGGTTAGCGAGTCTGTAACCTGAAGCGTATGTAACCTGAAGCATATGTTAGCCAAGGTACCACTGTAAATATGTATTTAATCCAGGGGTCAGCAACCTAAGGCCTATGGGCTGGAAGCACCCCGCGGAGGTCTTTTGACCAGCCCACAAGCTACCCCCGAACTGAGCTGCCTGCTCATGCACTGTGCTAAACCAGCGCAGAGTGGGGACTCACTTCCGCAGTGTTGAAAATCGCATCTGCGCATGCGCAGACGCAGACACTGAAAATCGCAGGTGCATGCACTCGCACGCGTGACCCAGCCCACGGAGGGATCTATGCAGGACCGATCTGGCCCAGGCAAGATAAACCTTGCTGACCCCTGATTTAAACTATCAACTCCCTGATTTTTAACATGCACACCGTGGTAGATGGGCGGAATTTGAACAGAACTCTGCACTGAACTCATTGAGCACTCCTGCTTATGTGCACATGCATGTGTGTGTTTAAAGTGGGGAGTGAATGTTTGGAGAAATAGCATTTCTAGCAATTTGGAAACAGGTGGAAGCAGAGAAAGCAAGAAAGTAGTGGATGGCACATGTGCCTCAGGATCTCTTTCTGGGGAATCTAATGTGGGGGTGTGATTTGCTTCCTTGCAGGTGTGCCTGTTGTTTGTTCTCACACACTATTTGTGTAATTGTAAATAAAGCCAGTGTTACAGAAACTCCGTAAGTTCCCAGTGTTCTTTCCTTTCTCACTGCTCAAAGAAGTGAGGATGGTGAAAACGTCTATTCATGAAGCTACACTCTATCCAAGTCTAGTCGCTGGGTGACAAAGATGGCAATATTGTGGCTTACATTTATACTGCTCTTCTTTCACAGTGGATAAAATGAGTAGGCTTTTAAAAAAAATTGTAATGCATTATAATGCTTCATCAGTAGAGAAGGCATAAAGGGAAAAACCTAGTGAAAAAGTTAGGGTAAAGAAGACAAGCATAAATATTTAAAGCAGCTGAGCCAACCTGGAAGAGTCCTCACTACAGTCAATCAAAATGCACCTCTCTTTTAAAGGCCAAGCAGTCCACCTGAAACATGGGAGGAGAAGCAAGACTAACTACTGGAATATACTGAATTCACTGATATGTGTAAGCTGTTGTTCTCATTGAGAAACTAGGAAAAAGAATGGCACCCTGCAGCCAAAATACCCACCGAGGGGTACCCATTTTTATGTCACACATATTTTCAGCACTGAAAACAAGGAAAGCTGTGCTGTTGCTTCTTTAGCAAGTTCTGCTCCCTACAAAATATTAAGCCACGGGGTATTTTAGCAAACCGTTTTAAAATGAGTGGGGAAATTGTGTGGCGAACACAGATGGAAGCAGCTGCTACATGTACTTGGTAGTGTAAACACATTGCAAGTATGTCACAGCCTACTACACTTTGCCATGCCTATAAAATTTCATCTCAAGCCAAGCAATGTAAAGTAATGCCCACAAAAATCCACCTTAAATAACAGGCTAAACAAAACAGTAGACAATATGCTTCTCAGTTAAGGTCATTGTGACCCAGGCATCTGTATCATGCACTCGTTTTCTCCTCTTATGGTGTGTGTGTATAACATGCTATCTTATATGGAATGCACCAAGGACATCTGACAAGACAGTTTTAAAAGCAACATTTGATAGTGATATTTAAAGGAAGACTAGCAACAAATATAAGGTATATTCAATTGGCAAGTCAACCTTAAAGCCAATCAAAAGGCCTAAATTCATTTACAGCTGCACTCTGCTATGCATTTCACACCAATACAGTACCCACTCAAATTTAAATGGGAAAAACAATTCTGCTACCAGTCCTTAAAGAATTTTAGTTGATTAAAATATATGTTGAGACCTTGCTTAGATTAGCACTCCAGTCACTCCAGTCAACAACCCAATCACTAAACATATTCTATTCCTGATTCTGTGAAAAGTGTTTGGCAATCTTGCCAGCTTTAAACTGCCCCTTATGAAGAAAATCACTCAATTTTAAAGTGTTTAAAAAACACCACTAGTTGGGCGCCTCATTAAAAATTATACAGTTAAGAGATCTGAAACTTAGGAGTTGTTGCTTAACTATTCTAAAATTCAGTTGGGCACCAAATTCTCACAAAAACAAAAACTGTCACAAGAAGTTGTACAAAGCAGTGGTTGTGGGGTAGAAATCAAGGAAAAACAAAAAGGTACAAGCATTGTGTTGGATATTTTAGCCATGAGGTCAGCTATGCAAAATCCTGGATGTGATACACTAGTCATAATACGTATAGGTTTTGTCCAACTGTGGATTTTCAAGTTCTTCCTTATGGCCAATATGACAAACCTTTTTTTTATTATGTGCCTAGCTATTGTATTTACTTGAATAATATACTAGTGTCCCTCATACTGGGAACGTCCAGATGTTTTGGGCTCAAAACATCTGGAGGGCACCAGCATGGCGGAGGCTGGTATATACCATACCATAAGGAAAGCCATGGAAGCTAGAACTGCCTTCATCTTTTCATAATCTCCAGAGCTTTACTGATGCACTGGAACCTAAAAATGCAGAGAATATTGTTTCTTGATAAACTCAGGTTCACTTGCCACAGACTTTCTCTAGGAGAGATTGTTCAGTTGGTTCCTGATATTAGAATTTGCTCTGGATGATTTCACCACTCATGGAGACCAGTTTTTCAGAACTGGCTTGTGACTGAGTTATCCCTGGAATAGTTATGAATCTATTTCTTTTGATAACTAGGCCACCACATGGGGCAGGACACAATATGAACCCAGAATAGGGGGAAATGTCCTTTTGGTTCTGAATGTATGGTGGGGAAGCCATTTTCATTGTCAAATCTTTCCATATAAAGGCACAAATCTCCATCCCTTTAGGGGCTGTAGATAAATTAGCAAGTTTAATGTACACTCAGATTCAGAGCTAACTAGATTTCAAAAGATATCTGGGGGAGATACATGTTTAGCTTGAGAGCTACCAAGTCTAATTCACATTGGTTCCTTTGGGGTCAAAAGGAGTCTAGAGCAAGGGTAGGCAACATAAGGCCCATGGGCCGGATGCGGCCCAATCGCCTTCTCAATCCAGCCCACGGACTGTCTGGGAATCAGCATGTTTTTACATGAGTAGAATGTGTCCTTTTATTTAAAATGCATCTCTGGGTTATTTGTGGGGCATAGGAATTCATTCATTATTTTTTTCCAAAATATAATCCGGCCCACCACACGGTCTGAGGGATGGTGGACCGGCCCATGGCTGAAAAAGGTTGCTGACCCCTGGTCTAGAGAGAAGTACATACTTTGAATATATAATGATCCCAGAATCCATGGTATTTCCTGTTAAAGCATCTCATGCAATAGGACTAGGAAATACATTAGTCCAAACCCTAGATAATAACTGCCAGGAACACTATAGATATTGTTCAAGTAGACAATGCCCTGACTCAGTATAAAGCTAGGGTTCCAACATAGTGCCCACAAAGCCTCTAAGCACCAGCCCCTGCCATTGCTCCCTTTGTCATAAGTTGGGGAAAGTGGTTACCTTCCGCACCCCCCATCCATAAAGAGTACAGAGCTAAAGGACTAAGAGTGACACTCTTTCCCACAGCCCTCATTCAGCTTTGTGTGCTCATCAAAGCACAGGTTGACACCTGAGCAGCTGGAGAGATGGTGCAGCAATCAAGGGTAGGAGGAAAAGTGTGGAAAGGGCAGTAATCTGGGAGACTGGGGAGAGGGAGGAAAACAAAAGCCACCAAGGCAGAGAAAGAGGCATGCCACCGACAGAAAGAGCACACACACACATGAACACACATACATCTTATTCAGTAAACTGGATCCTCTTGAAATGGCATCATTTTTAATGGGTTCCTTCCCCTACTCTTCCCATCACTAGTCACCTCTCTTAAAAAAAAAACACCACCCAGTGCAGGCATGGGTACTCAGTTTTTACAAAGGATCTTCTCAAAACTGCCACTATTAAATAGGCCACCACTTTTCCACACAAGTGTTCTCCAATTTGCTGGTGATTCTATTGTCACCCTATGTTTAAAAAATGTATCATTGAGATACATGCCTTTGATCAACATTTTTGTTGTGATGACAATAACAAGAAGTACAATTTTACTCTGTAGTCTACCAAGGTAAGCTTTAATTTGATGGTGTTTTGAAGTTCACGGTGTAAAATCAGGCAGATTCATGAGAATCAAAAGAATATGTATGTGGACTCTCTTTCTCTCCTACTGTCCCTGCTTTATCTGTAACACTATGGAAAGCGGGGAGAAAAGCAAAGAAAGGGATGATGCCCACTGTACTTTCTAAAATTCCAGATGTGCCTGCAAGACTATAAAAATTGGTAACTTCTGTTATAAATGTAGATTTAACAAATATTATATGTATGTATTCTAACATACCAACAGACAAAAATAAATAAATGCTGGAAAGATTGTCTCAACCAGCCTGTCGCTTGGCAGAGTAAAGCTCTTGATGAGCCATTAGGTACTACAGCACCTCTTGCTGAGGCAGTTCCAGATGGTGACTCTGAAAGCTTTTGAGAGCTCAAGACCACTCTTCTTCAGGTTAAAATAAGGGCACGAACAATGAACTTCACCACCTGCATCTTAAAGCTCATCTACACATTCTTTACGAATCAGGTTAATCCAATAATTTTTCACATTCTCCAGCAGGTTTAATTTGCCATTGTTCAGAGACAGTAGGGAAAAGAGGTCTGCTGTACAAACTTATTTCTAAGAATAGTAGTGAGTAAAAACCTGTTGCATTATTTATTTTATAGTCTACTTTTAGGAGGGTTCATTGTACTTGTTTCTGTGCACAACTACTTTGCAGAGGGGTGTTACTTATTAACTGAAGTTAACTTAATTGTTCTCCAAAAGTTAAATACACTGATGTTAGCAGTAGCAAGTTTAAAAGTGGAGTTGTTGTTACAGTATTACTTTGAAATAACCACCTGTGTAAACACTATTATTTCAGTGATGTCTGCTCTTCAAAAGCATTAATTGCAATTTCTACCTTGGACACTGTCATATTCTTCCATCAATTCAATGATATGCCCCAAAACCTTGGATATGGAATTGTTCTCAATGCACACATACAAAGACAAAGAGGGATACTCATCTAGATGATACTAGGTGTACCAAACTGCAATTGAAATCACCACATTTAAACAAAAACAATTAAGCAATTAAGTCTCAGTGGGATCACCGAGACCTCTGAATTGTACTAAACCTTTATTAAACTCTATCACTTTCTGACAGGAAAATAAGCTATTTAGCACTATCAAGACTAGCAAACTTTAACAATTGTTTGGAATGTGCTTTCTGCAGGATATAGACAGAAACATTTAGAATGTAGAACACCTTTACTATCCAACCCCAGACAGCCCACTACCCAGAGCTTCCATTGTCTAGCCCTGTTCCCCCAGACACACCACAATTCGATGCTACACAGAGCATCAATATTTCTACTTCAAACTACAATTATTGTAGCACTTTACCATTTTCTTGTGTAGGAGAGCGAAATTTCTATTAGTTGCCATGAAAGAACTAGCTATTAAGGTTAGGATAAGATTTTGAAGTTGGAACATGTAGGGGCTTGCCTAGGGACATTGCCTTCTTTTTGTATTGGAGGAATAAAAGGGAATAAATAGGAAGAGTCAGGGCAAAGCATGAAAATCAGATTTTTTTATATATATATCCAGTTTGGGATTTTAAAAAGCCAGGCTTCCTCCACTCTCTTGTGTGAAAGAAAGGGACACCTGCATGCCCCCATCAAAACACCCATGGGATGCTGCCTTTGGAAGGAGTTGTGCATACTCTGAAACAACAAGGGTGGCCTGCACCCACAGAGAAGCAAACCTTGATGCAAACCTCTCTTCATTTGCTTCCAGCTTTTATGAGCCTCCAGGTGCTGATGCTCCAGGCTTGGTATGTGGCGAGCCATAAAATGGGAGAAAGAAACTTCCAGGCTCCAGTGACCACCAAAGATGCTGCCTTTGAGCCAGAGAACCACTGAAACAATCTCCTTCAACAAGCCATTGTCTTCTTTTATGACTGGGATGTTGATTCTTAATCTAGTATCCAAATCTTAATCTTTTCCACCACTTAGTAGCACAGGTTTTTATCCCCACAGATAATATATTTAGAATAACAAATCCAGTTGCACTTCTTTTCTAACAAGAACTGAGATTCTGTGCATGTGACAGGTTTTTTTAAAAAACAATTTTGATTTCAGCAAGCCTTTCTGAACTACGAGAACACCTACCGAGTCTAGCTGCATACAGATTTGATTTTAGCATATTTAGAGTAAAGTAATGTTCAACACAGCTACCCTGACAAAACTATTGTGGCATTAGGTAATCTTCCGTTCTAGTCCTTTGTAATACTAGTGCCATTTTTAATCAGGAAGTGGAAGACTCCATTTTGAAAACTCAGTATTTTTCCATAATACTTTCTTCATTAACTTGAAGGTAGGAGGAGCCCATATTATGTCTTCAGCTTTTAAAAGATACCAGAATTGGCACAGATAGCTCTGGTTGTATTTTTACTATGTATGTATTTCAGTGTCAACCAGCAAGCAGTTGCTGAGAGACAGCTGTAGGTTTTCAGTGTGTTTAAAAGGAAAATGAAAACTATAGTTCTGTTCCTAAACAGAAGGCACACACATCTGGTTTAAATGCATTCTTGCTATACCAGAACAAAACAGTGCAAGAGAAATTTCCATAGCTGATAGTGCTTAGCATTAAGGAGCTACCAGGACTACTGCTATAATCAGCTTTAGGAGGCTCCACTGCTTCTGTTATCTTCACAGCATTTATTTTAGATTTATTTTTCAAGTGCTTATCTGAAGCTCTTTATTTCTCAAGAACTGGTGCCTAGCATTATAGCTCTTAAAAGGTCAAGTTCAGCATTATTACATGGAAAAAAAGACTACTGTACCCATGTAGTTTACAATCTGCTAGCTTTTCAGTATGAGAGTTTTTATTTAAAATTTGTATTTAAAAAGCTTTATATTTTATATTTATAAACATTTTGCTAAAAAAACTTAGATTACTCTGACTAACTTAAATGGCAAAATTCTACAACTTCAAAAGGCAATATAGAGGCAAAACCCCATGTCAACTTCACCAAAAATCAAATCACCTTTCCTTAGTAGGAATCACAGAAATTCCAAAATCGGATGTATTATTTTAGAGAAGACAACAGACCAGATTTAGAATACAACCGAATGAAGTCAAGTTGCATGCATCACTATGCAAATGTACATTTGATGTATAATTCTAGTTTGGATTTTTTATTTTTAAATATATGGTAGATAGTACCAGTAGATCAGGTAGTCAAGCTAAATAAAAAAAAAAAGATTTTCTTAAATTTCACAATTAATGTTTGAACTTGTTTACTAATAGAGGCAACAATGCTGAAGTAACCTAGTGAGCTTCTCTATGCTTCAGAGTTTTCTGCAGGTCACTTCCTATAATAAGACAGAGTTGTCAGAGCCAAACTACAAGATACACTTTTTTCTTTTCTTTTTTCAACTGAAAAGGAGTCTTGGGACTTGCCATGAAAAGCAGAAGACCTGCTGCTTAGCAGTTTCCTTTCTGTGGTTTCTATTTTTCTCCCCACAGAGGGAACCAAAAAACCCTATAGACTGGGCTGGCTCATTTAACTGAATCATCCTTCATGCAAAAAGAATCCCGTGCACATAGAAAGTTATCATAGGGAAGCTTCTGGGCTAGGCTTTGCCTAAGACAAAGTAAATTCTGGGGGCCTGGTGTATACTTCCCCTAAAACAAAATACCACAATCACTTATTGCTTTAGGGATGACATCCAGCTGGTCTTGCTCAGGCAATCACTAATCCTATAATAATGAGCAGGATCTCCAACTCAATACCCTTAGTACCTCTTTACATTATGCACCTACAATGGAATTAAAAGATAAGCTGGGGTGTCTGTCTGAGAGGGTTCCTTTGTGAGCATGTGTTGGAAGGGTTTTTCACCCCCTGCCAACTGTTTCCAAGGACCTATGTGTGTGCCTGTACCCAACATTCTAGCCCCTACCAAGCATTGCTAATTTTCATGAGTCCCCACTTGCTGTATAATATACTCATATATAGTGTCCAAATTTCCACCTATTGACCAAGTGAAGATGCCTGGGCACCAGGATAGCACCTGACATCTCCACTATCAGGAGGTGCTTGCCTGGGGATCATCGGATCTTGACTGTTTTCACAGACTAATGCCTCATCCTGTAGAATTCTATCAGTTATATTTTATCTGCACAATCAGGATGAATTTCAGGAACCAAAATGCTTTTTCTGTGCAGCCTGAGCAGGAGCACTGGACAATGTTATAGTTAATTGTTGCAGCTTCTCTTCACTTACCCCACCCCACTTTCCTGCTCACAGTTGTGAAGAATATTTTTATATTATGAATGGTCTGCATCACCATTAAGAAAAGAGGTAGGAATAGACCAGTCTATATGTGGACTGTCCCTGGATCAAGTGACTTTTCTTAAATTCTCGAAGGTTGTTATACAACTAGCTCAAGGTTGTCAACTGAACTAGCCAGATGTTTAACTGATAATCAGTCACAGTCCATCATTTGAAATATAAGACTTTAAACCAATCTTGCCCAAAAATAGCAACTAGACATTCTGTTCTGGCGAGTGTAACCTTGGTTTAGGGAGCCATTTGGCACCTATACAGTATATCTGAGTTTCTAACACTGCTCCTATAGCATACAAAAAGTGCTTTACTGTTAGCCTAATAAGTCTGAACAAGATATCTAATATTAGAGAGAAGAGTGGTAAATGATAGCAAGTTATACTCAAGGCTAAAAGAAAGAACTTTAACCCAGGCAACTTGCATCCATCATCCCATCTACAACACCACACCAGTAATCTCAATTTAAATTAATGAAAATCACCAGTATGAAAACTGGTGTCAAGCATATTCCATGGCAGCTTATCCAAAGGATCATTTGCGTATATTTGCGTATATTTAGCAATGACCATTACAAATAGTTTGGGAATGCCACAGTGGCTTTAACCAGCATTGACAGTAGCAGAGTTATATCCACGTGTTCCAAATGGACAGTTCTGCTATGCCAAAGGACATTATCAGAGCTAAGTCTTGGTCATGCAAGTGAGAAAAGGGAGGAATTAAATGTCACACTATGACAGATGATCTGCCCACTTCTCCCACTCATGCACTGTTCTGGGGCCATGGGGAAATGTGATGGGGCAACCCTGTTACACTAGCTGGACTTGTGCTGGCTCCCACTAGGGTGTCAGGATTCTGTCAGCAGCTCCCGGCTGGTTGCCCAGGAAAGTATAAAGACAAGGAAAAGTTTCTTACCCTCCGTTTTTATTTCAATCTGGCTATAGAACCCAGCCTCTTGGATAATGGCGTTGTCCCGAGTGAATCTCCACCCCTCCCCGTCTCTTCCACTTCCACATTCATCATTCTCATTGTCCCCTCTACGGGTGCTGCTACATGCCCTCTGTCTTTGAGCTCTTTGCTCTCCTACTTTTAAGGCTTGCTGGGTTCTGGGAGATTGAGGGTCTGGAATGCTTTCTAATGACAATGTGTCAGCTGGGTGTTGTATTCTAGACAACAGTCTCCTATTAGTATTCTAGATAACCTACTACAGCAGGAACGTATTAATTGTGCTTCCCCTCCCCCCCCAAAAAAAGCTCTACAAGTTGATAGCAACAACTGAGTATAGACATTTCATGTGAAAGAATCTTCCACACTGTTTAAAAAGGAAAGAGCAGGTTCCCTACGGCAACCATAATACAGTTTGACTTGGGACCACATGTCAAAACCTGGACACTAAATTAGTTTGTTACAATTTGGTACTTTGCAATAAATTGTGCAACTGTTTTACTGCACATTCAGTACGCAACTCATCATCTATGTTACCATGCAAAAGACATCTTTAAGTGGTAGGACATGAATAACAATAAGAAATTACAATTTATTCACTACAAGGTGAATTCAAGACATATCAACATGTCAGTTTAATCATGTGAATTGGCTCTGCATGACCTTGCTGCCAAGAGCAATTTGTATATAGTTCATGTACAGCATCTCTATGCAAAAGGCCTGACAATCTGGCAGTACCGTATTCTATCAAACAGAAGATTCCAGGACATGGTCTGTGTTCAACAACTCCAAGACTATGACTACTTCTTCCATGCTTCTGCTCTCAGGCAGAAGAATAATGCAGGAAGGTTTGTAAGTACTCAGTACATCGTAAATCAGGATTGGTGTGACATGAGATAACCTGGCAATTGACACAGCTTCAAGTGCAAAGTAACTGCTCTACCAACTGAATCATGTGACTGGGTTGTGCATCAGCAACACAAAGCAACTCTGCTGTGTGCCCAGGAGGAAGCACACAAATATTGCCTCTGCAAGAGAGGTCCACAGCTCCCATGACACTGCTAGCAGATGTAGCCTTCATTACTTCAACAGTGTCTTCTTCCATTTTCTATCTGCATAGATCTATTTAGACAGTAACTTTTATGATGCCAGAGTGTGGCATCTTTAATAGCACATAATGATTAACATCAAATTCACTAAACATCCACTCTAAAATTTCACAGTAGCAATGGTAATGGCATTTCATGCCTCTTCCCAGGCATGACTCTTCAAGTCAAAAGTGTGTCAGACTTAACCCATATGCTTCTGAAGCATTAGGGAGAGGCAGCGAAGCGAAAGGGTTCCTGAATCGACACAAAATCTGTCCCTTTGTTCTACTAGTGGAACCTTAATTCTAATCTTCAACTGGCAGAGTAGCAGCAGGTGTGATGGTGTTCTCTGCGAGAGCACCAATACCATGAAGAACATGATGGAGCACATTGTCTACACTTAAGGGCCTGCCTCTCCATCACCAGCACAATCTCTTACCAGTTTTAGTAACATAGAACAGGGGATTTAGAGGCACTGTTAACAGCAAGTAAAACTGAAGTGAATGGCTGTGTCTCAGCCACCTAGCAGAGGAGGCCACTATATTAAATATCCCACTCTATTCCATGGGCTCAGGGCAGCTTAGAGCACTTTCTCAATGCTAACAGTTCTGCCTCCAAGGAGCTCATAACAGCAGAGTTTTCTGACAACATTATATTAAACCAGGGACGGTTTGTCTTATGTGCAAAGTGGGGCATAGCTCTGCCAAGATTCTGAACCCCTCTCCAAACCTCCAACGCCATGGTCCAGTCTTTGACCTGTCACTCGCAATAATATCAATACATTTCCAGTGACTGAGATGATTCTGTCCATCTTTTCTGCTTAGCCTGTCATAAAAATCACTAGCAGCAGATTCTGCTGTCTCCAAGGGAAGGAAACAGTTAAAAACAGCAACCCAAACATAGAGAAAGCAAGGGAGGCAGGGCAGGATCATTCCTCTTCCCCCTGCTTTCTCTTTCTCAGAAACCACCCTGGAGGCAAAATTTAAACTAAATTTAATCTCTCTAAGCCCCTGAAGGTGGAATCCAATGGGGAGGTTTCTGCAATAGACCCAAGCTGTTTGCTTCTTTGAGTGTGCAGAGTTTCATTTATTGCTTCCCTCCCCCCCTCAATATGCTTGCATGTGAGAAAGAGAGGAAGAAGGATTTTGTCCAAGCACACTGAGTGAGGTGTGTGTGTGGGGGGGTCTTTTGTAAACCCTTTGTGTTTACTTTAGAAATTCTTGAGAAAATTAATGGAAGAACCCAGCTTTCTCTTTTGCTGAAATGGTTGTGAGAAAAGGTGGACGTTTGCTTATACAGGCCTCCGACCCCCTTGTGTGCAATTGGCATGTCCATGATCGCTGATGCACACACCATTATTGGCACTGCAAGGGGGCAGGGCAGATTTCCATTATACTGTGATTTATAGAGGTACTGCAGTGTACAGGTTCAGTGGTAAGACTGCTGGGCTAGGGGCCTGGGAAACCTGGGTTCAAAACCTCACTTAGCCATGAAGCTAGGATAATTGCTATGATTTTATTTTGGTGAACAATGTACGCTGCTTAAAATCCTCTATCCACTTACATAAGATTATTGAGCGCTTCTTTTAACCGGACAGGGAAACAAGCCACAGAGTGGTTGACTTAGTATTACAACAGGTGGGCTGCCCTGCCTACCTGCCAAATTTGGCCTGCCAGGGGTGTGGGAAATAAACATCTGGCCATCCAACCAAAATGTTTCTCCACCCCTGCTTTACACCACACATGATAACAATATGTGATTATGACCATAAGTTGATGAAGAATTGCTCCAACCATAGCTATTGGCCATAATGGCTATGTGGGATCACCTGGCGAGGGCTATTCTCTTCAGGCCATCATTGTAGAGGCATACGATTCGTCACTGTGGGAAGCAGAATGCTGTACTAAATGGACGACTGGTCCAATCCACGTGGGTACTTGAGATTGCAAATATATTTGTTTGTGTGGTTTAAATGCAACAAATGAATATGACAAAATTCTGCTGAAAGATTTTAAAATCATATAAGGAACTCTACAATGGTTTCCCATGCTTCCATTCCAAGGATAATCATACAGTGGTACCTCGGTTTTCGAATGTAATCCATTCCAGAAGACTGTTCTGAGTTCTGAAATGTTTGAAAACCAAAAATTCAATAGCCTACAGCTAGGCCTCAGGATCTCGCACTCAGTGGAAGCCACGTGGCATGTTCGACTTCTCAGGCGTGTTCAAAAACTGAAACTTTTACCTTCGGGTTTATGGTGTTCAAAAATTGAAATGTTTGTCAACAGACGTTCAAAAACCAAGGTACCACTGTAATCTGAAATAATCCAAAACTGATACAATGTAATCTACCCTGCCAGTCTCAACTGACTTTGTTGTTCTGTTCTTCTGAATCACCATTTCTTCTCTGTTGTTGTTAATAATATTAATATTAATTAAATTTATATCCTGTCCTTTCTCCCAAAGGAACCCAGGGAGGCAAACACACAAATGATGACACATCTAACGCATCTCCAATACAGATGCAAACTAGGAAAGATCACTACTTAAAAGGTTATTGGAAGAAGGTCTTCAGTAAGCGCTGAAAAGGCAACAGAGATGGTGCCTGTCTAATATTTAACAGGAGGGAATTCCAAAGGGTAGGTGCCACAACACTAAAGGCCTGATGCCTTTATTGTATAGAATGGATCTCCTGATAAGATGCATCTGTAAGGAGGCCCTCTCCTGCAAAGCACAATAATTGACTTAATATATGAGCAGCGAGACAATCTTTCAGGTATCCTGGTCTAAGCTGTATAGGGTCTACATACCAAAACTAGCACTTTGAACTTAGTCTGGTAGCTACTTGGCAGACAGTGCAATTCTTTCAGCGGTGGTGATACCCTGCTCTCGGCAAACGTTGAGCTGCTGCATTTTACATTAGCTGCAGCCTCTGAACAAACATCAAAAGCAGTCCTACATACAGCACAGTTCAGTAATCCAACCTGGTGCTTACCTGGATGACAATGGTTAGGCCATCCAGTTCAGAAATGTCAGCAGCTGTCTAACCAGCCAAAGCTGGTAAAAGGCGATTTTAGCCACTGAGGTCAGCTGGACCTCTAGTGGTGAAGATGGATCCAGGAACATTCCCTGACTACAAGCCTGCTCTATGAGGGGAGCCCACTCTTTCCAAAGCAGGCAACTGACTAATTGCGTGGACAGCTGTCATGGTTAAGAGTCAGTTTATTGGCCCTCAACAGCCCACCACAGAGTCCAGGCACCAAACCAGGGCTTTCATGACATTTCCTGATTCATATGTTACAATTAGAGCTGGGTATCATCATCATCATCATCATCATCATCATCATCATTTAATTATTTATTGCTTGCCTTTCACCCTAAGATCCCGATGACACCTTACTCCATATTACTGTTTGTCAATACAATCAACACAAATCATGTTGTACATACAACTTACACCATTTCCTCCCTCAAAGCAGCCCTGAGAAAGAGAGAATGGCTGACTCAGGATCATGATGTAGCCTTTATGCCCAAGAAGGAATTTGAACAACCTCTCCACAGTAAACTCTAGAACTAATCATTCTTCAACATTGCCTCTTGGGTCTGGAATTCCACCCTGGAACACCTATGTGATGCCACCTCCTTGCCAAATCCCCCTTTAATGAAGCCACTGCTTAGTCCTCAATTTCCATCCCCAACTCCCACCACTGCATTTGCAAACACCCACCTGCCCCTGCCCATGCCTCTCTGAGCACTACTTCCTTCTTTCATTTTCTCTCTGCCAGACTTTACACTTTAAGCTGCATGGGGAAAGGGGGGGACTACTTGCCTTTGGGACAGGACAGATATTTCAAATAAGAGGTTCAAGTAAATGGGAGTGCTATTTACAAAGGATTATTCACTCAGAGAATGCCACCTAGATAGCTGAAGTTTCAGATAATTGAATACTATGTATGAATGGAACAACAAGAGACACAAACATCTGACAACAGTTAGAAGAATTTCAGATGCCAAACCATGCTGCTCATGTTTGCTTTTGAAGAAAACAAGTCCTTTTTCTGCACATGTCAGTAATAAACTATCTGGTCTAGGTCTGCAACTAAGAATTTTTCAGGAATCTATGAAAAGAAGAGATTTAAAACTGCAATAATTTGCCAGTCTTCAACATCATTCTGTCTCCGAAAGGCAATAAATAGTGGCATTTTTTGCCACTACATCTGTGATTTAAGCACATGTCAATGGAGATACCTCCTAGTAAGTTACAGGTTACATTTAATAAACCATAGGTCAGATTGTCATTTTTCACATGCTAACTCAGTGTGGGCAAAGAGGGAAGCAATAACAATGTCACAAACATATGCAGGCAAACCATGCGCTAGGCTGCACATCTTTATCATCACCTTGTAAGATGAAAGGGCCGCGGTAGTGATGATAGCTCTCCTTGTGTTTAAAAATAATACTCCCACAATCACATAGAAAAGAGGGGTGGGTTTTAAGAGGAAAAAGGGGCCAAAACAGTCCCTAATTCCAAGCACATTTTGTCCAACTGAGTATTGTCATTTATGGTACAGACGTCTAGCCAAAGAAAACAGTACTTGAGGAAGAGATGCTGCAGGAAGGAAAGTACAGAGTTCAGTGCCCCACACTAATGCACACTTAGGCCAGACCCCTATCTCAGGCTCCCCTACCTCAAAAAGTAGCCTATAAATACTTAAAAACAACAACAAATATGCAATTAGAGCAGTTCGGGGTTTTAAACTCAAGTAGGAGCTACCATCACATATAGTCTGGCCTTTTTGGTAACATGATTTTAGAGCTTTCATTAATATACTCTGTAGAAACATGAAATGTTATCCAGCAGTGTTATGTCTGTAGCAGCTGGCTATCATATATACCTGAGTCAAAATTAGAGTAACCCAATGACTGATGGGAATGCAGCCAGGTGCCAAAAAGGCTTAGGCATAATTCAACACAACTTGTTGTGGATATCTTCTTCCATTTGTATTGGGCTTTTTATACATATAGTCTATGGAAGATTCTCTAGATGATCAAGCCTGCTCATTATAGCTTTTGCATAAGAGTAGATAAAAACAACCACCATTCCATGACTAAGAGTATTATACACTCCAGCAGTTGCTGGTCTTTAGCAAGCCGTACAGGTTCAACAAAGGTTCTGTTTTCAGTTTTAAAAAAACATTATACCAGTCTATACTATTATTATTTTCAAAGGGTTATGCACTCACAGAATGCCATCAAGATAACAGAAGGGTCATTCCATATCAAGTGATCCGTCTTTTTTACCTCATGTCATCCAATTTTCTTAATATTTTGTACACTAGTTGGATGATCAAAACTAAGTTTAAATCTAAAATTTTAATTTTTCATATCATCCCATTTTTTAGTTATGATGGTTTGAAATTTCAAAACCTTTAAAGCTCAGCCCAGGATTGAGATACACCAAAACTAAAAACACCAATCTTTTCAGAACTTTGTGGGCTTTAACAGGATATGTCACATGGTGGACTTACTTAAAAATGTAAATTTTAAATTTAAGTTGCAAAATTTAAAAAGTGATAAAAAATATGATTAAAAATTTCCCAAAACCTGTGTTGATTATTTAATATTTCTAATAGCTATCTGCAAAATTTTATCTTGGGATCTCAATGGGATTGCATATATATATATAGTACATACATGTCTGCCTTATTGGCTTCTATTTAGGATAAATGGGTCTTCTAGGAGGAAAATATAACAAAATAAACAAGACTTCAACTATAATGTTAGTCGCTACAGGCATTTTTTAAGAAAGGTATTCATTTAAAAGGTGTCTGAAAAGCTAGTCAGGCTTTTCTTTTAAAAATGTATTCCAAAGCAGATTGATAGCTTGCTGTTGCATGATAGAATTAACACTTTGAAAGAATTCTTGTTAGTACTTCATCTTGTGACCATTACAACAAAATGCATATCAAACAAAATTATGGGGAAAATGTGTAAGAAGGTCACAGTTGCTTCTTCACTTTTATAGTCCACCAGCACATAGGTCAACAACCATGTTTGCTTGTATTCACAGGTCGCATACCCAGTTATCTCAGCCATATCCAGAGATTTTGTACCTCCTTCAACGTCAAACTTCTCCCTCTCATTGCTAAAGGAGTACACCATGGTCACAATTTCTGTTGGACTGGATGTAGCAATGAAATCCTTGTGTTTCCCCTTGATCACTTTCACTCTTTTTGTCATTTTAGGAGCATTTCTTCTTTTCTGTACTCCTCATTTGTTGAAAATAAGAACTAGATAGAAAGGATGTTATCTTGGCACCAGTTAAACAGTTCCAGCAGTGTCATAATGTTGTTTGATATCTATTTTGTTGCTAAACTTAGTTTTGATCATTCAACAAGTGTACAAAATCTTAAGAAAATTGGATGACATGAGGTAAAAAAGTTGGACCATGTGATATGGAATGATCAAGAAGTTTCAGTTAATTTATGGATATGTATGGACAGAATGACAAAAGAGGAAAAACATCTGACAATGATTTGAGATGTCAAAACACACTCCCCAAAACTAGTCTGGCCCACCTTTCCAGTAAATACTTCCATTATCCCCGACAACTGGCCATGCTGTCTGGAGTTATGAGAGAGCTGGAGTCCAACAAAGTCTGAAGTGAACCAGGTTGGGGAAGTATTTGGCAAATCTACAGCACATGAGGGAAAAACTTTTCACATGGGTGGCTAAGGCAAGTAGCAGACAGAAAACAAATGACCTGAATGCTACACAGAGGCATTTTGGAATGGGCAGTTTTAACAAAGCTTAAGATCAGGGAGCTATATTCCCTGCATGTAGATGCAAATGTTTGCTTCTAGGTGTATCCAACCAACTAACAACTTCCTAAGGAATATCTGTAAAGCTTCAAGGTCCTTTGGCAAATGGGAAGAATTTTTAATGCCTTAGATTTTCTGTGCTTTGTTCTTCAGTACAAAACATATGCAGTATGTTGTAAATATCCCACTGATTTCACTGGAATCCACATTCTAATAACTGTGCTGGCAGCATTTAAATGTTACACAAAAAAGCATGTAAGTGAACACTAGAATCTTTTTGTTGTCCCAAGAAGAGCCATGTTACAGAAGTGGTGGGGTCATCAGGCCTTTTTGCATGCAACATAGATTCGGGCCTTTAGATTTAGGATGTAATAGATTAGGTTCTTCGAGGCCAGAAGCAGGTTTTCTAAAATAAAACACAAACCATTCAATGGCAATACTGAAGCTCAGATCCAAGTAGACCAAAAGCGAGAGAGAAAGAAAGCAAGGCCACAAAATCCCATGAAGTGGAAAAGCCATGGAAATCTACAGGCACGACTGATTGTCCCAGCAAGCAAAGAAAACCTAAGCATGCAGTCTCAGGCTTCAGAAAAGACTGAAGATGGAAAGTTGGCATTCTACTACTTGGTGCAATCAAGGTACACTAAATCTCAAGTTATAGATTAAGCAATATTTTATAGTTATTTCTTCTTATTTTTTAAAAAACCCAATGCCTATGTGGGTAGGTAGGTGCTTAGCCCTTGTTACTTTCTTCCCTATCCTCTCCATCTCTCATAGATAAAAAGACAGTTTAGGGAAGGAGTTTGTGAACTGAAAACCAGCAGCTTCTTTCTGCATGCCTTTCTTCCATTGAGATGCCCCTGGCTGGTTTAAGCAGAACAAGAAAGGAGAGAAACAAGACTCTACACACAGTGACTCTAAGAGGAAACAGAAAAAAGGTGCTCATCTACTCTGCTAAGGTCTCTGGCTTCCTAGCAATTACGCTCACTGAAAATTCACAGCACACAGGGATCTACCGAAGAGAACGTTAAATTATGATTAGCTTAGACCTGTACACAAAATATTACACATGCAAATGAATCCTTTCGCTGGGTTCAATCAACTAAAGAAAGGTCTAGCATGGCTTGCAAGCTCATTGTGTATACTTGACAATGAGAAACTTGGACCACATCTCCCTAGCCCAAGATACTGCCTGGTCTCCTGAGCTGCCAACTTGAAGACAAAAATAGAGGTGCTGCAAGTTATATTTGCAGCAACAGAACTTGAATTCAGGGCACTTTAGGGCGTGGGGTTTCAGGTGCTGGCCCCTCCTTTGCCTTCTTGAAGAAATCATCCAGGACAATTAGTTAATGACCGAGCCCTACAGACACCGTAAGCATAGGAGAACAGAAACCAGAAACCATACAGTACTATTTGTTGCCTTTCACTAGTTAACCATGACATGCACTTTACTATGTAAACTAACCACACATTATCTTGATACATAAGAAGCATCTAGATTACAGTTCATATCACACATAGAATCATAGAATTGTGGAGTTAGAAGGGACCACAAGGATCATCTAGTCCAACCCCTGCAATGCAGGAATTTTTTGCCCAACGTGGGGCTCAAACCCACCACCCTGAGATTAAGAGTCTCATGCTCTACCAGCTGAGCTATCACATGATCCTTAGATTCTTTGGGGGAGGAGAGGGGAATGTGTAAAATAAGAATATTATTAACCAAGGATAGAAAGCAGAATATCATCTTTAAAAAACCAAAAAAACTCCATGCACATTCCAGCCAATACAGATTCCACAACTGCAAAAATACACATATGTATACTGTATGCATTAAGTGGCACTTTCAAAAACTCTCATAGCTGTACTGGTGGTTGGCACCATCAACAAAAAGGTAGTACAGTAGTGTTCAAACTACTTTGGAACAGCCATTCACCCAACCCACAAGCTGCTTAAGGAGCCATTTTCCTCACTTTTGAAAGCAACCAGCAGGGCTAAAAAAAATCCCCAGCATTTTAAAATATTTTGACTAAAGAGGATCTTCTCAGAGTGTTAACTGCTTGCAGGAAAAGAGAGTCTGTATATTATTCCTCTTTCCATTATCTTTCTAGTACTTATGGAAAACAGGATCACTGATTAAGTGTCAGACCTGGCTGACAAAACAAGAGCAACAAATGTTTCCTGTTTTATGGCTGAAGCATTCCAGTAATATTTAACGTTATACATATTCAAAGCTGAATAAATAAGTCTCTGGTTTCACTGCCGTTGTGACATTTCTCAGTGCTGCTAACCAAGAAGCAAGATATTTACTAAGCTATTACGGAAGGTAGTCTTAGTTCTGATTTAAATTCCAACATAGTTACCTATTACAGTGCCTCTCTTACAGATAATAGTGGAAATGACGCGGCCTATCTTTAAAAGGCAAGCATTCCAGACTTAATGGAAACTGGACATGTTAAAGACACCCACTTCCCTCCTTTACAACTCCTAGATTCAGTATGAAATCCTTACCCCATGATGACCAATGGAGACGTGCTATGTGAGTCGTTTAAGCAGACCAATTCCTAAATGGATTAGCCTTGCACTTTTACAACGCGGCAACTGGACCCCAGCTAGTTAGCAGTGCTGATACTCCTCCTCGGTCTGGTTTTCTGCCTTTTCCTGTAGTAGATCCCAGGTGTTTCCACGAAATCCACGGGGCCCTATAATCCTTCTCAGCAGAATTTTAAACGCTAGAGTCTACAGGCATGTGGGAGCGTGGCCGGGGGAGGGGGAAGAAACCCTTATGTAGAGAAGACAGGGAGTCTGGCTAGGGAGTCGGCCCGAGGGGACTCTCCCCCATAGCCTCCCGGAGCCAGTCTCCTCCGCACCCCCTGCACCACGGGGTCCAGGGGCAGCTCCAGCTCCCTGCCAGGAGGCGGCGGACAGGAGGTAGAAGCAGCAGCACCAAGCCAACTCTCCTTCTGCAGGGAGGAGGTGGGGGGGGATTAGAAACCCCACAGCAGCGCTTACGCCGTCGGCAGTTAACACAAATGCCCTGGAGCGGCGGCGAGAGCCCCGAATCGCCGTCCGTCTCAGGTGCAGAGCGGGATTGGGGGGCTTGCGGTGTGCGCAGCGCTCCGCGCCGCCCTTCCTTCTAACACCCCCGCCGGCAGCAGCAGCAGCAGCAGAATGGGGGGTGTCGCTTCATTTTCCCAAGCAGCAGCGGCGACAGCGGCAGCAGCAGCAGCGGGAGGCGGCGGCGGCGGCGGAGGAAGAAGCCGTTTCGCCGGCGCTGACATCGGGCTCCGGTAAAACGGCGGCTGAGGCAGGGCACCGGCCGCGCATCCCTTGCAAGGGAGGGATGATGAAGACGTGGGGGGCTAAAGGGGAGAGGCGGCAGGAGATGTGGCGGGTCCCCCTTCAGGCACGCCTGTTTCTGCAGCGGGGGAGCATCTTCCTCCGGCTCGGAGCTGGCAGATCAATCATTCACAGCAGCAGCAGCAGCAGCAGCAGCGAGGCGGGAGGAGAAAAAGGAGGAGGAGTGGCGGTGGTGGTAACCGCGTCGATAGCAGCAGAGCCCCCTCGCGCCCCTCTCTGCAGCAGCGGGGCCACAGCGCGGGCTGCTGCGGCGACAGCGGGAGGAGGAGGAGGAGGAGGGCGCTTGCCCCTACAACACCTCAGGCACCGTTCCCCCGACGGGCAGGCAGTCAAGGCGCGGGGCTCTCCAACCGCAGGGTCAATCCGTGCCCGGCCGCTCAGGCTCTTCCCTGCCCGCAAAAGCCTCTCCGCGCCGCCCGCTCACATCCTCCCGCCTCACACCTCCTCCCCCTCCTCCTCTCCCCGCCCTCGCACACGCCTCCGCCTCAGTCGGTTGCTCCCTCACTCTCTCCCTCTGCCGGTTTCCCGCGCAGGACAGGCTGGGGGCGTGAGGGGGGAGAGCCGGGAGGGCGGCGCTCAGAGCTGGAGGCGCCAGAGAACAGACGGGCGCCCCGCTCTCCTTTCGCTCGGTCCCTCCCACCGGCGCCCGCAGCCACCCAAACAAAAAAAAAATACAATTAAAAAAGCGCGACGGTGGAAGGGCTGCGGCTGCAGCGGCGCGTAAGCAGCCCAAGCTAGGCGCGGGGTCTGCCCCTCCACTCGGGCCCAGCTCTCTCCCTGCGGGGCTGAGCGGTGCAATGTCTTCTCTCGGCTACTCCGCAACCACGATCCCCCCGCGCGGCAGCACCTGCTTATTCTGCCTCCATCCTCTGCTCGGGGACCTTTAAATAGGGCACGTCACCACGCTCCCCTACGCATCGCCGTCACACACTGCTCCCGGCGCTGACGTCACCGGGGTGCGGGGGATGATGTCAGGTTGGTCCACGCCGCCGGAAGCGCTTCTATAATAGGGAATGGAATAGGGGCGCGCGCGAGTGCAAAGAGAGGGAAGGATAGGCTGGGCTGCTGCGACCCACCTCCAGGATCTTGGCTTGCCCCTGGTGCGTCGTCTAACCACCCACCCCCCATAGTTACCCTCAAAAAATTGCTTGTCTAGAAAGGGAAGTTCTGACTCTTCATTTTCCACCCAAAGACTGAAAACATGCCGTGAAAGTAGCAAATACGCCCTGAAGCAAGGCAAAGCCAGACTCTGATGCTGGGAGTCAGCGTTGCAATTTGAATTGCAAACCAGGCAGGCAGCTAGCACAATGCTAAAAGGGTCACGTCCTCTTTGATGTTGTTTATATGTTGCTTTGGATATTTTTACTCAAAGAGCAACTCATAAATACTTAACATAAATAGAATATTATACTACCCATAGTCTAAGGATGAAGTGGGCAACAACTAGATTGCACTGTACAATATTTTAGTAGAATTTTACGCATCTTTGGGTTTTTTGGTTTTGTGTTAAAGATGACTTCTATGATTGCATATAATAAACATATTTTCAAATAAAAGATGGCTTGTATGATTACAGCTTAAATTAGAAAGTATGGTGGCAAAAACGTTCAAAATTTAGAAAGAAGCCAATGCTGTGAATTGCTAAAGGGAATCTATCTTCCTCTTGAACTGGAACACAGGAAGCTGTTTCTACCAAGTCATCAACCAACAAATCAGTTCCTCTTGTTCAGTATTGTGAATGCTAACCAGCGGCTGCTTGCCAGGTGTCAGACAGAAATATTTCCCAGTTCCTATCTAGACACCAGGGGCAGAGCCAGGGAACTGAATAGAAAACCACTAGAAACCCACTTTTCATCTATCAACAGACATATAATTTAGTTATCTGTTTGCATTAAACGTTTTACTGATTTTATGTGTTTTTGTTACTAATAATAATAAGGTTTTTTTAGTAGTTTGTGGAATTCAGCTGTGTTTTATCAATAATTTTATTATGTACACCACTTAGAGACAGGTGGGATGTAGCAGGTGGGGGCAGTGGAAGCCCCCAAGGCAGCATTCCTGCAGGATCCTGCCCCAACTGCCCTGCCGCCACCTGTGGGGAAGCAAGCACCAATTTTCTACAAGATGTCTGTGAGCTCTTGTGAGATCTCACCAGAACCTGCTGCTGCTGTACAACCCAGCTAAGGGATGCTTCAGTGGGGGTTGCAGCAGGGCGGGGGGCACTTCCCATTTCGCCTCAAGTGGCAAAAGAGGATACACTGACCCTGCTTAGAGAGACTTGTGACTGAGCAGCCTCAAAATCTTATATATAACTGTTACTGCTGGGTCTAGAAGAATTTGTAAGCAGAATTAAAATAAGCTGCTAGTACTTTCCACAAGAGTTCATGTAATGACATATATAGATAGGAAAACATTTCTATATTGGAATCCTGTAATGCTAATTGTTTGCGTACAAACATACGGCCAGGAATTTACACAGATGAATGAAAAGAAATTGAAGCATAGTTTTCTGCAACATGATAGAAGAGTAAAACTGTAATTTTTAGCCAAAGGAAGGAAATAAATGCAATTCAGCTCTTCTTACCTGCATGTCAATGACCTGTGGCTTTTGTTTCCTTTCAGTTTGTCATTCTTTAGCCTTTTTTCTTTTTATTCACTTGCTTGTGGTTCCTTTTTACCTCATTCATTCTTTGCTCATATTGAGATGTCTTTGGTGGTCTTTACACACATAGCCCTGTCGTTTACTCTTGTGATGTTCTTGTGCTGATTCTTCAAATCTCTCAACGGTCTCAACTGCCATCCCCATGGAAACCTCTAGAACCTTCTAATTCCAGAAGCAGAGTAAAGAAATAATAGTTTACAAAAGCACCTTGTTTCAGACTTGTTTAAGAACAGCACATTCCAAATGAGGCAGAGAAAATTATACATTTGCCTTGTAAAGGCCATCAGCCAAAGTGGGAAGAAGTAGATTTCCCCACATTAGTTAACTCAAATCTACCTCAAGTTCTGATTAGCTAATAAAAACCAAAATGTCTCACGGGAAACATACATGCTGCTATTTATAGACTTGCTTTCGCTGCCACTGTTTAAAGGAGTATAAAGGAAACAACAAAGAAAATTAAATGGGTAACAAGCTTTCTAATTTGAAAACAGTTTAAATTAACTACATTGTTTAATTGGATGCTTTAATTTCCATGCATCCATTCAAAGTTTCAACAAGTACATTGGCCTCACATTGATACCTATTGCCTCAAGCAATAATAGTGAACTTCCCAGAGAGGTATTCTGATACTAGTAACACAAGTGCATGTAGAAACATGTATTAATTGGTATTTAATGTCAGTTACTTTGAAACTGTGAAGGAAGCATGTTGTTATATGGTTTATTGATATACTGATTTTCAGCTCAAAGGTGAGGCAGTCTCTGACTTAATACATATTAGGAAATGTAATTATTGGTACAAAATTCAAATGGGTGAAGATAGGCTCTAGCTTTGGGTAATTTCTCATTTTAAAATGTTCAAATTTATGACAGGAGTATGGAATTCACTTGGAAATGTAAGGTACAGAAACAAGAGTTGATACAGTTGCCCTTTCTTCTTCAAGTATGAGTCAGAAAGAGCAAAACATTAGCAGCATCAATATGAAAACTATCATATCCCAAGAAAATAGAAGACCAAAAAGCTTTTACCTAACACTATTTAGAGCCCTTAATAAAAAACGTGGACTACTGGCGTTTGAAAGAAAAATTAAGCTCTTGTTACAAGCTACTAATCAGTATGTAACTGGAAAGGACACCTCCTGCAGTATAGGCCTCAAGCCTCAGGAAAAGAAATGTTTGGAATCCATTTCCCAAAACTGTAGTGGAGATTAGTGAGTTTTCAGAATATAAATTCATTTTGACATATATCACTATGCTTATTTTATTTTTTAAATGTTAAATTCTTAGTTTTAAAAAAAATCTGTTTAATGTACCGTATATTTTATCTGGAGTTTTAAATATATTTTTCTTTCATATGCACTTTAAATATTTTCTATTTTGTTCTTTTTTTGACATGGTCTATGACCAGTACAACAATATTTTGTTTTATTCTTATTTTATTCTTAGTTTATCTCCCATCCAGCCTCTGCAGGTTAATCCCCCACCCCATGTCAGCAAAAACTCCTACTCTTTACTGCTCTATAACTCCAATAGGATCTGTAGATTTCCCTTCCGGGTTGCCAGAATTTGTATTTCTCTTTGAACAGGAGACCCTCATTGCCACAGAACAGAAACTGCTTTTGAAAGTCCTCCAGTGATGCTAGGAGCCAAAGTTATGTGAATCTAGTTGTCCAGTATTATTTTTTGTTTTAACATATTTGTACAAGACAGCTCACCACAAAGGAATGGGTCTTTCCCACAAGTGTCCACTTGTTAGGGTTCCAATCTTGTTTTAAATGCATTTGTCATATTTGTGTTTTTTAACTGTTTTTAATTATTTTATGTGTAAATCAACTTGTGACAGTGGTTTAGAAGGTGATTAATAAAGTGTAATAATATAAAATGTACAATTAACATAAAATATCAAAAGCAAATCCTAAACACTCTCTAAAGGAAAAAAGTCAATAAAACTGTAGTACTACATCACCAGCAGGTTCCTGAAAGTGTCACAGATATGCAACTTCTCTGCCTTAAAAAGTAAGAGTGATATACATATATGTACTTTGGTAGGGAGCTCATTTTATAGCTTTGAGGCAACCATATCTTATCTTTCCCCATGACTGTACAGTATTGAGTCCACCTTGACAGCAAGATGAAGCGGACAGCAAAACCACCTTTTGCTTCCCTTCCTTAAAGGACATGTCCATATGGGCTATTTATTCACACGAAAATTGGCTGTCCCACACTTCCTACTGCAATTATCCCTTCACATAGCTAGCTACCAAAGGTCCCATATGAAAAGCAACCGAAAATTGCATTGGAAAGCGTAAGATAACCACTAGCTGCCAATGCCATTATCTACATTTTAAAAAAACAAACTCCTGAGCACAGTCGTTAGGAATGCTCTGTTAGCACTGGCGGAGGAACAGGGGTGCGGAGGGAGCGGACTGCCCCCGGCACCACTATTCCAGGAGGGTGCCATTGCGGTGGCCCCCCTGACACGCGTCGCGTACCCTCGAGCGCGCCGGGCGCCACGCCCCCCAGGGGGACCAGCCACACCCCTGTCTGCTCTCCGCCCCTGGTAGTGGAGCATGCAGCTTCACCACTGTCTGTTAGTAAGGAAGTTGTTAGTCCAAAAGTTGGGTGGTACATTTATTGTTCCTTATTTATTTATTTATCATAAATGACATATACATATGTGTATAAGTATATTTAATCAGTATAAATATTTAATTACCATATTTTTCGCTCTATAAGACGCACCAGACCACAAGACGCACCTAGTTTTTGGAGGAGGAAAACAAGAAAAAATATATTCTGAATCTCAGAAGCCAGAACAGCAAGAGGGATCGCTGTGCAGTGAAAGCAGCAATCCCTCTTGCTGTTCTGGCTTCTGGGATAGCTGTGCAGCCTGCATTCGCTCCGTAAGACGCATACACATTTTCCCTTACTTTTTAGGAGGGAAAAAGTGAGTATTATAGAGCAAAAAATATAGTAATAGTGTCTCAGAGACTTTTTATGCTGACAAGTCTATGCAGTTGTTTAAAAATTATATTCAGTAGCCATTTTAATTACTGCTTTGTATTGCTGTGAATGAGTTTGTATGTTTTCATACACCTGTACACTGTCTTGATATTTTATGGTGGCGATATACAATTTATTTATTAAAGTGTGCATGTGTGTGTGCAATTGCTTTGTTAGTTTATTAGCATCTTTCCATGCTCTTGCCTAAAGTAGCCTTGCAGCAGTTAATATATGTAGAATATGGGCATTACATACAAAGGTTTGCCTTGGTCAAAATTTAGTAAGCATACTACAGGATCTAGTGGGCATTTGACATGATTTATTGGCCAGAACATTTGCCTGGTGCTGGGCATTTAAACAGTAACCCCTGGTTACTAAAGCATTCCTGATGATGGAACGCAAAATTATACATAGTGCTTGAAATAAAGTGTAGAACTAGAATTTGAACACTAATTTGTAACATAATTTGTAACCTGAGATGTAGCACAAAAGAACCTGTGGAGGCCTAGCTGCTGTGTCACAGATGTTCCGTTCTCGTTCTCTCTCTCTCTCTCTATTTAAAGTAACTACCTAGTCCATTAAGTTCCAGAAATATTAATCAGTAAACCTTCCAGTTCCCAATAATCCAGACAACTGACTGCAACACCGTTTGGATGACTGATAAACACTTAAAGACATTTTTTGAAAAGCTTGGTTACATTTTAAAAAAATGTTATTCAAGTATACAAAAACCAAAACACCTTTTTAAAAACCTTTGACTATTAAAAAAAAAAAATTAATTTAATTAATTATATAAATTTAATTTATATCCCGCCCATCTGGCTAGGTTTCCCCAGCCACTCTGGGCTGCTTACAACATATAAAACACAACAAAACATCAAACACTAAAAAACAAGATATCCTATACAAACAACAAACCAACCAATACATCAATAAAAACCAATAACAATAATAATAGCAACAATAAACAATTTACAGTTATACCCAAATTAACCACCAACCCCAACTAAACATTTAACCAACACCAATCTGACAAAAATGAAATGGAGGATCCAAAATTAGAACAGTTTAAAACATTTTAGCCAGTTACCCCTACCCAAGAGTTGTTCCAACAATGTCCCTCCAGCCTCCCAGGAGCATTTTAGCTGATCAGGGTGAATCTGGGCCCCGTCCCCTAGGCCAGGTGGAAATGGGTCTTGCAGCAGGGAGCAGACTTTCTTCCAGCAGCAATCACAGGTTTGTGCTACTTTGTGTCTTTACATCAAAATATATACAACTATTAAAATTACGGGGTATATGATAAATCTTTTTTTGCAAAATTTTAATGCCCAATGGTAAAATCCTGTTAGTCAGAATGTAAATGATAAAGAAATTGTTGATCCAATGGGAGGAATAAGGAGATGCACCAAATGCAGGAACCAAAGGGGAAGGAGTTATTAAAGATGCATAGAGACTACTTATTGCCCAATGAGCTTTGAGTAGTGAAACTTTTATTCAAAGGTGATTCAGATGCAAGTCTTTCAAAAAGAATCCAAAATTGAATTTAGGATATGACTTTGCAAGCAAACTTTAAAAAATGTATCAGAATGTATGGACTACCATAATGACATCCAATCTCAGAGTTACAGACGTACATTGAAAGCCTTCACATGCATTAATTTATCAGCATAACCATTTCAAACCATAAAAGGCTTATATGGAATTGATTTTCTTCGCATAATGTTGTGCTCTCACGTCACTAGGACACCCATAGATCGAAGCTGGAATGCATGGATGAACTACTTATGTAGGTGATGGGGTACACTGAAAATCTAAAACTGCCCTTGATATAATTCAAAAACTCTGAAACTCTGGTAGATTGTAGCAGAGGAATGTGGAGAAAATGCTGCTGTTGTTCGTTATTATCTAGCCATTGCAAAACCTGCATTGCAAATATAACTCACAGAAGCACCAGTTTATGACAATATTTTAATTTGCTTTGGCCCATTTCATATTCAAATGGCATACTTTAGTTCACTTGGTTATTTTTTAGAGCCTTCAGGAGCTGGGAATATATTGTGTGCATCAGGAGTCTTGGCACCAGGCTCCACTAATGGATTCATGTCTGGAAAACACTTCAAGCGCTACAAAA